CGATTGGTCCATGAAATCGGACTATTCAGGTTCGTAGCAAGTTCGTTCTGAAATGGAGTAGTTGGTGTATTGCATAGTTTTAGCCATTGGATTTCACTCCAAACCAACCAAATGACTCCTCCCACCATATTATGTTGTTCCCAAGTTTTGGACTCAATCCGATATCGATTGGTCCATCAAATCGGACTATTCAGGTTCGTAGCAAGTTCGTTCTGAAATGGAGTGGTTGGGTATTGCATAGTTTTAGCCATTGGATTTCACTCCAAACCAACCAAATGACTCCTCCCACCATATTATGTTGTTCCCCAAGTTTTGGACTCAATCCGATATCGATTGGTCCAAGAAATCGGACTATTCAGGTTCGTAGCAAGTTCGTTCTGAAATGGAGTAGTTGGTGTATTGCATAGTTTTAGCCATTGGATTTCACTCCAAACCAACCAAATGACTCCTCCCACCATATTATGTTGTTCCCCAAGTTTTGGACTCAATCCGATATCGATTGGTCCAAGAAATCGGACTATTCAGGTTCGTAGCAAGTTCGTTCTGAAATGGAGTAGTTGGTGTATTGCATAGTTTTAGCCATTGGATTTCACTCCAAACCAACCAAATGACTCCTCCCACCATATTATGTTGTTCCCCAAGTTTTGGACTCAATCCGATATCGATTGGTCCAAGAAATCGGACTATTCAGGTTCGTAGCAAGTTCGTTCAGAAATGGAGTAGTTGGTGTATTGCATAGTTTTAGCCATTGGATTTCACTCCAAACAAACCAAATGACTCCTCCCACCATATTATGTTGTTCCCAAGTTTTGGACTCAATCCGATATCGATTGGTCCATGAAATCGGACTATTCAGGTTCGTAGCAAGTTCGTTCTGAAATGGAGTGGTTGGTGTATTGCATAGTTTTAGCCATTGGATTTCACTCCAAACCAACCAAATGACTCCTCCCACCATATTATGTTGTTCCCAAGTTTTGGACTCAATCCGATATCGATTGGTCCATGAAATCGGACTATTCAGGTTCGTAGGAAGTTCGTTCTGAAAGGGAGTGGTTGGTGTATTGCATAGTTTTAGCCATTGGATTTCACTCAAAACCAACCAAATGACTCCTCCCACCATATTATGTTGTTCCCCAAGTTTTGGACTCAATCCGATATCGATTGGTCCATGAAATCGGACTATTCAGGTTCGTAGGAAGTTCGTTCTGAAATGGAGTGGTTGGTGGATTGCATAGTTTTAGCCATTGGATTTCACTCCAAACCAACCAAATGACTCCTCCCACCATATTATGTTGTTCCCCAAGTTTTGGACTCAATCCGATATCGATTGGTCCATGAAATCGGACTATTCAGGTTCGTAGGAAGTTCGTTCTGAAATGGAGTGGTTGGTGTATTCCATAGTTTTAGCCATTGGATTTGACTCAAAACCAACCAAATGACTCCTCCCACCATATTATGTTGTTCCCCAAGTTTTGGACTCAATCCGATATCGATTGGTCCATGAAATCGGACTATTCAGGTTCGTAGGAAGTTCGTTCTGAAATGGAGTGGTTGGTGTATTGCATAGTTTTAGCCATTGGATTTCACTCAAAACCAACCAAATGACTCCTCCCACCATATTATGTTGTTCCCCAAGTTTTGGACTCAATCCGATATCGATTGGTCCATGAAATCGGACTATTCAGGTTCGTAGGAAGTTCGTTCTGAAATGGAGTGGTTGGTGTATTGCATAGTTTTAGCCATTGGATTTCACTCAAAACCAACCAAATGACTCCTCCCACCATATTATGTTGTTCCCCAAGTTTTGGACTCAATCCGATATCGATTGGTCCATGAAATCGGACTATTCAGGTTCGTAGGAAGTTCGTTCTGAAATGGAGTCGTTGGTGTTTCCTGTTGTGTTCCTTCCAAGTGCCAATATATGGTTAGTATAATGGTACAAGTAAGGGTGTCGAACCACAGGGACCGATTGGACCTCTATAAATTACTAGTTTTGAAAGAACCCTAACTAAAAGTGAAAGTGACAAATTGAGAGTAGTTTGTGTTGTAAATGAAAGATAACTTAAAATGCAAGACGAATGTAGCAGCGAATGAGATATTGATGTAAGAAGAATAGGGATGAGACCAGGGATTTCGAATTCACCATTGCAAAACCAATTCCATGTTTATAAAATTAAACCGTATTCAACTACCAACCTGTTTCCAGAGTTCGTTTTACATATATATGATCAGCCATATGATGTGTGGTTTTGATCAAATTCTCCTAATATGCAACCTAATTGGGATGTTCAACTTTGGTTCCAAGTTAAGAGTCATTACCATGCAAGAAAACGTTAAAGAACCGAAGAAAACACATGGCAGGATGTTTGCATAGCATTCTCTTCATTCATTCACATGTCTACCAAGATTAAGCATGATGTTTACAATAACCTTGACTAGATAATCTGTAGGCAACCCTAATGGTGATCAAACATTAAAATTGACAAACAAATTTAACAATAGATTCAGTGAATGAAACAAGAAACAGATTGATGAACTGAATACTTTAACTTAGAAACATGGATCAATGTTGCAAGGCTACATCGAAATCCCTAGCTATGAATTTAGTTACACATCATGTTCACAAAGATTAAAACGAAAATAAACAACATGAGTGAAAATAAATTCATGAGAGGAAACCCTTGAACCAATTCTGATGTTGAACTTCTCCAAGAACAGCCTCCTGCGATGAGTCTTGATGGTGGAAATATATGGGCGGCTAGGGTTTAAGTGTGTGTGAAAGGGGAGAATAACAAAAAGAAGGATGTCTAGGGTTGTGAAATTCGTCCAAAATAAATAGGGTATGTGAAAGTGGCTAAAAGGCAAGTTTTTATGGGTAAAAGAGGCTGTCAGATATTCCAAAGAGATCCTAATAAATCAGCCTTTATTTTGCACGTTTTTGCCTTATTTGGCACCTCCAAATCAGGCTAGAAATCCCCATTACTTTCCCATTCCGCTCTTAGTCTTTAAACAAGCCAGGTTCACTTTGGATCTTTATTTGGACTTCAAAACAGGTCACGAAATTTCTTTCCACGTTTGAATAATGGCCAGCTCCAAAAATGACATGTTTTGATTTCTTTTGCCTTCAACTTGATCCTAAAGTAGGTGCAACTGCATACTAACACAAAATAGGGTAAAACGCAACATGTTTAACTCAAAAACATCACAAATAGACTAGAAATGGATGGTATAAATGTATAAATATATGAGTTATCAAATACCCCCAAACCTGATTTTTGCTAGTCCTCGAGCAAAACTGAAACTGAAAACACACAAGACACTAAAATCTAACTAGACCACTTTCGCTGGCTAAACGATTGCACTGAGCATGTGCAACAAGCCTTTAAACCCCTAGGTGTCCCTAGTAGGAGGAGTTGTGTCTCCTGAGGGTTTACAGTGATGACACCCACAAACATCTGCATACTTGCAAGCAAATTGGTTAAAGCATACTTATAGCAAACTAATAAGAACCAATGAAAGCTTAGTCATACATTCAACCACTAGTCTGCCACTTGAAAGAATCATATCATAAAGTGTAAAAAATAATTACTCCATGTCCCATGACTTCAAAGATACCATACTCAAATGCCAAAGATAGAAATCGCCTCAACTCTAGTCCTCACAGATATCACTCAAATTTTCACTCAGATCCTAAGGCACGGTCTCTCCTCAAACATATGTGAGTGAAGTTATGTAAAAGGAAATCAAAATCCTCACATATGAAATATGAAATAAAAGCACAATTTCTGGACAGATCTCATGAAGGGAATCAAACACTAAGAATATGGATAGCACACATACTTAGCATCACTCATGAATACATCCTCAAAGATCAGCTAGGTCTTTCACAAGGTTTGTAATGTTAAGGCTTAGGTCAGGGGCTATGAAAGAAAGGATAGGAAATACTAAAGCTTGGGACATACCAAAGTGTCTTCCTTGTGAAAGCAGCAAGCTCTCCTCTTGAATTGATCTTTGTTGTTTGTTCGTGGCATCCAGGATTCGTGCGATAATGGAAGGATTTAGAAATTACATCCTCTTTGATTTTTTTTCTTTTCTTTTCTAAAACTTTGTTTCTTTTTTCTTTCTTTTTTCTACAATTCCAGCACACATACCTCGGTACACACCACTTTCTTTATGTAGAGCTCGAATTATCTTTGTCTTCATCACTTTGGTATTCCCCAAACTATAGGGTATAGCTGTAATGGGCTAAATATCTCATATTGAGATAAAAGGATATGGGGGAAAAAAATGTGAGAAAAGAAAATGGCTAAACATGATTGGCTTCAAAATGGGGTAATGGCACACACATAAGGTAAGAAATTAGGCCTTTTGGTGGTTAAGACATGCATAGCCTAACATCATCTCAATGAGTTCATTCATGAGTGTTACCAAACACATGGTATCTGCGAAAGAGAACAATTCTTAGCGTTCAATCAAACAAAAATAATGAGATCATTTGAAATGAAGTTGAAGCAAAAAGATAGGAGTACAAACACTTTAAACCCTCTCAAAGAAGTAAATAGGCTCAAAATCACTCTCTAGGGTAGTCTCCACAATTCTTCTTCCAGAATTTGAGCATGATACTTTAACCACCATGATTCCAAGAGTAACAGCTTTGAAAAAAAAATAATAATAATGATACGAACTTTTTCATGACAACACAGTAGTCCTCATTGTAAACCATAGCCCTCATATACATTCACATTAGTAAGCAAAAGCAACCTTTAACCAGAACTAGAAACAAACGAAAATCCCACACCCCCAAACCTAAACTAAGCATTGTCCTCGATGCTTAAAAAAAATATGAATGGAATGGATGCAATGCAAATTGGCAGTGTGCATGGAATGAAATAAAATAAAAACTAAAAACTAACACAAATAAAAGGAAAGAACACAAACCCAGCTAGGTTGCCTCCTAGCAAGCGCTTTATTTAATGTCTAGGCAAGACATGGTAGTGTGTCTAAGTTGTCATAAACTCGAGAGAATCCATAACTACATAAACCTGCTCCTGTGAAACATTCTCCAAATAAGGCTTCAAACGCTGTCCATTGACCTTAAAACGGGTCCCATTCTTGATGTTTTCTATCTCCATAGCTCCATGGGGAAATACTTGAAGCACTTTGAATGGTCCAACCCATCTAGACTTCAATTTACCTGGAAAAAGTCGCAAACGTGAGTCATACAAAAGTACTTTCATACCTGGTTGAAACTCCTTCCTAAGAATTGCTTTGTCATGGTAGAGCTTGGTTCGTTCTTTGTAGATCCTTGCATTCTCATATGATTCATTTCTGAGCTCTTCCAACTCATTGAGTTGGAGCTTCCTCACTGTACCAGCTTCTTTGAGATCAAAATTGAACTTCTTTATGGCCCAATATGCACGGTGCTCAAGCTCCATTGGCAAATGACATGCCTTTCCAAACACCAGTCGATAAGGGCTCATTCCAATTGGGGTCTTGTACGCTGTGCGATACGCCCAAAGTGCATCATTCAACCTTAGTGACCAATCCTTCCTTGTAGGGCTGACGGTTTTCATCAAGATGTTCTTTATTTCTCTATTGCTGATTTCCACTTGTCCAGAGGTTTGAGGATGGTATGGAGTTGCCACTTTATGTGTGATGTTGTACTTCTTCATCAATGCCTCGAAAGGTTTGTTGCAGAAGTGACTGCCACCATCGCTAATGATAGCTCTCGGAGTTCCAAACCTAGTGAAAATCATATCTTTGAGAAAATTCAAAACAACTTTGTGATCATTAGTTCTTGTAGCTGTTGCCTCAACCCATTTTGATACATAATCTACTGCCACTAGTATGTATATGTATCCAAAAGAAGATGGGAATGGTCCCATGAAGTCAATTCCCCATACATCGAACAGCTCTACCACTAAAATGTTGTTTAATGGCATTTCATTCCTGCGACTGATGCTCCCCATTTTCTGACACCTATCACACTTAGAGCAAAAATCAAAAGCATCTTTAAACAATGTAGGCCAAAAGAAACCAGATTGTAAAACCTTTAAAGCTGTCTTTTTGGCACTGAAATGACCTCCGCATGCCAATGCATGACTGAATGTTAGTATGCTTTGCTGCTCACTCTCTGGAACACATCTTCGAATGATTTGGTCAGGGCAATACTTGAACAAATAGGGCTCATCCCACATGTAGTGTTTCACCATTGAAAAGAACTTCTTTCTCTCCTGAAAAGTCAAATCATCTCTAATTACACTAGAAGCAAGATAATTGACAAAATCAGCATACCATGGCTCTTTATCTTGGATGACAAAGAGTTTTTCATCTGGGAATGATTCGTTGAGAGGCAAAATTTGTCCATCTCCATGGTTTTCATCAACAAGGCGCGACAAGTGATCAGCAACAACATTTTCACTCCCTTTCTTGTCTCGAATTTCTAGGTCAAACTCTTGTAACAAGAGTATCCATCTTATCAAACGTGGTTTAGCATCTTTCTTGGTCAACAAAAACCTAAGAGCTGCATGATCAGAGTAAACAATAACTTTAGAGCCAACAAGATATGAACGAAATTTCTCTAAAGCGAAAACAACAGCAAGCAACTCCTTCTCAGTTGTAGAGTAATTGAGTTGAGCATCGTTTAATGTCCGACTTGCATAGTAGATTACGTGTGGCAGCTTATTTACTCTTTGACCTAAAACAGCACCAATAGCATAGTCAGAGGCGTCACACATTAGCTCAAAAGGCAAAGACCAATCTGGGGCCATAATGATAGGAGCAGAGGTTAGTTCACGTTTCAAGGTATTAAATGCATTCATACAATCTTTATCAAAGTGAAATACAACATCTTTGGCCAAAAGATTGCACAATGGATGAGTGATCTTGGAAAAATCCTTAATGAAACGACGATAAAAACCAGCATGTCCTAGAAAGCTTCTCACTCCCTTCACTGAAGTAGGGGCTGCCATATTTGAGATGATGTCAATTTTTGCTTTGTCAACTTCAATACCCTTGCTGGATATTACATGCCCCAACACAACACCTTGTTTCACCATAAATTGACACTTTTCCCAATTGAGAATCAATTTGTTTCCTGACATCTTTGAAGCACTAGAGAGAGATGGTTAAGACAAGTATCAAAAGAAGAACCAAAAACTGAAAAATCGTCCATGAATACCTCAATAAATCTCTCAATCATATCTGAAAAGATTGCCAGCATACATCGTTGGAATGTTGCTGGGGCATTGCAAAGGCCAAACGGCATCCTCCTATATGCAAAAGTGCCAAAAGGACAGGTGAATGTAGTCTTCTCTTGATCTTCCGGAGCAATCGCAATTTGATTATAACCTGAATATCCATCAAGAAAACAATAATATGCGTGACCAGCTAATCGCTCAAGCATTTGATCAATAAAAGGCATAGGAAAATAATCTTTTCTAGTGTACGAATTCAACTTCCTGTAATCGGTGCAAACACGCCAACTAGCTGCAGGTCTCATTTGAACAAGCACTTTATGCTCATTTTTTACCACTGTGATTCCAATCCTCTTAGGCACTACGTGAACAGCGCTGACCCATTTGCTATCTGAAATCGGGTATATGATACCCACATCTAGCAACTTCAACACTTCAGCTCTCACTACTTCCTTCATGTGTGGATTGAGCCTTCTTTGTGGTTCACGAGTTGGTTTCGCTCCCTCCTCCAATAAAATACGATGCATGCACATGGTAGGGCTTATTCCCTTGATATCTGCAATAGACCAACCAATGGCTGATTTGAACTCTTTTAGCACCCTAATTAGCTTCTCTTCTTCCAAAGGGGTGAGGTCAGATGCTATGATAACTGGGAGAGTTTCAAACTCAGCTAGGTAAGCATATTTTAGATGTGATGGAAGTGGTTTAAGCTCAAGTTTTGGAGGTTTAACAACAGAAGGGGTCAGATGTGTGGCAGATGGTCCTAATGGCTCTATAAGAGGTGAAAAAGTGGAGGGATATGGTTTTAATGCTTCCAAGGCTGCCACCATCTCCATGAGCACTTCTTCATCAAAGTCATCTTGAGATTGACTCAAAACATATTGTAATGGATCATTGGATTGTGCCAGCAAAAACTTAGAGAAAACAAGTGAATCAAGCACATCAATCGAACAACAATCAAGTGAACTAGAAGGGTGAGAAAGAGATTCAAACACTTTGAATTGTACAGTTTCTCCTAGCACAGTCATGGTGAGGAGACCATTTTGCACATCTATGATAGTCTTTGCCGTGGCCATAAAGGGTCTCCCAAGCAAAATAGGTAACTCACGATCATGTATAGGAGCCTCTTCCATGTCCAACACTACAAAATCAGCAGGCAAAATTAGTTTGTCAACTTGAACTAAGATATCTTCCACTATACCTCTTGGATATTTCACTGATCGATCGGCAAGTTGCAATGAAATAGTTGTTGCCTTCAACCCCCCCAAACCTAATTGAAGGTACACTGAATAGGGCATTAAATTGATGCTCGCCCCCAAGTCAAGCATAGCCTTTTCAACTAGCGTGTCTCCAATGGTGATATTGATAGAAAAACTGCCCGGATCCTTGAGTTTTGGTGGGAGCTTTCTTTGAAGCACAGCACTCACATTTTCAGACACCATCACCTTTTCATTAGGTCCATACTTCCTCTTATAAGTGTTTAGCTCCTTGAAAAATTTCCCATATGCTGGCATATTCCTAATGACATCAAGCAAAGGTAAATTAACATTCACTTTACTTAAAATATCAAAAATTTCTTTAAATGACTTCTCCTGCTTGCTTTTGGCAAGTCTTCCAGGAAATGGGATTGGAGGAGTGTAAGGTTTTTCAGCCTTGTGAAAATTTGGAGCTTCATACGAAGAAGTGGCATTGCTTGGATCTTCATTCGGTTTCTCATGCTCTTCTTGAGTGGGGCCTGCATTCACATGATCAGATTCATTAGTAACTTCATTGCCAACTCTATTATCAATAACCTTACCACTTCTAAGTGTTATGACCGCTTTGGCCTGCTCTTGGTTCCTTTGAAGTATCACCGGTTGGCTTGGAAATTTCCCGGGTTCTCTTTGACTCAAAGCATCAGCAATCTGACCTAATTGTGTCTCCATTTTGGGTTAGAGCAGCTGAATGTTGTTGGAGAGTACTATTGGTAGTTTGCTGGAATTGAACGGTGTTCTGAGCTAGCATTTTGACAGTATCTTCAAGCGTAGTGGCAGGCTTTGGTTGGAAATTTTGAAATTGATTGTTATTCTTCCATGAGAGATTGGGATGATCTCTCCAACCAGGGTTATATGTATTAGAGAATGGGGTCATTCCTCGGCCTCTGATTGTAAGAATTCATGAGATTCACTTGCTCTTGAACGAATTCGGGATAAGCCTCACTAGCTGAGCATTGATAAGTAGGATGACCTGGTATGTTGCAAATGGCACACACCTCAGCTATCTTAGGCGCCATATTGAGCACAGAATCGAGCTTCTTTTCCAAACTAGCCACCTGCAAAGCAAGATCATTATTAGAACTCATTTCATACATTCCAACTCGTTTACCTCTTGTATCTTTGTGTTGAGCATTAGATCCCAACATCTCATAAATGTTATATGACTCTTGCGCATTCTTCTTCTTCAAAGCTCCACCTGCTGCATTATCCACAGTTGATTGACATGTTTGGGTTAGTCCATCATAAAAAATTTGCATTTGTAAGTAAAGAGGTAACCCATGATGTGGACATTGCAGCAACAGGCCTTTGAAACGCTCCCAACATTCATTGAAAGGTTCTCCCTCATCTTGTTTAAAGTTAAGATTTGCCCTCTCAACGTAGCTGTCTTTTGAGTTGAGAAAAACTTCTCCAGAAACTTCTTAGCTACGGCATCCCAAGTGGTGAGCGAACCAGGTGCTAAAGTCATTAGCCAATTCTTTGCTCTATCTTTCAATGTATAAGGAAAAACCCTCATCCTCAGATTTGCTTCACTCACTCCCTGCAAAGGTAAACCACTCACAACATTGTAGAATTCCTTAATATGGGATAATGGATCTTCGTTAGGTAAACCATAAAAAGAAGGAAGCATGTGAAAATGAGAGAAGATTTGAGTTCATAATTTCTAGCTTCAGTAGGCAGCAAGATGCACGAAGGTGAATTTGGTATAACCGGGGAATTTTTGAAAAAAAAAAAAAAAAAAAAAAAAAAAAAAAAAAAAAAAAAAAAAAAAAAAAAAAAAAAAAAAAAAAAAAAAAAAAAAAAAAAAAAAAAAAAAAAAAAAAAAAAAAAAAAAAAAAAAAAAAAAAAAAAAAAAAAAAAAAAAAAAAAAAAAAAAAAAAAAAAAAAAAAAAAAAAAAAAAAAAAAAAAAAAAAAAAAAAAAAAAAAAAAAAAAAAAAAAAAAAAAAAAAAAAAAAAAAAAAAAAAAAAAAAAAAAAAAAAAAAAAAAAAAAAAAAAAAAAAAAAAAAAAAAAAAAAAAAAAAAAAAAAAAAAAAAAAAAAAAAAAAAAAAAAAAAAAAAAAAAAAAAAAAAAAAAAAAAAAAAAAAAAAAAAAAAAAAAAAAAGAAGTTTGTGGGATTTTTTGGTGAATTTATTATGATTTTTGGAAAGCATTGGAAAAAAACTAATGAATGGTAGAGAATGACACATGGTAGCATCAAATTTGTGCGTCATCAAAGCTTCCGACAGATGTACGTATCACATAGCGACATGTGTCATCAGTGGTTCATTTTTGTGTCTTAAACTTAAAAACTTCACAAAAAATGAAAAAAGAAGCCGAAAATTTCTAAAACTCGCTTGCCACATTTTTCTTCGACCACGACTTGTGAAAACAAAATTTTGATTTTGGGAATTGTTAGTATAGAAACAAATTTGACTTTGAGAAATTACTTGAATTTTGTACATGTGAAAATTATATTTTAAAGCTTAAAAGATGAAGGAAATGTGACAGGGAGTTTGTGGGAATTTTTGGTGAATTTTAATAAATTTATTATGATTGTTGAAAGTTAAGGCATTGGAAAACACTAATATATGGAATATATTGACACATGGTAGTGCCAGATTTGGTGTGTCATCATAGTTTCCGACAAGTGTCGGTATCACATGGCGACATGTGTCATCAGAGGTTCATTTTTGTATCTTAAACGTAAAAATTTCACAAAAAATGAATAAAAAAAATCCATAAAAATGCACAGAGAATTTCTAAAAATCCATTGCAACATTATCTTCGACTATGTTGTATGAAAACAAAATTTTGAATTTGGGAACTTATCTTCTTGAGGGCCTCAAAAAAGATCCATTGCAACATTATCTTCTTCAGGGCCTCAAAAAAACCCTAAATCCTGGTTTCGGTTCAGACTTAGTTTCACATACTTCCTCCTCTTGCTCAATCCTGTCAGAGACAAAAATCGCGATTTTCTGTAGGTGTTGCTCGGGATTTCCAATTCGGTTCTGTGCACAAAACGAGTGATTCTAAGGTTGGTTTTGTATTTGTTATTGACTAGTTTGTGCATTTGTATGGTTTTCATTTGAGAAGGATAATTTCAGTAACCTGTGACTGATGTTGTGAAGTTTAGTAATTACAGAGATTGCAATAATAATGTATTTTAACTGTGAATTATTTCATGCTTGGATGAAACTTGTATTGGTGTATTGATTTTGCTCTGTGGACGATGAAGTGCCTTAAGTTGGTATTTGTCATCTGGGATTGGTTCGTTTGTGATGCGTGTTTTCACTTCCATTTGATGATGCATATTTAGTGTGGGAATTTATTCTGGTGGCAATGGCTATTCCATTATAACACAGGTTTACCTCACTAGGCCCTAAATTAGCTGTTGAGTAATAATGCATAAGTAAATTTGTTGGTATCATTGCTGTTTCAGCACCTAGTAGCATAGTTTTGCACCCTTCCAGTCTTAATGGTTAATTATGTGAATTTGAAATACTAATGTAAGTTGGCGTGGGATGTTTCTTTTCCCTGTGCTATAAAACCTGCTAAATTTTGTTGTTAGTCCTTGCTTGCAGCTTGTCATATATGTCTGAAAATGGTATTTTCTTGGGCTTTAGTATCTGTTTAGAAATTTCATGTTCATCCAGCTATGTTTAGCAGTTGCAGCTGCAGTAACATTTTGACGTGTCTAGTTTGTACACAGAGTCCATAACTGCCAATACTGATGTTCCCATGAGTAGACATGTATATGACTATGGTAATGAGTAGATTTTAGTACGCATTGATGCATTTGGAGTAATTGTTGTAGCCATTTCGCCAAAACCCTGTATGAAGTGGATCCGTGGTTCATGAACTTGTTTTCACACTTGGGTGGTATTTGGTTTTTGGATGGAATCGAATATAGATTTTGTAGAAGGGAATGTAGATAACAGCAGAGTGTGGAGAGAGTTGGAGAGTAGAAAAGAGGCTTCAAAACAATTCTGGTTTTGTCATATGTATATACATATATTAAATGACTTGAAAGTATTAGTTTGAGTAATGTACGTATGAAATATGGGTAACCAATGATCCATATGTATGATGTTGTTGTGCAGGGAACTCTAGAATGGCTTGTAAAGCAAAGCTTATGATTCCTGAGGATGAGAAGTACGAAGGAAAGCCATTTGCCCTTTCACACGCAAGGACCGCCATTACAACAATAAAGGCGAAGTTCAATACGCAGCAGTTACAGAGGTTCGAGGGGAGTTGTTTTGGTCATCTATTACTGATAGAGGACCTGAAGTGGAATTCACAAGTTGTCCACGGGCTGTTGATGAGGAAGGCTGATCCTAAGACAGTTACACAGGTGAACGGGATAAAATTCATTGTGGGTAACAAGTTGATACAATTCACAGCCCAACACTTTTGCCTCATCACGGGCCTAAGGTTCGGAAAGCTCCCTTTCATTCCGAAGGCGACAAATGAAAACTGCTCCTTGAAGCGAAAATACTTCAGTAGCAATAAACCTCCCACCCTTTTGGACCTACACACTGCCTTCATCGAGTGCACAGATGATGACGATGCGTTAAAGCTTGGAATGGTCTATTTTGCCATTTTTGTGCTATTGGGTACTGAAAAGCATGTGCTTATTGACATGCGCTATTTGAAGTTGGCCGAAGACTTAGAAGAGTTTGACAAGTATCCATGGGGTGCCGTGTCATATGCGATGACAAATGCTTCACTTTTGAGGGCAGTTTCTCCTGATTACCAACGAGTGAAGGTGCCCCAAAACAGAAAAAAGCCCAACAAACGTGGGAAGAAGAGAGCGCAGACAAGAATGGAATGCAGTAGAGCCAGAGAGTACATCATAAGGGGGTTTGGCTTCGCTCTTCAGGTGAACACATATCCAACAATGTTTTAGTTCATTTAAATACATGTACAGATTTTGATGTTTGATTGTTGTCAACAGATTTGGGCTTTTGAAGTCTTCCCAGCATTGGAAGCATTGCATTTCACGGTCCATGAAGACAATAGGCACATCCCTCGAATATTACATTGGAGGAGCAACACGGTGGCCCGTTTTTGGGAGGTTATGAGTCAGGTTTATGAAAACTTTGAGGTTAGTTCAGTTTGTATTACTCAGGTTATGATTAGGAACAAGTAAAAAGTTCACTGATTTATTAGATGTGTTTCAAATGGAGGTTGATGTGCAACTTCTCCGGCCGACTGATATTGAGAAGCAACAACCTTACTGGAGTTGGGGTGATGATGAGAACAATGAAGAAATTGTTCAATTGTTTGGGGATGAGGGCGAAGACAAAACCAGCACTTCTAGTGAAGAAAAAGAGGCGGATGTTGAGGAAACAACTACCCTTCCCTCCTCTTCTAAGGTGAGCATGACCTTTTTCCAATGTTGTGAAAATGTAGAGAATACGATACGAAAGAAGTGGAAATAGTTTTCTTATTTTTGTAAGATTTCTAACTGTTGCATTATAACTTTATGCAGGGCAAAGGGTCTTTTAATGACTTTGGCAGGTTGAAGCATCAATTAGAAAGCACTAAGGATGAGTTAGCAAAGCTACGTAGTTCAAATCGGGGCCTTAGGAACAGAGTTCGTGACTTGGAAGCTATTGTAGACAAGAACTGTTTGAAGCATGAGAAGGAGTGTGACAGAAATAAAAAGGCTATTGGGGATTTGACCCTAACAATTGCTTCAGTGGAACATTATTTTAAATTGGAGATGGAGGAGTTAAAAAAATTATATGGTGGAGAAGGGCATGAGGAAGTGTGGACTGCTCAGATGAATGAAGGAGGGCAGAATGAAATGTCACCCTTGAATGAACTTACTACTCCGACTACAGCAGGGCCTAAAATGGACGCACAAGTTGCAGGTGATGGAGTGGAAGCCTTCCCAGGCATGCATACAGAACGGGCTGAAATGGAAGCAACAGTCTATGGTGGAGTGGAAGGGGCTGAAAGGGAAGCGGAAGTCCCTGCTGATGGAGTGGAAGCTTTTGTAGCCATGCATATACAAGGGGCTAAAAGGGAAGCGGAAGTCCCTGCTGATATTGTGGAAGGCTTCCCAGCCATGGAAGTCGAAGCCGCTGAAATTGACACTTCAGTTTGTGACAAACAAGTGCACCAACAACCTCACAAGGTTCCTACTTCGGAAGATGTGAAGGTTCCTAGTCTTGAAGATCCCCTCATTCCTAGTCCGGAAGATAGGGAAGGGTACAGAGTTATTTGTAAAACAATGTTAAATTTGTTAGAGGATTGGAATAAGAAAGAAATTCAGGGGGTGGGACGCAAGGCGAGGCCTCCCATGGAAACTAGTATAAATCTGGTTGGTGATGAAGGGGACAAGGAGGCTAATGCCACGGTTCAGAAACCAGATGCGGAAGGCAAAGGATGCAGACTGAAGCGGCCCGCGAAAACATTGTTGAGTCCATTCACTGATCCCTCCAGGAAAAAGAGGCCGACTACTGGTTTTCATGCACAGACACCTGAGGCCCTGTTTTGATCCAACACAACCCGTGGCCATGGACGATGTGAAGGCTATGATACAAGTTTGCAAGGCTTGGAAAAGTGACATCAGGTTAGGATTTGTAACTTGGCAAAACCAATATACATGTTTTTTGATGTATGCAGTCATGTACAATAACAATATCTACGTAGCTAATTGTTCGTGTGTGTGTCATTGTCATATTATGCAAGGTGTCCATTAGTTTTTTTTTGGTTGAATTTACCTTTGCAAGTTTATTTTTTGTAGTGCGGAGCTGGAGCTCGAACCATTTGTAGTTGGGGCAGATTTTTTTTACAAACTTGTAGATGAAACTGCATGGATGAGCTCGAGGGTAATACTTTTGAACCGTGCTTTATTTCGAAAAATTTCTGAATTGATCACTTTGAGTATGTGGCCATTTTTTTTTAATATTGAGGTCGTTGTTGTGTTGTGAAATGTCAGCACCTTGACATGGCCATGTTTCTAATACGCAAAAGACAACTCTCTCATCCTCAAGTATTTGGAACGGAGTGGACAACTGCCGAGTTTTGTCTGCAGGTATTATTGTATTCATATTATGTGTCATTGAATTTGTTGCATTGGTAGGAGTAATGTTGTTGGCTGTGTTTGGTGCATTGGATCCTGTTCATGTAACGTGTCTTTCACACTTGTTTGCAGCAATTTTTACAGCCATTTACACCGCCAAGTGCGAAACGAGTTACGAGGAAACAACTTGCTTCAATGACTGTTGACCCTCCCCCTAACTACCTCAGAAATATACACCACTTTGTCTGCGGTTCATGGCAACATGGTTATGCGCAAGCATGGACGAAAGTGCGCAAGGTCTATCTCCCGTATAATGTTCGACAGTCCCATTGGGTGGCTGTAGAAATTGACTTTGTCAGACATACTGCCACTGTCTACGACTCGTATACTGTTTTTACCTCCAACACAATGCTTGTCCGACAGATGGAGCCTATTACCCAGACGCTTGCAAAGGTGTTGTATGACATGAGGTTTTATGAGAAATCGAAGGTTGAAGCGGTGAAGAGAAAGGGGATTGACATGTCAACGTTTAACCCATTCACAATTTGCAGAATTTCCGATGTTCATCAGCAAAGTGATGGGTAAGCTGTGTTCATTTAAAGCACTTTGTGCATGTTGTCAGTATGTGCACTTCTAACTTCTGTACTGCTCGGGTGGACAGTACCTCATGTGGCATTATGACCGTCAAATTTATTGAGTATCTCAGTGCTGGCATTCCTCATGTGGCTACTACCGATTGAAGCTTGCAATCGAGGCTCTCAGGGGAGAGGCCTATGTATGAGGTAAAAGTCCATATCTGACCTCATATCAATTCACTGTTAAGGACTGCCTTCAGAATTGCCTAGTTATTTACCTACTTTGAATTATGTCGTACGTACAGAGTTGTGCTTTCAGTCTTCATTTCAGACAACTTACAGTATGTTGGCATCTTTTCCAAGTTTTATGAATACGAATGCCGACTGTTGTTAATCAAAGTTTAGGGTATTGGGGATTTCAACACCGTAGATGGTAATGTACATGTTTTGCAACTGGCATCTGATTTAAGTGTGGCATATGTTCTGAACTCCGACTGTGTATCATCCAAAACTTGTATCATGTTGTTTATGAAAGGTGAATAGAATTACTTATTAAAATTGCTCCAATTATTAAGACGTTCAAGTTTCCCTTTCTATGAATGCTAACTCTCGGCACATTTGGCCTTCTTATGCAGGTGGTCCTTCCAGGTTCATACCCATATTGACATCACAGATTCTGTACATGTATGTCACAGAAGTTGCAGGCTGTTTCGTCGTTTTGTCAATCCTGAAAATGAATGCGATGTTTTGCCTTACATGGCACCATTTTTGACTTTGTGTACAGATGGCATAAAAGGGTGGTGATTTTGTAGTATGTTGCAGGGTGTTAATTTCTGTAACGTAATTCGTCAGTACTTGTATTCCATAGTAGAAGGGCTGTACTCACGTTTCCTTTCTGACAATGTGGTTATTGACCTTCTGTACTTGACATGTTTTGTACAGGCATATAACAAAATATCCTTCATTTGGCCGAAGTTGCAGCCATATCAATTTTTTGTGGGCCACCCACATTGTAGCCGTTTTGTTTTGTGTGGTTCGGTGTAATACTTACTTTCGTATATTAATTATTTTCATCCGATCTGGACGGAAATGTTTGGGGTCGTTAGCCGAAACAATATCCCTAACCCTCTGCTGGGGCAATTACAAAGTATTATAAGATTTGATCAGGACATTTGATCAATGATTTGATCAGGGAATTTGTCAGCAAATTGGATGACTCTGTCAATTTGATGAATTTGGGAGTGGCTTATGTTAAAACCAAGAAATCTAACATTGGTTTCAAACAACTTCATTTTCTTAGCAGAGACAACTACACCATTTTGGCTAACTTTCTGAAGCAACTTATGCAAATGTTTCCATTCATGTTCTATGGACTCAGAGAAGATAACAACAGCATCAATGTAGACTATAGAGAAATGACTATGCCAAAAAGCATTAGGAAGATCACAACAAATATCAAACTTCATTTGTTCTTCAAATGTTCGAATTTATATTATTTTAAACTTAACTTATTCTTGAAGAGATTTCAACTATCGATCTTTGTTTTGAATTATACTAACTGTTTTTGCAACTATATTTTTCCAAGGATTCTGCAGTTAGGTAACTCAAGCTTAGTTCAAAAAATCAAATTTGAGTCTTTCTCCTACATAAATAGAACTAACACCATCATGTTCAACCTAGAGCGGATATACTAAACCTATAAAGGGTAATCCTAATATTACTTCATCGGTGATGTTTTTTTACTAAAACAAAGGCAGTTTTAAAACAGATTTTATTTTAAATTTTAGCTTTTGGAATCTCATAATTCAACTGTAAGGCTTTTCCCGACGCAGTACTTAAAGACTCTGTGGATTTCTTATAATACTTTGTCGGGAAAAGGCCTTCTTCAATACAGTTAAGGTCGGCTCCTGAATCAAAAAGTGCGACTGTGTGAAACTTATAAATGTGGACAACTATTTTCACTGTAGAATACCACTTTCTAAACTTCACTTGTTTTACTAATTTGAAGGGCTTGCTCTTTATTAGATGGCTCATCTTCAAAATTGGTTGGACTTTCATATTGACTATTAGACGCAGAATCATCCTTTTCTAGACGAGTAATTAAATTCTGTTTGATTTCATAATTCTCAGTTTCAACTTTATGACTCATTTGCTTTAACTCAATGATTTCCTTGTTGACTACTTTTATCTCAGATTGTAGGTGTTGAAGGGTGACTTCTTTTCTCTTGCTAAACTTTTCTACTGTTGTATTTAGACTTATTTAATTAGGGATAGTTGACGGACTAGGACTTTCTTGGCTAATGAGTTTTCTTGGTTTCTTCAGGTACTCCGATTTGAGCTCAGGATTTGATACTTTACTTATTAATTCTATGAATAACTCTTCTTGCTCTTCTTGCTTAGTAAGGACTCTAAGTGATTTTGAATTACAACAGTTATCTTGGCAACAAAATTGGACTCCAGCTGAACTAGACTGGGAATCAGAGGACTGGTAGGGTTCTGACTCAGAATTGTTGACTACTGTTTCTATCTCACTTGTTTCAGAGTCTCACATCTCTAAACCTATAATTAAATTGTCTTTTTCCTCATCCGTGATTTTCAACTGTTGCATAGTATCTTTGGCTTATGCACTCTGAGCCATAATGTCCGAACTTTTTACATTTTTAACATTTAACTTTGCTATTGTCTTCACTTGTCATAAAGCGACTATGTTTCGGTGGTTTGGACCTATTTTTCTTAGGGTAAACTTTCTTTTTCCTATAGAACTCATGATTATTGATGAGTCGATTTTATATTATATTTAGCCTCATTCTTAGTATATTTGGTTAATATTTTGAAAGAATTTTGATACTTTGAATTATATTTCCAATATAGGACTTTCGACTCCCTCTGGAGCAAAACATAATCAAATGGACGAATTTTGGAGTAATTCCAGTTGGAGGACGTTCGTGAGCCACTTAGCTTGATCGTATCAAAATATCAGACTTTTCCACCAAGCGATGATTTCCTGGTGAATAAATGAAGGAGCAGTGCACTGTGCTGGAATAGTGACGTTTTGGGCTTGTATTGCGTTTTTGGAGCCCAAGATGACCTCGGATGGGTTCATGGCCTTCTGGAGAAGTGTTCGGAATATTTTTATCTTTAAAACGAGCTATCTTGGGCCAGATTTGGAGGAGATTTGAGGCCAAAACGTGGCTGACCAGATTATTGGCAGATTCTCCTAATCCCATTTGGACTTTATTTCCTAGTCTTATTTTATTTTAACTTAGTTTCCTTGTGGGGATTGGGGAGCTAGGTTTTAGGAGGTATTTAAACTCCTTTTCACAGCAATTTAGGCACTCCCTTTTTGACTTCTTTTTTGGCTTTTGGAGCAATTGCTAGGGTTTTGGATTTTCGCGACTTTCAGGTGTTTGCATTCTTATTCTTCTTAATGATATTTTCTTGGATTTCAATTGTGAACATGCGTAACTAACTCTCTTTTGCTAGGGTGAGGCCACGAGCCTTAGCAAGAATATGTAGTTTCTGTCCAATTTGCTTATGATTATATGCATGCAGGTTTTCGAATTATTCATCACTGGGTTAAACTATCTAAGTGTCTTGATGCTTGATCACCATTAGGATGTTTAGAAAAGTAATTTGATGCAGTTTTGGTCGGAGGTCGGTCCCTGAAATTGACGAAGGCTTCTTGTGATTAATATGTGCAAGTTCACTTAGGATGAATACCACGTCTTAAGGGTTGCATGGTTTTTCAAAAGGTTTCACAGAACTTAATGAGTCATGTATGTTTAGATTCGATCTGAATACCACAGACGGATTGCATGTGTGATATACGCTCTATGTTGGGGGTCCAAGTAGGCATATATTAGGAATACCTAACCTTCGAAATATGCATGTATAGGTCATAAGTAATTGGGGGAACTATATAGAATTGTTAAGGTGACGGCGGATCCCTAGTGCTTTCTTAATTTGATTTCTAAAAACACAACTGTTTCTCTTGCTCTTAGCTTTAATTTTGCATATTGCCTTATTTTTATTAGTTAAATTCCTTTTAATTTAAGGTCTTCAAATCAAACATCTCAACTTTCTCTTTTGCAATAATTAATTAGAATTTGGTTGCTACGAGTTATTTAATAATCCCTGCGGAGAACGACCTTGCTTGAATCATTTATACTACAATAACCTTGTCATTCTTGCAAGTTTTGTAGGAGTTTTAACCCTGTTTGCGCAGGTACTAAAAAGCCTATCAAGAAATTGGCGCCGTTGCCGGGGATTATTTAAAATAATTCGTTCTAATCAGATTCTGCATTAATTATTGCTGTACATACATACAAAAAAAAAAAAAAAAAGAAATAATTTTCGTTTTTATTTATTTTTGCAGATCACAGCAAGGCAGTGCAGATTACAATCTGTGCATGGTCAGCACACGTTCAGCAGTTCAGCAATTGTTTCCGTTTGATCCAGAACCTGAGCAATCTTTAAGGAGGAGACACAGGGAGCAAAATTTGCTGCGGGTTCCTTCACTGCAAGGGACTTTTCTGCAGTCTTTATATTCTGAGGACCTGCACAGTACAGAAACAATGGCTTTTGTTATTCCAGAGGCTGGTGATCCTTTGGGTAATTCTTTAACAGCTCATGCCACTAACATACCAGGTTGCATTACATATCCAGCAGTGGAAGAAGGGTCTACATTCGAAATCAAGCATCACATGTTGAGTATTCTACCTACATTTCATGGGTTATCAACCGATGATCCTAACATGCACATTGCAGAATTTTTAATGGGATGCAAGAATATTTTGGTGAAAGGATTCTCAGCTGAATCTATTAAGCTTCGTCTATTTCCTTACACATTGAAAGATCAAGCAAGGAGATGGCTCCTCACACTTCCATCTGGAAGCATTAGCACTTGGAACCAACTCAGTGAAAAATTCTTAAACAAATATTATCCAGCTTCAAAGACTCTCGACATGAGAACTCAAATTTTATCTTTTGCCCAAAAACCAAATGAAGAGTTTCATGAGGCGTGGGAACGGTTTAAAGAGTTGAATAGAAAATGTCCACATTCTAGTATTAGCAGTACGGATCAAGTGCATATATTTTTCAGAGGGTTAAATATGACAACCAAAACTCTTGTCAACGCTTCATGCGGAGGATCATACAAGGATAAAAATGCACAAGAGGCTTGTTTATTATTTGAAAAAATGGCAGCAGATACACAGCAATGGGCAGTTGAGCAGCCACAATCAAGGTCTGTTTTTGAGATATCCAATGGTTCTCCATATATGTCGGCACAAATTGAAAAAATGGAGAAGAAAAAAGCTTGAAAGATTTGATGCAAAATTTGACATGTTATTACAAAGAATTCCAGGTTCACAGGTTGCTGTACAGCAACCTTTACCAGCTGCCTGTAGCATTTGCAATGTGACAACCCATGATTTTTTGAGCTGTCCGCATAAAGATGCTTATCCGGAATTTGCAGCGGAACAAGTTAATGCATTTAATAACTTTCAGCGTCCACGATATGACCCGTATTCAAATGTTTACAACCCGGGTTGGAGAGATCATCCTAATTTTAAGTGGGACAGAGATCAACCTGCAAGGCCACAATTTCAACAACAGGTACAGCAAACTGCTGCGCCTAAGGCTGCTTGGGAGGTTGCAATTGAAAAATTAGCAAATGCCACCAGTCAAGAATTCCAAAATCTGCAGGCAACAGTGAAAAACATAGAAAAACAAAAGGGGCAGATTGCATTCCAAGTTTCAGAAAGAGCACCAGGTACATTTCCTAGCCAAACGGAAATAATCCAAGGGGAGGCGCAGATTGTAAGGCAGTTCGAGTTCTACGTTCGGGTAAAAGTTATGACAATAGAGGTGAAATTTGTGTTGGAAATTCGCAGGCAGCATCACAGCCACAAACAGATTCAGGAAATTTTGCAGAATCTGATATTGTTACAGATTCTACAGAGTCTATGGGCAGATCTGAAAACAGTGCAAAAATTGCTGCAGAAACTGCAGAACGTGTTTATGTGCCTCCAATGCCTTATCCCGAAAGGTTGAAGCCCAAAGTTAAAGATCAACAGTTGACAGATTTTATGAAGACGTTGGCCAAAGTTCAGATCAATCTCCCATTGATTGATGCAATTAAGAACATTCCATCTTATGCCAAGTTTTTAAAGGATGTTTGCACAAAGAAAAAGAAGCTCGTGGATTTTGAAAAAGTTATTCTTACAGAACAGTGCAGCGCAGTTTTATTACATAAACTGCCTCCAAAGAAACAAGACCCAGGGAGTTTTACAATTTCATGCACAATTGGAAATTCTAATTTTAAACGTGCTTTAATTGATTTGGGTGCCAGTATTAATTTAATGCCTTTTTCTGTTTTTCAGAGACTAGGACAAGGAGAAATCAAGCCTACATCAGTTATTCTACAACTGGCGGACCGTTCAGTTGCTTACCCTAGGGGAATTATTGAAGACCTCATTATTAAAGTGGATAATCTCTACCTTCCTGCAGATTTTGTGGTCTTGGATATGGATGAAGATATGCAAACACCGATTATTTTGGGGCGTCCATTCATGGCTACTGCTCGAACCTTAATTGATGTTGAGGCTGGAACACTTACACTTAGAGTGCAAGATCAGTCCGTTGTTTTCAGTTTATTCGAAATAACCAAAAGGCCAACTGATGTGCAAGATTGTATGCGTGTTGACATGTTAGACAGCTTAATGCATGCTGAAATTATGCCCCGTTTGACATCAGATCCATTGTTAAAGGTGTTGCATGGGTTGGAGAATAGAAACACTGAAGATGAAGAGGTTTTTGAGTATGTTTCAGCTTTGGAAAGTGTTCCTTTTCTACACCCCCGTTGGAGGCACGTTTTTGAGAGTTTAGGGGAACCGAAAAAACCATTGCAGCCCTCTAAAGTACAGCCACCTAAACTGGACTTAAAAGTACTGCCAGGACACTTGAAATACGCTTATCTGGGTGCAAATTCTTCGCTGCCAGTTATTATAGCTGCTGACTTATCATCAACAGAAGAAGAAAAATTGCTGCGTATTTTAAGAAATTATCAAGATGCAATCGGTTGGACTATAGCAGACATTAAAGGGATCAGCCCTACAATTTGCATGCACCGAATTCTGATGGAAGATGGAGTAAAGCCCACCATTGATGCTCAACGTCGTTTGAATCCAATTATGAAAGAAGTTGTTCGTACTGAGGTTATGAAGCTTCTAGATGCTGGGATGATCTACCCCATTTCAGATAGTAAGTGGGTTAGTGCAACTCAAGTGGTGCCCAAGCGTTCTGGAATTACAGTTGTGAAGAATGACAATAATGAACTTGTGCCTACACGTTTGACTACTGGGTGGCGTATGTGTGTTGATTACAGAAAGATCAATACGGGCACTAGAAAGGATCATTTTCCATTGCCTTTCACTGATCAAATGTTGGAAAGGTTGGCTGGTCGTGCGTTCTATTGTTTCTTGGATGGATATTCAGGGTACAACCAGATTCCAGTTGCACCTGAAGATCAAGAGAAGACAACCTTTACATGTCCTTTTGGGACTTTTGCATATCGAAGAATGCCCTTTGGTTTGTGCAATGCTCCTGCAACGTTTCAACGATGCATGATGAGCATATTTTCCGGATTGGTTGAACAGGTAGTTGAAGTGTTTATGGATGACTTTTCTGTTTTTGGGGATTCTTTTGATGAATGTTTGAACAATTTATCCTTAGTTCTTGACAGATGCATTAAGACAAACCTTGTTTTAAATTGGGAAAAGTGTCATTTCATGGTTAAGCAGGGGATTGTCCTAGGCCACTTGATTTCTAACAGGGGTATTGAGGTTGATAAGGCCAAAATTGATGTAATTGCAAAGCTGCCACCACCGACAGCTGTTAAAAGTGTTCGATCTTTTCTTGGTCATGCTGGGTTTTACAGACGGTTTTATCAAGGATTTCTCCAAGATTAGCCGACCATTGTGTAATTTGTTGGCTAAGGATGCTCCTTTTGTCTTTGATGATGCTTGTTTGGAGGCTTTCAACAAGTTAAAGACACTCCTCACTACAGCACCCATTATTGCAGCACCTAATTGGAGTTTACCTTTCGAATTGATGTGTGATGCTTCAGATTACGCAGTAGGAGCGGTTCTTGGACAGCGGAAAGATAAGCTTCCCCAAGTCATTCATTATGCTAGTCGAACTCTCAATGACGCACAGCTAAACTATGCGACCACAGAGAAGGAATTGTTGGCAGTTGTTTTTGCATTAGAAAAATTTCGGTCTTACTTAGTTGGGGCTAAGGTGATTGTTTACACAGATCATGCAGCTTTGAAGTATTTGTTGTCGAAGAAAGACGCTAAGCCTCGATTAATTCGTTGGATTCTTTTACTGCAAGAGTTTGACTTAGAAATCAGGGATAAGAAGGGTAGTGAAAATGTTGTGGCTGATCATTTGTCCAGGTTGATTGTGCCAATTTTCTGCTGAAGATGACTTGCTGCCTTTAAATGAAAGTTTTCCGGATGAACAGCTGTTTGCTGCCCATATCATTTCACCATGGTTTGCTGATTTAGTTAATTATTTGGCTAGAGGGGTACTTCATCCAGATTTTACTTTCCAGCAGAAAAAGAAATTTTTGGCAGAAGCAAAGTATTATTTTTGGGATGAACCATATTTATACAAATATTGTTCCGACCAAGTTATTCGCAGGTGTATTCCAGAAGAAGAGCATGAAAGTGTTTTAAAGTTTGCACATCAGTATGCTTGTGGGGGACATTTTGGCCCTAAACGGACAGCAGCTAAAATCTTGCAGAGTGGATTGTTTTGGCCTACTCTCTTCAGGGATGCTAATAGTTGGTGTAGATCTTGTGATCGTTGTCAAAGGGTGGGTAATCAGTCCAAAAGAAACGAAATGCCACAACAAAGTATATTAGTTGTTGAATTGTTTGATGTTTGGGGTATTGATTTCATGGGACCATTCCCAATGTCCCATGGCAATCAGTATATTTTGGTGGCTGTTGAATATGTTTCTAAATGGGTCGAGGCAATTGCAGCACCAACCAATCAAGGATCAGTTGTTCTGAAATTCCTCCAGGGGGTAATTTTTCCACGATTTGGAACACCGCGTGTCATTCTAAGTGATGGGGGTAAGCACTTTGTCAATAGATCGTTTGCTACGTTGCTAGCTAAGTATGGGATCACCCATCGTGTTGCTACTCCTTATCATCCACAAACATCAGGACAGGTTGAAGTTTCAAATAGAGAAATCAAGCGAATTCTTGAAAAAACAGTTAGCTCGACTCGAAAAGACTGGAGTTTGAAATTGAGTGATGCTCTCTGGGCGTACAGAACAGCATTTAAAGGCCCAATTGGGATGTCCCCATTTCGGCTGGTTTATGGTAAGGCTTGTCATTTACCTATGGAGCTAGAGCATAAGGCATTTTGGGCTATTAAAGAGTTGAATTTTTCTTATGATTCTGCTGGAGAAAAACGTAAATTGCAGATTAATGAGCTTGAGGAAATTCGTAATGATGCTTATGAGAGCTCGCGCATTTACAAAGAAAAAACCAAGGCATTTCATGACAATCAGATTCTCAGAAAGAATTTTCATCCAGGGCAAAAAGTTTTGTTATTCAGTTCAAGGTTGAAGTTGTTTCCAGGGAAGTTAAAGTCTCGTTGGAATGGCCCATATTTGGTTACTAAGGTTTATCCTCATGGGGCGGTTGATATTACAAGTGAAATTAATGGCAACACATTCAAAGTGAACGGTCACAGGCTGAAACCATATTTGGAGTCACCCTTCGATATTGCACGCGAGTCACTGACTCTGAAGGAACCAGTGATTTGACCACCAGGCTTCTGCAACGTCTAGCTACAGACTTAAAATAAAGCGCTTATTGGGAGGCAACCCAATTTTTCTAAACTCTTTACTTCTTTTATTTTTAAAACTAAACAAAAACAAAACAAAAAAAAAATACAAAAATATTTGTTTCTGTTTTTCCTTTTCTAGTTATTTTCTTTCTACTCCTAACACATATTTGATTCAATGCAGGACAACCAACAATCAGCAGCAAACATCAAAAGCAAAAAAATCCTAGGCTGGAATCCTGCACCCAGCAGCAAGTCTACACTGGGAAAGACAACAACAATCAGCAGCAAAAGAAAACAAATCCTGCACCCAGCAGCAAGTCTACACTGGAATCATGCACCCAGCAGCAAGTCTACCAAATTTCCAACAACAACATTTGCAGGGATTCGAAATTATACCTATGAGGTGCACGGATTGGGGGTCCTCAGGCTTTTTGCTGTTTTGTCCTTTGCGCTTGTGTGTTTATTGCCCTTTCCCTTGAATCTCTCTTGGATCCGCAGACCTTACACAGCGAGCACCACTATGAGTACCTGCAGGGACAAAGAACACACATCTCTACATATCACACATCTTTACAGATAAGGACCCAAGACAAATTCTGGAATTACTCTTACCTTCGGATGGATATCGGAAGGCATGGGTGCTATGAGATCGAGGACCAATGGATGCAGGTGGACGTTAGTGACGGTGCTGGCAGAGGTTTGAGACAGAGGAATGTACCCAGAGGCATCCAACACTTTCAGCTCAGGCTCCTTCAGCTACTGAACGTGCCAAGAATTGAATTCTCCGCCACTAGCTCGTATAATGTCGATTTCACTGCGAAAATTGGGGGTAAGGCATCTGAGCAGATTTGGGGTTCTTTGACCCAACTCAAATACGCCAACCCAAATCCCCATTTTTCCGAGCATCCGGCCTAGCACCCACTCATGCCCAGCAACTGACAAGCTTCGCTCCTTCTTTGGCTTTTAACTCTGACCCATTGTTTGAAGAACAAATCAATTGCAACCTTCTGATGAAATAAGGTTTCGGGCTGGTAGAAGGGGATCTCATATCTTTCTGACAGCTGCGGCAGGTAGAAGGTTATATTGTATCTGTCGCTCGTCTTTGACGCAAGCGGAAACTTGGTTGGGGTGGTCAGCGCCTTTACGCCGCACGCAGCCACTGGTCCAGCGTTCGACTCACCAAAGCGTCCCTGCCGTCCTGGTGTGTTAGTTTTCTTTTATTCCTTTTCCTTTTCCTTTTCTTTTTCTTTTAATTTCTGTTTTCTGTTTTATGTTCTTTTCTGTTATTTTTATTTTATTTTTTCTCTCCTACTTTACCTCTTTGGCTGCTCCTTTATCTTTTATGTTTCGCCTCTATTTTCTAGGAGTTAGTCATTTGGTTTCTGTCTTGTTTCGTCTATTTATTTTCCACACCTTGAGGACAATGTGTGATTTAAGTTTGGGGGTGGGAAAGTAAATTTTAGATTTTTAGTCTTGTCTAAAATTTTCATTTTTAAGTTAATATCCATAGATTATTTTAAGCTTTAGAACAAATAGACATGGTGAAGATTAGTCCCACAGTAGAGTCTTTCCTATTTATTATTGTTTAGACACTAATTCTTGAATTGTACTTTGAAATTTGCACATCACACCAACATGGTTTGTGGGGAGTGAGATTGAAATACTTATTGTTTGTCCCAGTGTGTTTTAATTTTTGTTCTATATAAATAAAGTTAGTATGTATTATCAAGTAATAATTGCCTCATCCAAAGCTTTGTTAGTAACCGGGCCAGTCCTGCCTAATCAGCAGTGATTCTCGAGACAAACGGTAGAGTTTTGGCATGAGGCAGAGTGGTTAGTTGGTTTCGTAGCCTTTCCAGCTTGAGTTAATAAGTCCTTAGGGGTGTTCTACACCTAGTGCCCTAAAGCCTTAGTGGTTTGGGAGTCATTGACTTAAAGCTCGCTACATGGGGTGGATCGAAAGCTTAAGGGAACCGACATTGCACAACCGCTACTGTTACTGAAAAAAAAAAAAAAAAAAAGTCGAAAAAGAAAAAGAAAAAAAAAGTGTGAAGTGTGTGAAGTTTGAATAAAAGGGATGAGAGATAAAGGTTTTAGTCGAGTTTCCTTAACTATGATGGTTCACTTTACACCGAAGGAAGTTTGTGAATTCTTTTCTAATTGATTCTAAATAGCTTAGACTCTGTGGTGGGATTAGTTGGATCTATTGAACAAATGTTCTAGTTTTTAAAATTTGCTATGGATTGCAACTTGAAGGTGGAAATTTTGTTCTGGTTAAAGTGATAGCCAGATGTTTAGTTTGTTAAGCTTTTATTTTTGTTTGAGTCTTGTTTTGCTTGAGGACAAGCAAAAAGCTAAGTTTGGGGGTATTTTGATGAGTCGATTTATATTATATATTTAGCCTCATTCTTAGTATATTTTGGTTAATATTTTGGAAGAATTTTGATACTTTGAATTATATTTCCAATATAGGACTTTTGACTCCCTCTGGAGCAAAACATAATCAAATGGACGAATTTTGGAGTAATTCCAGTTGGAGGACGTTCGTGAGCCACTTAGCTTGATCGTATCAAAATATCAGACTTTTCCACCAAGCGATGATTTCCTGGTGAATAAATGAAGGAGCAGTGCACTGTGCTGGAATAGTGACGTTTTGGGCTTGTATTGCGTTTTTGGAGCCCAAGATGACCTCGGATGGGTTCATGGCCTTCTGGAGAAGTGTTCGGAATATTTTTATCTTTAAAACGAGCTATCTTGGGCCAGATTTGGAGGAGATTTGAGGCCAAAACGTGGCTGACCAGATTATTGGCAGATTCTCCTAATCCATTTGGACTTTATTTCCTAGTATTATTTTATTTTAACTTAGTTTCCTTGTGGGGATTGGGGAGCTAGGTTTTAGGAGGTATTTAAACTCCTTTTCACAGCAATTTAGGCACTCTTTTTTTACTTCTTTTTGGCTTTTGGAGCAATTGCTAGGGTTTTGGATTTTCGCGACTTTCAGGTGTTTTGCATTCTTATTCTTCTTAATGATATTTTCTTGGATTTCAATTGTGAACATGCGTAACTAACTCTCTTTTGCTAGGGTGAGGCCACGAACCTTAGCAAGAATATGTAGTTTCTGTCCAATTTGCTTATGATTATATGCATGCAGGTTTTCGAATTATTCATCACTGGGTTAAACTATCTAAGTGTCTTGATGCTTGATCACCATTAGGATGTTTAGAAAAGTAATTTGATGCAGTTTTGGTCGGAGGTCGGTCCCTGAAATTGACGAAGGCTTCTTGTGATTAATATGTGCAAGTTCACTTAGGATGAATACCACGTCTTAAGGGTTGCATGGTTTTTCAAAAGGTTTCACAGAACTTAATGAGTCATGTATGTTTAGATTCGATCTGAATACCACAGACGGATTGCATGTATGATATACGCTCTATGTTGGGGGTCCAAGTAGGCATATATTAGGAATACCTAACCTTCGAAATATGCATGTATAGGTCATAAGTAATTGGGGGAACTATATAGAATTGTTAAGGTGACGGCGGATCCCTAGTGCTTTCTTAATTTGATTTCTAAAAACACAACTGTTTCTCTTGCTCTTAGCTTTAATTTTGCATATTGCCTTATTTTTATTAGTTAAATTCCTTTTAATTTAAGGTCTTCAAATCAAACATCTCAACTTTCTCTTTTGCAATAATTAATTAGAATTTGGTTGCTACGAGTTATTTAATAATCCCTGCGGAGAACGACCTTGCTTGAATCATTTATACTACAATAACCTTGTCATTCTTGCAAGTTTTGTAGGAGTTTTAACCCTGTTTGCGCAGGTACTAAAAAGCCTATCAATTATCTTTATTCCGTTCAAAGGCTTGTTTTCTTCGTGAGTAATGACGACTTTTCCTAATGTGACTCGGGTAATTGGACTTATTTTTCCTAGACAGAGGTACTGACGTAAGACCATATTGTTGACAGAAGAGTCCTAACTCATATTTAGCAGATTTGTGCTCAGATTGTATTTGTCGACCAATTTTCATAGGTACCCACATTTTCATACCAACTTCGTTAATTGTACTAATTATATTTCCATAGGTTAAATTATTCCAATCAATTTGACCTTGCTCATTGCTGAACTCAGTTCTTCTTTTATGGCCGAATAAGTTTGGAAGAGCGGTAATGAATTTTTCTTTCCAAAACGGTTGATTACTATCTTCACGAATCATGACTCTACAAATTAAAATATCTGTATACCATCTAAAATCAGACAGCTTAGAACATCTCAGATTACTCAGTTGATCAAGTATTCTAGCATTAGTATGAGTATGGGTTCCAATAAAATGCTGAATTATAGTATAGAACAAAGTATTAACACCATATTCATCAAACCTCTTCCATTACATCCATAACCTAACCACCTTTAACCTGCCAACTGTAGATGAACAAACCTCCTATTACATTTGGAACACAACAAATAAATGACCATTCCAAACATGAAAACAGAGACCCAAAACCATGGGTTTTTCATCTTCCCTTTTCCAGCGTTTCTTTCTTCTTCCAAGCGGTTTATTTTCCTAAGTAAGCCTGGAATTATGTGCTTCGATCTGTCACACATCTTTGGGTCAGCCCATTCCCAAAATGTACATCCATTCCTCTGCATAAACGGAAACAATATTTCCGTTACAAAGAGGCGCAGCATCACAATTGGAATCCACGAAAATGCCAAATTTCAGGTCAAACTTACAGAGAAATAAACTTACCCTTGCACATACTTGAAACCTCCTTCCAGGATGAGAAACCGTCCAGGATGTATGCGTTTTGACAACGTTCCCACAGTAGCACAGCCGTGAACATACTGAACTCGCGTCTTCCATTTCCACCGAGACCTTGAAGGCGACTCTTGAGAGTGGCATGGAGACCTCACTGACTCAGCCGCACCGCTACGGAGGCTCCTCCTACTCATCTCCTTGTTTTCTCTGTATGAATTGTTGTTCAACTTGTGCGCTATTTGGAAAGGTCAAGAGGCTCATCTTGTAGTCAATGGGTTTCACTTGCATGTGCGAAATTTGGATAATAAAACCGTGTGAGCGCACCAACATGAAACTTGGAGTTTATGGGGTGGTTTTTATACAACATATCAAACTTTACCATAGGCAACACTGAGGGCCTAATCCAATTGGAATGTTATTCGTACCCTTATTTTGGAATCCACATACGGCATGGTATACACTTGGAAATACAGTACATGTTAATTCTTCGTTGCGTGTATATTGGTTTATTACTGACGTATTGGTGTTATAGTGCAACTTATTGGTTTGCTATTGCCTCTTTATTGGGTTTGTAATGCTCTTTATTGGTTTTCTAATACATGATATTGCACGTATATTGGCATTGCAATGTAACCTGTGCATTATTTTCGGTTGGTACTGCTATTCAAAATTGTTTGTTTTATACTGTCTTCAGTATTGGTTTTGCAATGTCATTTGACAAGTGTACAAAGTTGAACTATGTGGAAGGTAATTACGTTATAATTCGGATCTGAAATGAATGCATCCAAATTACATCAACTGCTGTTTTAAAACTTCCAGCATACTTAATAGAAAGAAGGCAACAGGAACAATCAGAATACAAAGGCCTCCTCAAACTGGCAGAATACAAAATAAAATAACATCCCAGCGTGAACTTACATAAAACAACATATTAAAAAAACAAAACAACACAAAAGGTGACCACAAACTTACTTAATACAATGTTAACAAAGATGGCACCTGAAGATTACATTATACATATAAAAAAAAGAGGCCCCCTCAAACTTACCTAATACAAAATAAATACATAAACAGGGCACCTCATCCGCACATAATAAAAAAGAGGCCAAGTCATACTTCCATTCCACTGTACAAAGTTTGTCCTAAACCGTTGACATGGTCATATTACAAGTCATACCTTCTGTCTGTGGATACATTTCGAGTTGCATACCCTTCAAATGCGGCAACCGCAACCCATTAAATTCATGACCCCTCCCACAGTGATGTCCCACCAGATTGCAGTTGTTTTTGCTTCAGCTGAGCCATTTCGTCAGATTCCTTGAATACAAGAACTGCAGTGGCAGGGGCATTTTCAATTTTAGCTCTGACAGCCTTTATATGTAGGAGATGCATCCGGGCTTCATAACGCGCCCGAATTGTGCATTTTTTATGATACCCCACCTAGCTTGGCCCTCTTTAATTTTTAACACTATGTCTGCATGGAGATTTTTCCAGAATATGGTATTGGCTCGACATTGCTGCAGTCCATGGACCCAGTCTTCAGTGTCTTCTGTTGCTGATTTGGCAGGTGTGTCATTGTCCCCTCCTTCAGTAATGGCAAGGGTTGGGTTTGGTGTGGGGTTTCGGTCCATGGGTGTTGGGTATTTACTGCGGGTTGGTGTGGGCATTAGTTTGCCCAAATGGAAGTAATTGTGATGTGGGTGAAATTGTTGCGCAAGCAGGGGGGGGTTTGACGGAGTAAATGTGATGGAAATGTTGGGTGGATGCAGCTGGGTTACAATTAAATAGTGGGAGGTAATAATGAGCAGGAGTAAATGACAGTCAGCAACTGGCGGGAGTTATTGGCGGGAGTTGTTGGCTCCAATTTTTGGCGGGAGTGGTTGGCTCCAATTGTTGGCCAACACGTTACACTTGGGGTTTGTGTAATTAGGTTATTGGTTGGTGTTTGTTGTATGGGACCGTTGTTGTATTTGCAAATTATTCCTGTTGTCCTCTTTGACCAATTTCCCTCGTGTATGAGGTACAAATGTCCCAAAAGTACAAAATGTCCCAAATTTATAAGTACGGTCATTTCACAAAGTACAAATGCAGATGTTTACAAAAAAGGACCATGAAAGTATATGTGTTTCGAATTTCTTTGTTTCTATCTTCCAAATAACGGATGTAGATGAGTTCCATTTTTTAATATATCGGTAAAATCCGAATTGTGAATTTTGATACTTGCAAATAAGTTCATGTGTATTCCGCCCACTTGACGTTAACTTCCCCTTGAAATGTGGGTCGGGACTGTATATGACTGTTTTCGTGTTATTTAATTTTCTCATATGGACAACATATAGTATCGTCATTTGTAGGGAATACTGAATAATTTATAAACATTTATGTATATTTCGTAAATTGATAATTAGGGAACTTGGTCGTCATTTGTAGTATTACCATGTCAAGACCTTGAATATTAAGATAGTATACAGTTTTTTAGTAAGGTTGTGTTTATTGTGTATTCACAGTTGTTTAGGTGTGTATATTTGTACGGGCGATTATTCCACCGTTGACATACCTTTATTCGTATTTGGTAAGGCTGTAATGGGCATCTTACAATGCTCTCATTAATTACAAAGAGAACAGGGTGCAGACTGACCTGTAATGACCAATTTGAAATAAATATAAAACACACAACTTCCTCTATATAAGAGGGTTTAACGTACTCATTGAATTCCATATCAAACATAGTACTCCATATATAGCAGAGAGCAAAGCTATACTAAAGCTCACCCTATTGTTGGTTACGAAGAAAAAAAACTGCAGACTGAACCTAATGTTAAGTGTTTTGCACGGTGCATGTGTGCAATTTCCCCATCCATAGTTGAAGATGTCAGACGTAATCCCTCCGAACGACCATGGCAGTTACCCGGGAGACCAGCCATGGCATGTCCCTTTCCCATCTCCACCTGGGACTCCAAATAACGATCCCACGTCATCTGGAAGTGAGGCTGACAACAATGATCCACTAGACAAAATTGCTGAAGTGAAGCAGGACCTCCAATATTTGTGTGCGGCTACGAATTGGTGGGAAACGAAATGTGATATTCATGGCCAGGTGATGGGAAACTTGACGAACAAGCTGAACAATGCATATGCTAGAGAAGTGAAGCAAACAATGAAAGCCAAAAGTCGGAGGGCAAAGTTAGAGTGGTTGAAGGTCAAATTGGAAGAAACAAAGAAAGATGTTGTGCAAAAATTCACTGAATCTGAAGAATTTAACCATGAAATGGTTGAATCTTTTAACAATGGGTTCGAGATGTTCCGAGATTATGCTTCCGTCATCTCACCAGACTACAATTGGAGCCAAATAGATGTTGTTGGTGTCTGGCAGGTGCTGAATAGCTGTGGCCAAGGAATGGCTGATCATAGCCTTGTGCATGCAGCGAGGAAGAAGAACAAGGACATGGATCTAATGATGGACCTGTAACCATTTGGATTTTGGTAGGGTCTGTGTAGCTGGGTCAGGGTAAGTACGGGTTCAAAGCATTTTGTGGACACAAAATGAATTTTGTATGAATGTGGTGCCTTGTTTACGCCGTCCTCTTATTCTCACGGTTGAGTGGCAAATTAGTAAGTTTGTATAAATGTAAAGTGTTGTGTACTGTATGTGTGCTTATTGTATGTTTATTGCCCTCATATTGGAAACGTCAAGTACTTATATTGTTCGTGTATTGGTATATTATTGTCTCATATTGGAATCGTAGAGTACTTATATTGTTGTTTTATTGTCTTTGTATTGCTATTGTATTGTGTCATATTGTGATCGTAGGGTAGGTATATTGTGCTTTTATTGATGCTTTATTGATTGGCACCATAAAATATAGCTTCTCCATTTGAGTAATGGTAAAGAGGTACTGTAGCAAAGGTCGTAACGATGGCGGGTTTAGGAAAGTTTGGTGGTTCTGAAGCACGGAAATATCCATGGAAAGATCGGAAAGATATCGATTCCATACAAACCCCGGACAGTATACATACATGCAAATTTTTACGTGGAACAAAATACAATTATGAAAGGAAGAATTAAATACGAAATAAAAAAAAGGAGGGTGTTCATTTAAGTAAACAAGCAACAATTTGAAGGGATAGTAATTTCAGTACTTATAATGAACCTTCGAATTAAAGAAGCAATAACATGAAATGGATTAAATAGGACAGAAATGAATGACATCAAGTAATGAAATAATTGAGCAACAATATAGAACACTAAGTAAATAATTTTCATTTTGCAAAACAGGTTCGAACACTTATAAATACCAGAGTCCATAGTCAGTAATCAAAAAGCGATGACTGGCGTTGTGGTTAAGTAGCTCAGAACCTAGAAGGGGGAAGGGTTTCATCCTCTGTGTGTGTGACTTCAAGTGAATAATGCTTTTTATTTAAAGTTCACATCACAATAGATCGCGATATTATAGATAATATCGCGATCTGTTGACCATGTGTAGCTGCATGTATACTTTCCCAAAAATTCTCTATATATTCTGTTCTATGGCGATGAGAACAATGAGCAATCATGAAGTACTACCAGTATCACAGTAATTGCGTAAGCTTTGCATTTGAAGGAGTTTTATGTACGAGATGCAATTGTAGTTAGCCTTCTAGGCCCTTTCATTTTGGACGCAACAAAAGGACAGCAGCATGATGATAGTGTGAATATACAGACAGGAATACATGACGTTGTCTAGGAAAGGAAAGCAATTTATGCGAATTTGACTACAATCACAATAGAGAACACCAAATCAAATTCAATTCAATTTCAAATCAAAGGTACATAACAAACGAACAGAAATGCTAATCTGAAACACACATTGGCCAGTGGAACATTGTTAATTTACAGCTGGTTTCACTGTGGTGATGGCACTGTATGTTCACCAATTTCTACTAATAATAGGCTCTCATTGCAAAGGACTTGTTACCTTGTTCCATATGCTTCACATGACCGTTGAGTGGACCGACTTCCATCCCTGCAGCATCACCGAAGCTATTCATCAACTTCGCAGTTGACCAAAACAGAGGTAGAAACTAAACAAGTGTAACATCTATGCAACGTGCTGCTTGTTGGTGAGAGGGACAGATTGTTTGCATGTACTTCGGTAGTGGCCCTTCACACCACACCTTGAGCATTTTTTTGACGGGACTCCTCTCCTTTAGAAGCTATTCTTTGCGTTTTGCGACGGCCTGGCATAACCTTACAAAGAGGAGGGAGGATTTTGACCTTCTTCAAATTTTCGGGAATAACCCATGTGCCTTCAGGTGGTATAGGATAAATAGATTCAGCATATGCAGCTGCCCATGTAGCTCGTGTTTAATAAGAAGAGGCAAAGGAGTAGGGGTTCAATTTCAAGTGCCGACATACCGCAATAGTGTGCTTGCACGGGAGTTGCTCCAAGTCAAACTTCCTGCATGTACAACTACGGTTTTGCAAGTGCACCAGACCGTTCAAATCACCATCCAGAACATTATACTCGACCTCATTGATTTTGACCACATTCATCCTTGACGCAGCGTCTAACCTCTTCCTTAACTTAATTTCCCCTAAATCAGGGCACAACGTAGAATGAGATTTCATTGCTAACTCTCGACGTTGCCTAAACCAACAGACAAGTAGATTTGTAATTTCGTCAATCAAGTGTAGCACCGGAAGGATCCTTGCAAACCGAAGAACTGAATTAATGGACTCCACAATATTCGTTGTCATCACATTATATCGTCGTCCATCACAATGGGCCCGAGACCACTTCTGGACGCCTGCACGTAGTAAATAAGTTCGCACTCGGTCATTGTTTATCCTGGAAAAGTGACGATTGAACTCCGCTAGACGATAAGACTTAGCTGCCCTTACAAATACCCCAATATCGGATCCCGCTGCTTCAACTTAAATGAGGCTTTGATATTGCCTTTCAAGTGATAAAAGCAAATACCATGGCTTGCCCCAGGAAAAACTCTACGCAACCCATTCTGTATGCTAACCTTGCGATCTGATATGACAACGAGATTCGAGCAATCACCAATTGCACAATGTAGTTTTCTCAAAAACCACTCCCAAGCTGCATCCGTCTCCAAATCTCCAATCCCAAAGGCAACAGGATATATGTTCCGATTTCCATCAAATGCGGTCGCAACAAACAAAACACCTCTATACTTGCACTTCAAATGAGTAGCATCAACAACAATCACGGGCCGCATTGACGACTTAAATCCTCGTATGCATGCACCAATTGCCATAAAAAAATATAAGAAGTGATCAGCTGCATCAGTCTCAATGTATGTCAAAGTTCCCGGATTTGTACGCTCCAATTCATAACAATAGGAAGGGAGAAGGGAATACGACTCTTCTGCAGACCCTCTAATTCTTTTGAAAGCTAACTCTCGGCTTCTCCACGCTGTAGAGTAGCTTATTCTCACACCGAAATTTTGTTTCACATCTTTCTTATATCAGCTGCTGTATAAATGTTGCGCGAATCCTGAAATCTCCACTTAACACAGTCAGACAGCAATTCAATCGTAGCTTGAGGATGATGACTACTTATATACGTTATATCACATTCATGAAGTGGATCGTATTTAACAACCTTAAACTCATGTAATCCAACTTTATATGCCCGAACTTTCCAAGGGCAAGGAAGCTGCCAACAGCGAACACACACCGATGCTTCCCAGATTGGACAGTTCTCAATCGAAAGTGGCCTGTAATAGCTGCTAAACTTATGGTTTTTAAAAGGGCAATCTTATTTGGATAAACTCGGGCAACCTTCAAATTTGCTTCCCAATTTATGCACGAAACGCCTCCACCATACTAAATATATTCCAAACTCTAACCATGCTTCAAATCACCCCGACTTGTATGCATTTCAGTCGAACTTGATTGTTGGGGAGGTTCGGATTGCACCTGTCTACACTGCACAGTGGACGGTTCGACATTGCTGTCCTCATGAGGATGCAAAATCGAAGCAGACTGCGGTTCCTCTTCGTTGCTAGGTTCATTGAAATCAGCAACTATGTTTTCACCACTTTCAAAATTCACTTCTTCAACCCAATCACTCCAATTAAAATCATTCCCACCATTTTCAGTTTCATTGTCCCGAATTACCACATTTCTTTGTTCCACAACAAATTCAGCAGGAGCATTGCTACTCTCAACGCTTACAATGCCATTGCACCCTTCAATACCATGACCTTCAATATTTTTCAAGCTTGCTACTAAAGGGGTTACTTTAGAGGCCATAACATCTGTGTTGTACTTTACAAAATATTTAACATCATCATTGTCTTCAACCCTTATATGCTTACAGACAGATGAGGATACAGGAACTGAATATTTCAGTGTGACAATATATTTCGTGGGATCTGCATCCATGATCTTATAAATGCGCTGAACAAGGTCGGAAAACGTTACGTTCCGTGACACTATTATGCCTTTAGCCTCCCCACCTTCGTAACTCTCAATGTTATCCTTCTTAACCCAACTTCCATTGTAGCATACCAATATTCCAACAGTATCCATTTCTGCAAATAACATAGATAATTACTACAGCAATGAATAAAACTAAAAAAGATACATTCAAACAAATAAAAACATACACAACAATCATTCCACTACACGTATCATTTTATAAATCTTCAAAACTCAAATTCTAGCTGCTTCAACAAGGAACTTTTATTCATTTCTGTCTTTTCTCTGATTTTGTACATAGCTGTGGGTTCCAAGTTATTCACAAACTCACATAAACATACCATGGCAGCAATATGAACCCTCTAACCTCTAAGGGTTTTCAACAAATGTAAACAACTTCAACAAAAGGCTCAGGTTGTGATACAGAACATATTATGTGGTATAAGCTCAATTACCAAATTGGAAACCAAAACACACAAACTTTACTTCTTACCAAAACAAACCCAGAATGCCAATAAATTCCCCACATTAGCATCTACATTCAGCCTAAAACTACCCTAACAAACCTACTTTTAGGCCAGACAAAGTTAAAATATGATTTTTCTGTGTGCTGTTATTTTGCCCATTATCAAACACATTGCACTACATTATACAAGCATTCGGTCAATTTTAACCAAAATTCAAGTTTACCACATACATCCCACTGCAGATAATAACACAAACTATGAATTTCAACATATCATAACGCCTTCAAACTGAAAATTTAAGCTCTTCTGCCCTTCTGTGGTGAAAAGGGGATGCACGATTTTATAATACACATACACTACCAAACCAATATCTGAACTCACCTCCGTTCACAACAACGCCGGAAGTCGCCACTTTCGCTTCTCCGTGGAGTCGCAACAGTCACTTCGATCTGGAGGTCAACAATGGAGGCGGTGCGTTCCGCCGGCTTCGCTACGGTCAAACTAGGGTTCGAAAGTTTAGGACATCTGGGTTGTGACTATGGATGGGTTGCGAACTGGATTGCTCAGTGCCAAAATGTCTCGCAACCTAGAGTTCCCCCATTTTTGGCAAACTGCGAAAACAGAGAAGAAAGAGGCGCTAAAGGGTTGATACATCTGCTTTTATATGGAGGGCACTTCGGTCATTTCACGTCCCCAAGTGATTATATTAGAATACAATTTGTAGCCTGATTATTTCAGCACACTTTTTCTGATTTGTGATTACACCAGCTTATTTCTAAATTAATTGATTAACGACGATCGTTTAAAAAAAAACTCATCGACATCTCTCAGTGTCCCCGTCGTCGTCTTCTGTTTTTTTTCCTCCAAATCGGAGAATGTCATTTTAGGGCTTGGAATCCAATTCTTGGTTTTCTGATTGCTCCGCTGCTCCTCAGGTGTACCGTAGCTTGAGCACGCGGCGGTCTTGATCTCATGGTCTGATCTTAGCGAATCTCGCCGTCGCTTTCTTCCAGGCCTCCGGTCTCCCCAAACAGGTCCTTGCGCAGGTACTCTGTCTCTTCTCTCTGTTATTTATATATGTATAAACCGTCCCAAAACCAATCTATAGCTGTAAGTATATCATAGTGTTTATGATTGTATATGTATAATTGTAGTGGTTGATCGGGCTTTGATGTTGATGGAAATGTGCTCTCAATCAGATTTGAACCACTGAGACATGTGTTGGTGTTTGAAGTTTGGAAACAACTGATATCTTTTGTTTCTTCAGATTTTCGTAATATTGTTCTTGTGTATTAGAAGGTAGCAATGACTGTTTCTCAACTGTTACCAAATTGAAACCACTGTTATTTGTTTTGAGGCCATTTTCTTGGATTTGAACTGGCATGGAGTTCTCAGTTGGACTTTTGATGGGATGATGATTTGCGGTTGTTATCTAACTGTATTTGTACTCTGATTATGTACAAGCATTAGATTGGGCCCCTTATCAGTAGTTTTTCTCTTGTGCTGCTTTCTTATTGCATCCAAAAAAAGTGCCAATATTTTTCTGTTTTATGGCTGTCAAGGCGATTATTCAATTTTTTTTTTCTCTTTCGCAATCTTGCTTTTTCTCTTCTTTTTCATTTCATTTTTTTCTTTTTGTATATATTTTTGTCTTTGTTCCTTTTGCTCTTACTTTGTGTTTACTTTTTATTTTACATTTTTTTGCCTTTTCATGTATTTTTCTTTATTACATAATTTTAGCTCATTCTATTTTATAATTTGTTTTCATCTTGCTTCTTTTTTTTTCAATATTAGAAACATAAATAAGGTTCAATACATCGATATAGTTGTAACCGAGATAAATTACATTGTTGACTGTCTTGCAATGTTTATAATGTTTCTTAGTAGCTTGATAGGTTTAAAGTTTTTACTTTAGGTGTTGAATTTGAGCAGTAAATAGGACCATGGCTAGGACCATGAGTTTAGTCTGATGGTTGGTTAGGATTTTTTGTTTTCTTGAATGGGTTCCTAGTTGTGCATATGTCAAATCTTATTAGAAGTCGTAAGGCGGCGACAACTGCATAGATTTCGCCTCCCCTGGCTCAGACATCAGCTGCCACTGCTCCAGCACAGATGGACCACTTGCCGATTGGTCCCGGGGTCTCCCATGCACTAGCGTCATCAGTGTCATTAGTGGCGCAACCTGCTAGCGCCAGGCGTCATCACCGCCCCCCCAATACGATCGACACAACATCGACAAACTCAACTGGTGTGTCAAGGTCACAATTAGGTAAAGATTTCCTTTAACTCCAGTTGTTTTGGACCAAGATTTTAGTAGGATTTGTTATTTAACGTTAATTTTATATTTCTTTGCAGCCAAGAAGAACACCCGGGGACCTTGTTGCCAATTGAAGACGGCTAAGGTCACCCGGGTGACCAACAGTTGAATCAACATTGGATACGACGAGCGGCATCGGGCTGCACCAACGGCGGAATTGCATAGCTCATTGGCCCACAACATTGGTCACGTCGTTCGGACCCCTTGCCCGATGAAATGGAAGTCTTGGCAGGTCATGCCTGACGAGATGAGGATGGAGGTGCGCGGACAGTTGTCGGTATGTATCCTACCTTTTAATTGTTTTTCCTTCAAACTTTATATATTTCTATTACTTAATGTATGTAATTACTTTATTGCAGACGAACTATAATTTAGAGGACCTCGACAACGAGTCTTTGACGTACGTCAACAGAGTCTTTGCTGAGAGGTACAAGCAATGGAAGAGCGACTTGCACCACCAATTTCAAGCATTTGATGATCCGTAGGTTGCTATTCAGGAGAGTTGCCCGAAGGAGCTTGAGGGGTGGGAGAATAGTTGGGCGTGGCTTTGCAGTCATTTTCAGGAGGCCAATTATGTGGTTTTTTATATATATTAAGTTGAAAATTATTACACATTTATTTTTTGTATAACATAAGAAGGCGAAAGCAAATAAGGGCAATAGGGACAAGAAGACTCTTCTCCACCATTCAGGTTCCATGCCCTTCTCATATAGGATGGAGGCGCTGTGGTGGGTAATAATAAAATCGTTTATATTCAATTTTTAATATGTCATTAATATTAATTTGTTTTTTTCGTACTAACATTTTTCTTCTCTTGTTCAATTCAAGGGGGGTCCAAATTTCCGGAGATCGACGTCTTTGGCGACGTTTATATTCGACCTGGGAGTGAGTTGGCCGAGTCCCTTCATGTAAGCATTCTTTAATTTTAATTATTATCTTATGCATTTCAAGTTTCATGGTTATTATATGAATGTTTTAATTAATATTTTATGTTATGTTAAACAGGCGACGATGATGGAGAAGAGCCAGTTGGTTTTTCAGGAGTCCACCTCCCAACTTCCTCCCGATACTCCGCTCAAGTCTGTGGATCCTTCACAAGATGCGGGGTTTCAAATCCTGATGGAGACCCTGGATCAGACTCTCAGGAGGAGGCCAAGGACATATTGTCGAGGGATGGGGAATGCCTGGCGACGGGAACCTAGAGCCCCTTCATCGTCGTAGTCAAACAATCAGGTGACTGCTTTGACAGCAGGGGTGGCTGAGCTTAAGACCCAACTCTCCTCGTATAGTACCTAAATGTCACAGCTTCTAGAGTCCCTCGCTAGATTCGGCATTCCAATCCCGCATTTTGGTCCCTCGTCAACCTCCGAGCCCCTCCAACCCGAGCATGGCCACCACACCTCTGCCCCTGTTGACAATGTCCAGACCTCCAAGCCGCATTTGCAAGACGACCACGTAGATTTTGGAACATTTTTTAATTAGTTTTTTACTTTCTTAATTACATTTTAAACATTTCTCTTGTACTATATGCATTTATATTATTTTTTTTTAAAATTTCTCTTCATTACATTTTTTTTATTGCAATTTCATTTTATTACAAACAAAAAAAACCAAATTTATTTTTTTTACAAAATAGAAAAAACGTAAAATTAAATTTAAATAAAATATATTTTATTTTTGCGCAACGAAACGCCTTTTGTCGTGCCAATTCACGTTTTTACAAAATTAAAAAAACGTAAAATTAAATTTAAATAAAATATATTTTATTTTTGCACAATGAAAGTCGTCGTCTCGCGAATAAGAAAAAGCAACGAAGAAATTTCGTCGCGCCATGGCGTCTTCGCGCACATGTTTGCGACACGAATAGTACTATCGTCCCTACATTTTTGCACGACGAATGTGAACCATCGCGTTGTGTACTCGCAACGAACTTGCTGTCGTTGCGCAAAGTTTTGAGAGACGAACTTTTTGTCTTGTCCCTAAAGTTTTGTGCGACAAAGGTTAATCGTCACTCAGGTTTTCGCGACCAATTAAAAATCTTTGTTGCGCAAAGTCTTTCTTCACGATCTTTGCACAACAGATTCAGCTCGACAAAGTTTCTGTCGTGCTGAAATTTGTGCGACTCAAATGTTCTTTGCACGACCATATCGTTTTCGTCATGCAAATAGTAAAATGTAGTAGTGTCCCATATTGAGAAAAATGAAATACTCTTAAAGAAACACAACCGAATGTAGATCACTTGACCCCATGTGATGCATCGGTTGCTGACTCCAGACCCCAAGAAGTGTGCATATAAAATATATATTATACGTATTATGCACATGTTTTTCTTCATTTTTAGTGTGAAAGATGGCCACAATATAAGCAAAATGATATTGAGCAATGAATAGAAGATGTTGGATACGACGATTTTGTCTCTAGGATCCACAACATGCACTACGTATAATTCCTCTATAATATATTTTGCAAAGCTTAGTCAACTTCGACTTCTTTCTCCATGGTCTGCTTCGGGAGATCATATATTAATTCTTTCGCATCCATCACTCTAGGTCATGCACATGCACGTATAAATGTAGTAGGTCTACAGTACTCAAAAGAGGAAGAAGAAAAATATCCAACTCTCTTTTTTAGGAATTGTGTAGTCAATATACTAATATAGGAGACAATTCCTACCGCCCCTAAGCCTTCTTCCTTGGGCATTTTTTATTTTTTTATTTTTAAATCCACAAAAGGTGCTTTTGAAACATATGAAAGTTCCATGAATACAGGACATTTAAGAAGTTAAAGGAAAAGAAAAAGGGCCAACAACAATTTGTTGAAAGTGCCTCCTACTCATAAGGTCCATTTTTTTCTTCTTCTTGTAATTTTTTTTGCACTATTCTCCTGTCCATAGGCATTAGGTGGTTGGGCCTCTTCTGATCGAGAGCAGATCCGCTGTCCTTAAATTGGTGTCTCCTCTATATCCCTTCTCTAATTTGCTGACACATGTCAACTAGCATAACAGAGGGTTAACTCTGTTAACTCTTTTATTTGAGAATTTTAAATATTAAAAAAATTAAAAACAGCCCAAAATACGCGAGCATGAATTATGGATATATTTACGGTCACAAAAGTTTCTCTCCTATTTTGGTAATGTGAATGTGAATGACAGCGAATGTGAACAGAACCTGGGTCAGACTTTCTCCATTCCTTCGCATGCAATAGATATAAGACAGGTTCTTATTTTATAATCTTAATTCACGCCCCAAATATTATAAAATGTTGGCAGAAAATGGATCTTACTCCTTGCAGTTAATGCCAAGCGGAGGAAAGGGCACACGAAATGGCCCGCAAGACGCTCTCTATTTCAATGGCGGTGCATGTGACTGATCCAAGACCCTCACTATTATATGAATGCACTAAATCCCATTTGCTTTCACTTGTTTCTTCACATTTAACACTTCAGTTTCTTCGAGCATTTCCCTCCTCTGTTTGGACTTGGCTCAGCCAACACTTAATTGATTCCTGATTAATTGTTTCTATTTAGCCATGGCCATCTCTGGGGTTTTGTTGTTGTTTGCTCTCTGTGTGCTTCCGGGGCTTGTCAGCGCACGCACATTGGGCAACCCCTTCCACATCCAAGGCCGCGTCTACTGCGACACTTGCCGTTGTGGTTTTGAGACCACTGCCACCACTTACATTCCCGGTACTCCTTGTAACCCCATAAGTTTTCTATTTATGTTGACTTGCATATCGCATTTTCTGATCACATAGCTAAACACATTATGTGACAGATGAGTCTTACCTGTTATGTACAGACTGAACAAACGTATGATGTTTTTTCTAAACATTTGTTTGAATTGTGTGTTATGCTGTGCTTGTTACTTAGGTGCAACTGTGAGAATTGAGTGCAAATACAGGAACACCTTGCAGCTTGCTTACAGTGTTGAGGGAGAGACCGACGCAACTGGAACATACAACATTTTGGTTGAAGATGACCATGAGGACCAAATCTGTGAGTCTGTTCTTGTTAGCAGCCCAGTAAATGACTGTAAATCAGCAGACCCGGGACGTAACCGTGCGAACGTGGTGGTCACCCGTTACAACGGCGTCGTTAAGGACAAGCATTACGCAAATAACATGGGATTCTTCAAGGATCAGCCGTTGGCTGGGTGTGAAGAACTGCTAAAGCAATACTTGAACTATGATCAGCCACAATAGAGGAGGAGGAGCTATATACAGCCTTGTTAGCTCATGTGGGCTATCTTAGATTTGAGCTATAATGCTGTTGGTTATATAAACCTATCATTGATCTCAATGATATGGTGTTGGTTCTCCGTCTGTCTTTAATTTGTTTAGTTTGTGGACGTTAATGTTTTAATCCTAATGTTCTGTTTCACTATATATGTATGTATTTTGGTCATTCAATTGTGGCTTTCAATATGGATGAACTTCTCTCCTTCTGCTAAATAGATTAGTAACAAACCTTTCATCTCCTCTCTTTTTTTTCAAAATTAAAACATCCATGTCTTTCTTCTTTTTTTGGCAACAAAATCAATAGTAGCTTTGAAATATGAGGTTTATATTGTGGGAGCAAATAAATCCGACGTCCAATCATAAGGCACCACGTGGAAAATAAGCCAATCCTAGAATATATTATTTAATCCTCGGTTATGCCAAAAATAGCAGTGCCAATAGGTTTTTGGTGATTAACTCTGAAGTAAAGGATGTTGCAAACAATACAGTTATGGAAGCGAGATTCTTTGAAGATATTTTCCCTTACAAGACAAGAATTTCTAAAGAAGTATGAACAAATGAGAAGTCTTCTAGCTCAACTACGATCGAAAGTTTAGAATCTTAAGAACTTAGACAAAGCAAAAGAGCGAGAGTTGAGAAGTGCGCAGTGCACACCAGGAGAAAGTTAGCATCCATCACCCGCACGCCACCTCACTCCGCGTCACTCACCGTCTCTGAGTCGCTGTAACGACGCCTAAAAGTGCAGCGGTTGAAGGTCCCGAAGCGGGTCCAGGTGGACGAATCCCCAACGAATATTCTCAAATACGATGTGACGGAAGATGAAGAGGGGAACCCCTCGGAAGCCCTAGGCCACCAAAACAACGACGGAGAAGATAATGGCGGAATGAGAAATAGCAACGTCACTGAAGATCAAGAGCCCTTCATGAGGGTCAAGGTCCGAAGAAAAGCTTCGTTTCACAAAGAATACAAAGGAGACTAAATTGACGTCCGTTCCAATCCATACTTGATGAAAAAGGCTGAGAATGGTGAAACATTCAAAATACCAGAAAATGTCCTTGGTTAAATAATATATTTCTAGTCATGTTTAATAATATATTTAGAGTGCTGCTAAATGAACCCTAAAATTAACTGAGTACACCTAACAAACTATTTATTAAATTACTAATTTATCCTAATATAAAATTACCAAAAAAGATATATTGAATTGTGAAACAAATGTAATTTTAATAAGTACTCTACTCACCATATTCAACCCTAATCAAATAGCAATTGAACACTAGAGGAGGCGCAAGGAGATGTCATTGAATGTTTGAGGTCCTGCATTGAACTTGAATTGATTCTTGCGTCAAATTATTGTCTTGCCTTGAAACTTGTAAGATGTTATTTCTTTGTTCTATTCATCTGCTAAACTTGAATTATTGTCTTGCCTCCGTGATTCCTTATTGTAAATGATGGCTAAGAACATATTGAAAATAAAAAAAGGATACAAATGCTATTGTATAAGAAACGAGAAGACGACTTTCTTGAGACGTGGTTGTGGTTGCAACTGAGGTGATGTATTTTGTTTGGTTCAGTTAATTCCATGAGCAGAACTACCTAGTGGGCTACACTGGGTTGTAGCCCACGTAGCTTTTTGGAAAATAAAATTTTAAACCTATATAGCCCATTAGCCGAGGCTATCATCTTGTGACCTCTTGATAGTTTCTTATGTAAAGAATTATATCCTAGTATCCTAATTGGTCCCGCATAATTAAGTATCCTCAATTATAATAAACTATGTTAAAATAAAAAATATACATGTGAAACTTAGCCTAGTAGTGGTGCCAAAAAAAAATAACATGTCTCCTTTTGTATTCTTTGTTATAAAAGTCTCATTGGTAAAATTCTTATCCCTAACTCTCCAATTTTAATATTTTCATTGATTTGTCTCCATAAGAGAAAGATTTGTCTCAACGAAATTCACCTTTTTACGAATAAAATGAAACGAAAATGTCACAAAGATAATATTTTAAAGATAGGTTGATTCGCAACAAGATGGATTCATATGACAATAACAAAATATTTCAATTCTCTCATGGATGTCAGGGCACAAGTTCAATAGATACACTTTCAGTTATGTTGTTAAATATAAATTCATTTTGATAATTTGTATTTTTTTTATTGCATTAAATATGTATTTGTTTTATGTTAAATCTTATTGGAAATTAGTCAATGTAGCTATGAATTGCATGGTTTATTTGATTTAATGTATACTTTTGTTTTAGCCAAAAAATTTAGCTAGCTCACCCGTCGAAAAATTCATGGTTTTGCCCTGTGGTTTTTATGCACGTAGGACTTTAGCGTTTGAGGTATACAAGCTATTAGCTAAATGAAACACGTTGGCGTTTGGTTTCTTTCACTTTGCGGTTGCTGGAGGAGCCGACTATTGGTGGGATATGTTTCTCTTTTTTTCTTTCCAAAGACTTAATTTTTTTTCTTTACTTTGTGTGCTAGTGTATCAGGGGTATTTTTGGAAGTTACACATGGTGTACTTAGTTAATATTACAATTTAATTAAAATATTATGGTGTACTTAGATCATAGGGTGTACTCAATTAATTTTAAAATTCGTTTAGCAACACTATAAATTTAATAGAGAAGTTACCTATTTAAGTTTAGGGAAAAAAATTCTATAAATTCCCTCAATCAAATTATTCAAGAAATGAATAATTCTCTTTAAGGAGGATTATTCCCTCCTTAAATGGAAAAGAAGAGGTTACAAAGATGGAAGGCTATTTAAACAAGAGGAGAAGACAAAAATGTAAATCTAAACTTCTTCCTAACTTGGGAAAAACCCTAGAGATTACACACACACACACACACACACACACTCTCTCTCTCTCTCTCTCTCTCTCTCTCTCTCTCTCTCTCTCTCTCTCTCTCTCTCTCTCTCCCTAGCCGAATTCCCTTCTCCCTCTCACACTCGTGGTTGACTAGCCCAAATTGTCACCATCTCTCTTGCCTACTCGGCTCCCACGCCACACATCTCTCCCGTAGAGAATTATCTCCATCCTTTCAGTATTATCTGCATCTTCCGAGACCATTTTACTGACTTAGGCATCGGAAAGCCCTTGGCCACCACCACACCGATGGTTCTCCATTGACCGCCATTTGTCTTGTAGGAATATGGCAAGGGAAAGGTCGAGAGAAAAGATTCATATGCAAATATTCTCCCGTGAGAAATTTGCACAAACATTTTGGTGCTTCATTGAGAGCCTCGAAATATACTCAAAGCGAAGCTCACACAAATTTCAATAAGAAAATCTGTTTCCTTTCCATTTATCAAATCCATTTGAAGCATTTGAAACAACCATGGTAAAAAGTATCACCATGAGGAGCAAGACGGCGGCCACAAACTCCACTGCGGTACCAAGTCCCCACAGTACACCGAGACTAGCAATTCTCATGCCGCCATCACCACCATGCTTGGACCGGTCTTGGAGCATGTGTCACCACACCCACCTTTGCCGCCACAACCCTAAACGTTGCACCTATTCGTGCTTCTGGAGACACCTTAGGTCATCATTAACTTGGCTTCACACAATTCTCTCATGTCTGCCTAAACATCCAAGCAGATCTCAATCACAAGGTTGATGAGCTGACTAGGAGAGTTGAGGACCAAAGCAATTTGGTTGATTGGCTACTCAGGCATATTGATCAGCTACTCCAAGGAGGAATTAAATTAAACTCTAAGAGGGAGCCCAGCTGCAATTAGGAATTAAAAATCCCAGTGAGTATTTCACATCTCCTACATGCCCCATGCATGACATTGTAACATCCCACATGAGTTTGGGCTAGAGCAATCCCAGGATAGGTGACCCATTGGGAAGTTGTTTGTGAGCTCTCAGAAACAAAACCGTGAGGGCAGAGAGGGGAGCCCAAAGCGAACAATATCGTGCTACGGCGGAGCCGATCCCGGGATGTGACAAACATGCATAAGTTGGGGGGGCATTTGTAGGAGTAAATAAATCCAACGAACAATCAAGAGGCGCCACGTGCAAAAGAAGCAAACCCTAAGAATATATTATTTAAATCAATATTCTAATTTAATGACAAGACCTGCCCCGAATTTCCTCGTAATCCGGGACGGACCCCGCCTAAGCACCGACGTCAACCTAATGCCGGGCCCACTTACTAAAGACTGAGACTTTCTACCAAAAATTTAGCAGAGTCTCCCTTGTAAATTGAACATTCCCAAACTTCAACCTGTTTAAAATTTACAGTTAATTACAACCAAATGGCAGCATGCTTTACAAGCAATAAAACAATTCACAACAAAGGCCTCCGGCCTCACAAAATTAAACCCTTAGCGGGCGATACAGAGCATATCTAAGGAATTCAAAATACAACCGAAGTACCGTTTAACTGAAAAGAAAAAGCACCAAGAGTTTCTACGAAGACTCGAGTTCCAAGATGCACCCGGTCCGGCTCAACTACAGAGCTCAGTCGCTACTGGCTGGGGGCGCAAAATAGAAAGTTGTGAGTTGACAAAAATCAAGTTCAGTTCAAGTGAAATCAAAGTATAACCCCCAACTTTATCAAAAATATGCAATGAAACCATAAGCATAACAGAACCATCCGAAACAGTATATAAACATACACTAACACATATACCGGATCTCAAATCCGTAATCCGTGAATAATGCTTCACAAAACCCACCACTCAACTTAAGAGTCCCGAGAGATTAGACTCTCGTAAACGTACTCAAAAGTACGATCGGCGAGGAAGTATCCTTACCGAAAAATAGAACGAAGGAACATTCATATATAGAGATATATATATATACATACATATATATACATACATAATAATAATATGATATAACATAATAATAATAAGAATAATAATAGTATATAAAGATAACCAATATTTAATTGTACCGGGGAAACAATCCAACCGGGGGACTGTTTGACTAGGCCACATGGCATAGCCATTCCTCAATTCACCATGTGTCTAGGGAACGAGCCGTCCAACTGGGGGGACTAACTCTCAGCCAGCACGTACAGCCGACACAGTCAAAGCTTGTACGCCTGAAATACCAGTCCTATGCGCACAGACTACCCCAAATCCAGGGTCCACAGCAACATCCCCTCAAGGATGTCCTGAGTTCTAATAACTCCAATATTCGTAACCAAATTCAGATCAAGGGAGGTACATAATTTAGTGCTTAACGCACTCCAAATAACAGATCCAACATTACCTTTCCATAGTTCATATTAACCACCAAGTACCCCATGCATAGCCGCATGTACATATAGCTTCTCAAAATTCAAATATCAATATAAGTTTTATAAAAACCTCGAATTCCCATTCGAGCGTATATAAATAATTAATAGACATAATAAAACAATATGCCATATTTCCATGACTAAAATCATACTGAGTTTCAAAAGAAAAGTCCACTCACAAGTAGTCCCACACAGCTTGACCCTTAGAAGGTCCCGCCTGCTGCGTATGCTGGGTCGGAGTACCTGATTCAGAATACGAAAATACGATGAATATCAAGCACTTCAAAACAGAACTTTGAAATAAAACCCTAGCTTCCCGGGAGTTCCTATAGGTTTTACGAGGTCTAGGATACACGTCCTGTAAGTTTGGTCCGAAACAGACGGTTAGACCGCTCACGATCGCACAATTGGACGGTTACTGAAACCCTCACCCTAGGGTTGGCATTTCCGGAGTATCCGGGACTCCGTTTTACGACCCGTCGAATCCTACACGATCCTACGGGTATCCAGAAGAACATACTTCAATTTGAAAACGATCCAACGGTCAGAACATATCGAACCCGAATAACGCACAATATGCGATAATTCGTTCGATAGTCAAACGACCTCGAAATCGAGATCCGTGAAATCCTACGCGCTCGTGACAACTTAAAGATCACATTGGAACAGTTTGCAGCTCCACCACACTTGCCCACGCACCGCCACACGCACCAGCAGCAAGCGGGTGTGCAGAGAAATTCCGGCGACGGAAAATCTCCAAATCACAAGTCACCCTCCTGGCTACAGGTCCTACTCAACTAGGGGAAGCACTTCACTCAACTACGGCCAAGCCCAAAACCACCGAGAACTGGCCGGAATTTCGAATTGAAAACCGGCCAAAAACCTAATTTGAAAATAACTTCCAAAACCTCAAAATCGTTTCAATCCTAAGCAACAGGCAGCTAGAACAAATAAAAAGAATGAGAAAACTCACCTTTAACACCGGAAAAGGACGACTGAAGAGGTGGTGCAACGATCGGAAAACCTCCGATTCGAACCAGTCGCAACTGTCGGCGGTTCTCGAGCTTTACGGTCGGGATTTTGGGTGGGTCAGGTCCGGGACTTCACTACGAGTCGAACGGAACCGGTCTCGAGGGCTGGGGTGGCCGAAAGTGATGGCGGCGTGGAGAATTCTGTTCGGGTGAACAGTGACGAGAGAGAGAGAGAGTTCGCAGAGAGAGAGAGAGAGAGAGAGAAATGAAATGAAATTGAAGAATCTGCTTTTTACAAATACCCTTTTCGAATTATTTACGATTTTGCCACCGAAAGAAATTTCATCGCCAAAACTTCGTTATAACTCCGATTCAAGCCTACCGCCTGTCTACGAATTCAGCTCAGAACCACCTACGCAACTAAACCACTTGTGGTCCCAAAATCCTTCCGGACAAGAAAATGACCAAAATACCCTACCCCAAGGGTAGTTTTGTAATTTCACAGTTAATTTAATTTTAACCTTTTAAATAGAGTCGGGGTGTTACATTTAATAATATATTCAATATGGGGATTACCTATTTAGATTGAGGGAATAAATTCCATAAATTCCCTTAATCTATTTATTTCCTCCCATAACTTCCCTCAACTCAATTAATTAGGAGAGGAATAATTCTCAATTATTCATTCCTTAATTGGAAAAAGGAATGTTACAAGAAAGGAAAAAATATTTAAGCTAAAGTTGGAAGACAAAGAATGTAACAAAATCATGATTGGAGGGGCGTCACTCCTCGGGAGGATTATCTTTCCAATCTCTTGAAGGTACACCAGCCCCCTAAACCCATCTTGCTAGCATTCCCCGTTTGTCTCTACCAGCTAGCAACCTTCTTTTTGAAACACCAGCAGCACAACCAGCCCCCGTCGCCCATCCTTCCCTCAGCCATACACCAGTCATTACCTGTTACCTTCATTTCCTCTTTTGCAGTTTTTTTTTAAACAAACCCACACCACCGTCTTCCGTTCCGATGTTACTACATCAGGGTGTTTGTATCCTCCTGATCAGAATTAGTATACTTCACCGTATAACTATAAGGATAACAAGGAACGTCCCTCTGTGTTCTTAACCTTTGTCTGTTCTCTGGGATTTCAGAGGGGAAGATAAACCCTGAATCTACACCCCTCTGTGTCCGTTGTTGCTAGTTTTGTGAGCCCTTAGCTGTGGCTGTCTGTGCGAGTTCCAGAGTTTTACCTGAGCTCGTCTATCTGTGCTTCCCTTATCTTCTCAACCACCAGAATGGCATCCCTTGACATCCTGGAGGACGAGCTGATGATGGAGGAAATGTCGATACATTTTGATGATTCCCTCGATCTGGAGGAGAATATTGAAAACAAAATCACTCTTGTGGGCCTTCTCATTGCTGACCATGAACCCACCCAGGGTATTGTTAAAGATGTGCTGCGTGCAATCTGGACAAACATGGGGCAGGTCAAAGTTTTGAAGGCAAAGGAAAACGTGTACTCAATCACTGTTGGGGATGAAGCGGTGGCTAGCAGACTCATAGACGGAAGTCCGTGGTTTATAAAAGGGAACCCTTTCACCATTAAACCTTGGCCTCTGTACCATTCTTTAGACGATATTGTAGCAAATCGGGCAGTTTTTTGGGTGCAAGCTCACGGCATCCCCCGTAACTTCTGCACTATGAAAAACGCTAGAACCCTTGGTGAAAGGGTTGGAGCAGTTCTTGAGGTGGAGAATTTGGAAACAACAGGTTTCAGAGGCTTTCTCAGATTGAAGATTGACTTTGATGCCACTAAACCACTAATCCCTAGTTTTACTATGCCCTGCCCTACCACTGGAAAGAGGAAGATTAGATTAAAGTATGAAGGTCTGAAGGATTATTGCCGCAATTGTGGACGGCTTGGTCACTCAAGAGGATGCCCCTGGACCATTAGCTCCATTAACTCCAGAGGTCCTATACATGCGGGTGGTTTTGAGGACCTCCAAGCTCCAACAATATCTAAAGCAAGCACACACCTCTTCCTTCAACGCCATGCCAACCGAAATGCTCAATCTGGTATGGACTTGAATAAATGGAGGGGATGTTTGGAGAGGGAAAGCGGTGGCTTGTACGGCCTTTCCGGCGTTGTTGAACCGGAATACGTTCAAACCTTCGTGACGACCCAACAGACCCGAATACAGACAAATCCGACAACAAACACGAGGTCCGCTATTTCTCTGCAACCTGCAGACCTGCAACCAAAGACAAATTCTCCCAGGATTCAGACTGCTCCCCAACCAGTGTCTGCATCGCTGCAACCTGGGATGGGCCAGGCTATCCCTGCTTTGAGCGGACCTACTCGAGCAGACTATGCAAATCGCTGGAATCCTGACAGCTTTGGGACCCAGTTTCATAATGGGACCCTGACCATAGCTGTGAATGGGTTGTCTCTTAAAAAAAATTGGTGCGACCCGGATAGGGTCCCTCCTTGGGCTTTTGAAAATGCTTCAAACCTTTTAGAGAACAGATTCTTAGATGGGCCTTCAACAGATGCCACACCTCTTAATGTTGGGCCAACGTTTGTTGAGACTGCCACTTCTGAGCCTTCTATTGCCTCATCCAATGCAATTGACCCTGGAAAAAAAAAGGAAAAGGAAAATTGAAATTGGGGGAAATTCCCATACCTTTAGAGGAAGCCCAACCTGCTAAAAGAGCCAAAACTTCTCATAGCCCTCTTCCCAGCTGCTCACTGCGCCTTTCAAACAGAGGAGGTAGAGGGGTTAGAGGTAGACCAAAGGGTATGAAGGGACTCGGCCAAGAAAAAAGGAAACCAGAGAAAAAAAGTAGCAATCCTGTGACTGATTTGGGGAATTTGTGTGATGTTACTATTAGCCCCTCGAAGGAGCTTGAGTTGGCAGAAGGGAGACAACTCACGACTGATTTGGGGGTTTTCTCAAAACCCCAAGGCGGTGGTGGCTGGCCTAGAACAGCCACAAGGGGATCATGATACAGCTCTCCTGGAATTGTCAAGGTTTGGGGAATCCCTTGACAATTCTTTATTTGAAGGAGCTCCTTCATTCAAAAAATCCCTCTGTGGTTTTTCTTATGGAAACAAAACAGAACAGCCACAGTATAAAGAACCTGAGGAGACAGTGTGGCTATCATAAGGGATTGACTGTTGATCCTATTGGAAGAGCAGGTGGTCTCTGCATTTGGTGGAAATCAACGGTGGAAATTGAATTCTTAGATGTAACAAAGAATTGGATTGATGCAGTGGTAAAGGTGCCTTCTGATTCTTTTTATGGAAGATGCACATGGGTGTACGGTACGCCATACAACAGCGAGAAAGTGGAGTTTTGGAAGACTTTGAATGCTTGGGGGCGTAAAGATCACATTCCCTGGATGGTTATGGGTGATTTGAACGAAATTTCTTGGCAACATGAAAAAGAAGGAGGAAATGGTTGGAATACTTCCCGCAGAAGATTCTTAATTGAATTTATGAACTCTTGTAATTTGATGGATTTGGGGTTTAAAGGTCAAGGTTTCACGTGGGAGAGGCTCATGGGAGACAATGTAATCCTGAGAGAGAGACTTGATCGTGCTCTAGCCAACCCTGAATGGCTTGAAGAGTGGCAAGGCACTTGTGTCACCCATTGCACTAAGATAGGATCTGATCACTGTCCTATCCTTCTTGACAGTAACCCTGCCTGTCGCAGCAAAGGCAACATTTTCCGTTTTGAAGCGAGATGGCTACATGAGGAGGAATGTGGCAATATCATCAAGGATTGTTGGTCTGATGGAGGCTATGCCAAGAACGATGTGAAATGGACCCGCAACTTGCAGCTTTGCAAGACTCGCTTAATTAGATGGAACAAAGTCCACTTTCCTAACTGCAAAACTCGAATAAGGGAGCTGACCTTGGAACTTGAGCAGCTCCAAAATGAGAACATTCAGGATGTCTGTGTCCCCCAGCAAAGAAGTATCAAAATTGAGCTTGACAAACTCTGGAACTGGGGAAGAGCAATATTGGAAGCAACGCTCAAGAATATCTTGGCTCAAGTCTGGCGATGCCAACTCAAAATTTTTTCACATTTCAACCATTCAAAGGAGACAACGAAATCGTGTAGTTAAGATTCAAAATGCTAGGGGGGAGTGGCTTGTTGGTGAGAAAGCAATCAAGAATGAATTCTTTCATTTCTTTCGTGACTTATTCACTACTTCTGGGCCTCGAGATTGGTCTGAAATTCTCAGTAAAGTGGACTCCACCATCACCACAGAGATGAATGCCACACTTCTTGCCCCTTTCACGGAAGAGGAGATTAAATTAGCTACGCACCAACTTGGAGCTGACAAGGCACCTGGCCCTGACGGCTTCCCAGGAATGTTCTACAAATTCTTCTGGAATATTGTCAAACCCATTGTCTGTGGCACCACTAGTGATCTTCAATTTGGTCGATGCCGTTTGGAAGCCCTTAATAAGACTTTCATTGCTCTGATTCCTAAAGTCCAAGCGCCAGTGAGCACTAATCAGTTTAGGCCAATTGGCCTATGCAACAACTCTTACAAGATTTTGGCTAAAGTCATTGCAAACAGACTGAAATCGATTCTCCCAGACATCATTTTGAAAACCAGAATGCCTTTGTGCCAGAGAGGCAAATCCAAGACAATATTCTCATGGCACATGAGACATTTCATTATTTGAAATTAAAGAATTCAGGGGGTGTACATGAGGCGGGTTTTAAAGATCGACATGAACAAGGCTTATGATCGGATTGAGTGGGATTTTCTAGAGGCTGTAATGTTGAAAATGGGCTTTGCTAGAGTTTGGATCAACCTCATCATGAACTGCATTTCTACGGTTTCCTTTGCAGTTATTATCAATGGCCAACCAGGTAAATTCTTCAAACCGACTCGTGGCCTAAGGCAAGGGGATCCGCTTTCTCCCTACCTATTCTTGCTTGTGAGTGAAGCCCTCTCGAGAAACTTGTCTAGCGCTGTTCATAATGGAGAGATCAAAGGCATTCGTATCGCACGTAGATGCCCAATGATTTCCCATCTGTTTTTCGCCGACGACGCTTTGTTCTTTGTGAAAGCTGAAGCTCAAAAATGTATGAAGCTAAAAGAGAAGTTGGACAAGTATTGCTTAGCCTCTGGTCAGTGCATCAATTCTCAAAAATCCAGCCTTTTTTCTCTCCCAAACACTCCAGCAAATACTAGACATGATATTTGTACTCTTCTGAATATTAATGGAGTTGACAACCCTGGAATCTATTTGGGCCTTCCGACAATTTGGGGAAGATCCAAGAATGCAGCTCTAGGCTACATCAAAGAGAGGATCCGGAAGAAAATTGATGGCTGGAAACTCAACTCCCTTTCTCTTGCTGGGAAAGAAGTTCTTTTAAAGGCAGTAGCAACTGCTGTGCCAGCTTTTTCTATGACTTGTTTTCGTTTCCCGGAAGGAAACATGTAATCAAATCAACAGTGACTTGGCTTCATTTTGGTGGGGCAATAATGAGGAGAGCGCTGGAATTCATTGGAAATCCTGGAAAAAATTATGCTTGGCCAAGAAAAGGGGAGGTTGGGATTTCGTGACTTGTCCAACTTCAATTTAGCTCTTCTTGCCAAGCAAAGTTGGAGAATTATTTTGAACCCTGAAGCTGCTGGGGTAAGATCTTGAAAGCGCGTTATTTCCCTACGACTGACTTCCTTAATGCAAACTAAGGGTTCTCGCGCTTCATGGGCCGGGTCAGCCTTCTTGAGGGAAGAAAGGCAATGATGAAAGAAAACACGCTTCCAAATTTTTAGTGGTGCAAACACGAATATATGGAACGATGTTTGGATCCCTTCCTGTGAGTCGGGACCTGTGAAAACTTTGCTGCCAATTCCTCCTCAAGCCCCCCAATTGGTCCAAGAACTAATGGACAAACAAAACCACACATGGAAGCTGGATAGTATCTCCACCTTCATAAAACAATGACATCCTACAGAGCATCAAATGCATCCCCATTGGTCACTCTTCCAGACCGGATCGCCTTGTTTGGCCATGGAACTCAAGTGGCTCGTATACTGTCAAGTCGGGTACCACGTTTTCATGCTAGACAAAATACCGACATTGCAAGCCATAATCACTCCTCACACTTTGTCTCGGAAAGAGTTTGGAAGACCATATGGAAGGTGGAGACTCTCCCAAAAATAAAACTGTTTCTTTGGAGAGCTCTATCTGGATCCATCTCAACCAGACTTGCTCTTTTTAAAAGAAAAATTGCAACGGATCCTATCTGCCCAATATGCGAAGGTTTTGAAGAATCGGTGGAGCACATTCTTTTTCTTTGCCCGTGGACTCAACTTGTGTGGTTTGGCTCAGACCTCTCCTACAAAGTTGACACCCGGAGGATCTCGACTTTTGATAGATGGATTGAAGGCATTATTTCGATACCTGGCACCTCAAGAACTGATGGCAATTTTTTATTATCTTTTCTCAGTTTCCTGGGTTGGGAAATCTGGAAGGCAAGGTGCAAATTCGTTTTTAATGGGGTTAGCCCTGATCCGAGGCTTGTGATCACCCATGCTAGAGATGCTTGCTCTGAATATATCTCCAAGGTTGATGCTAGAGGGAACCTTTCTCCTGTCCATCAAGTCCAAGGAACCCGGTGGTCTAATCCAAGCCCAAGCTATGTAAAATTCAACTTGGACGGCTCTTGGCTTCCTGGCACAATGAAGGGCAGCATTGGCATTGTGTCTCGTAATTCCTCTGGGGATGGTGTGGTGGTCTTGCCTCCCCACTTTCATGTGTTTCATCTCTTAGTGCAGAAGCGGCAGCAGCTCTTTGTGCTTTACATCTTGCTAAAAACAGGGGTTAATATGAAAGTCATCTTGGAGACAGATTGCAAGGTGTTATTAGATGGCATCTCTGGAAATCATGATAACAACTCCTGGGCTATCCTCCCTCTTATTGACGAAATCCATGATGTGGTTTCGAGCTTCGAAGAGGTGATTTGGTCATGGGTACCTAGGAGTGCAAATCGTGCGGCTCATGCAGCGGCGTCGATAGGTATCAGAGCTATGGAACTGCAAAGTTGGGTCGACAGACCACCATTGTCTCTCGTTGGGGTGTTAACATCTGATGGTTTGCCTTGTCCACCTCTTGTTGCATCTGCAATTTAGTTTTAATTCCTATTAGTAGTTAGTTTGCTGGGTAGGGACTGTTTGCTCTAGGTTCCGGTGGAATCTAGCTATGTCTAACCTTGCTTTTGGTAGTTTGTTTCATGTGTTCTGCTGGCTCTTTGTGGCTTTTGCCTTCTATCTGTATTTCTATTCCCTGTTTTGGGATCTTTTGGAATACAACATGAATTTCATACCAAAAAAAAAAAAAAAAAGAGGGGGGTTCAAAAATAAAAAAAAAACACCCTAACACGCACGCACGCACTCTCATCGAAGGGCCCTTGGCCACCACCACACCAGTGTTTTTCTTGAGCTTGCAGGGAATCTAAGGAGGGGACGAACGAGAAAGAATATCATCCACGAATATTCTCCGGTGAGAAATTTGCACAAACATATATAACAAAGATTACAAAGCACAACCCACAAATAGCAGAAAAACTTGTGTGAAACAGTGATAGCATTGTTTTGCTATCTCCAGCCAATCACAGACTACCACATTGAAAAGTTATCACACATGGCATGTCATGATTGACTGGGGATAGCAAAACCGTTTCACACAAGTGTTTCTACACAACTAGTATATCATAAAAGATTTTTCTCACAAATGGTACCTGGACTTTTCACAAGTTCTCATTTAAGTTCTCAAACTTTCTAATCAATCAATTTGGTCTTTAATATTTTATTCACACATCAGGTTGGTCCCTCTCATCGCATCTCATCAAAATCTTCATTAAAATTGGTCTCTTACCAACTTTAAAGGGATATTTTCGTCAAAATACAACCTATCCACCTATGGCAGCTCACACATTTTGCTCAACAATGCTATCTTCTCTCTACATGGACTCCAAATGTGAAACCCTAATTGGAGAGAATATGACCTTATTGAGCAAAAATTTGAGTTTTAAAACTAAAACGAGCCATATTTAGTTGAAAATATTTGTTTAAAATTGATGTGTACAATTTCGAACCAAAAAAAAAATTTGATGTGTACAGCTTAATTTGATTTGAGAGTTTGCGGACTAAAATAAGTACTTTTAAAAAGTTCAGGGCACTAGTGATAAAAACCTTAAGGGTTGTTTGGTACGGCGGACTGTTATGGACCGGACTAAATCTAGGACGTCTTGGATTAAGCTGGATTAAGTACTGACCTACGTTTGGTGTTACGTCGGACTAAGAAACTGGATTGTGAAAATAGTGAAGACTTATATTTGGTGTTGTGTCGGACTAAAAATAATAATTTTTTAAAATATTTAATTTTAATTAAGGATTTTAGCCTAAAAATAAATAAAATTCTAATATTTTTGAAAGACTAAAACTGCATCATTTCTTTTTATTTTCTTCTCCTTACTCTTCTCCCCTTTGTCTTTTCTTCTTGTATTTTTTTCCTTCTTTTCTTCTTTGTCTTTTCTTTTCTGGCCCTTTTTTCCCCCTTTCTTCCTTCCTCTTCTCTCCTCTGTCTTCCCTGGCCTGTTTCTTTTTCTTTTTTTTCCTTCCTTCATCTTTCTTCTTCTTTCCATTCCCAGACCGTTTCTGTTTTTCTTGTTTCCTTCTTCCATTCTTTCCTTTATCTTTTCTTCTTTCTTCCCTCCTTTTCACCTTCATGCCACTGCAGATCCCAACCATCAACACACCCCTCTCTCTCTCTCTCTCTCTCTCTCTCTCTCCACTAATTAATGTGCTGGTGGTTTAACTGAGTATGTGGTGGCTGGTGATGATGGTTCGATGACTAATTGGGTGATGGTGATGGTTCGATTGACTGATTGGGTGATGGTGATGGTTTGATTGGGTATGTGGTAGCTGTTTATTTGTTTGATGGTGATGGGTGGTATGTTTGATGTTTCGGGTTCGTGTGTTGATGGTAGAGGTGGTATTCAGCCGGACACTGTGTTCAAAATAGCATCCTCGCTATTTTGCGAACCAAGTTTGGGCTTGCTATATTAAACAAGCGAGTCCAACGTTTTTTTTTCACATTGGACTATATAATCCCATTTAATTTAATCCCCTCCCTTACCAAATATAGGTTTTAAGGACTATTTAACCCAGTCCAGTCCAAGAGCCTTAGTGAGGCATGCCAAACATGGCCTTAATGTTAAAATCAAATTAAAGGAGGATACGACGTCGTTAGGCTCGGGGGTTGGTGAAAGTTTTTGCCGTGGGAAAACTGAAGAGGAACTCCGCCATCTCTTTCTTGGTTCTGCGTTCCCCCGCGAATTTGGAAAAAGCGCCATCTCTGCCCGTCTCTGTCGCTTCCTTCCTTCCTCGCTTCAATCTTCACAAGGCGTTGATCCCTCCAAAGCTTTTAGATCAAGATCACTCTCAAATCCCCCACAAACCCATCTGATATCCATGTAAGTTTTGCTCGTTCTTTATTTTTGAATTGCTTGGGTGTTTCAAGCATGATCCTTTATTTTCTTTTACATTAACATGTAGTTGGAATTCAATTTTGTTCCTTGCTTCGATCTGGCTCTGTTTTTTCAGTTAAGTTGGCTGTGTCTTGTGTAGTTAATTCTAACTTTCCAGCTTTATTGCCATGAATAGGAAAGGAAAAAAAACCTGCTTTATGTGTTTTCAGTGAAGTAAGCTTTGTGGAAATTTATAAAATGACCCAATTGAATGATGATTATAAGGTTGATGATGGAATTACGTCCCAGGTATTAGTCATTAATAGATAGCTCTGTAGAACGAAAATGTTTAGTCAATATGGTTTGCGAGGTCATTTAACTTTTGCTTTGATTGCTTTTTTCTTTTTTTATGGACATTATCAGAATGGTTGCGAATGCTTTCCGCCATCCTGTTGGGGTAATTCAGCTCCATGGTTCTGTTGGTGACACCGGTTCTATGAGCAAATGTAGGCAGATGTCTTTCAGATTTATCTCCAAAAATTTTGCGGTTGATGTGGGTTTGCTTAGAAAAGGACAATGTGGTTCTAGACAGTGTAAACTGCAAGTAATTCATGCATCTTCTTCTCAAACTTCAACAACTGATCCAATTTTATCTACCTCGAAAGGTATTACCAACAATTCTCACAAGACAGCAAGTGTGTTTGTTTTGTTCTAGCAAACTAATTATCCTTTTGAGACTCAGGGAATTTTCTGCTAATTGTTCATTCTATATTCTCCCTTTTGTAGCTGAAAGTGCTTTAATACTAATTCGTCATGGTGAATCTTTGTGGAATGAGAAGAACTTGTTCACCGGTTGTGTTGATGTGCCTTTAACCAAGAGAGGTGTAGATGAGGCAATAGAAGCCGGTAAGAGAATTAGCAACATCCCTATAGATATGATTTTCACATCTTCGCTGATTCGTGCACAGATGACAGCTATGCTTGCCATGACCCAACACCGCCGAAAGAAGGTATCTTTGCTCAAATACTGAGATTTTCATGTGTACAAATTTGACTTTAGAGATACTGAAACTTTAATATCAAAGATAGTACTCGTTTAAGTAGATAATTGATTCACTACTCAACACATGTGGAGCGTGTTAAGCATCAAGATATGAATGTATACTAAATCATATTTGTGGAAAGATTTGAATTTGGGACCTAGCCGTACGGTGCCACATAACCCAAAGAAAAGGGTCATTGCTCCTCAAATTTAATTATAGAGATAGCGTTAATTATTGATGTTTCCATCCCATTGGTAGTGTTTATGCATAGAACACAGTCAACAGTTGTTTTTGAGAATGGAAAGATTGGCTAAAGGTTTTCAGCAAGATCTTGTAAATATTGAATTTCACTAATTACATGTGGTGTCCAATTTATATGAAGTCATATGCAAACCCTTTGAGACTTTGGTCAATGCCATTGGAGATATCTGCCTAATTTTTTTGGACTTTTTAGAATCCTCTGTTGCCTACATGGTGTAGATAATAAAAAATCACTGAATGCTCATTCTTGAAAATGGTAATTCTGGCCCATCTGGTCGCTTCTCTCTTTTTTCTATACTCTTTATAGTTTTAGCTGCGAAACATATACTTGCCAGGGGCAGTTCCAAAGTCTTGCTTACTATGTTTATGGGTCGAACAGGTGGGGTGTACTTCTGATTTTAATGTTAACTGCTACCCAATAATGTAAACAGTGTGACGTGACAGACTTGAAAGAGAGGTTAAACAAGCTGACTTGGACCTAACCATTTAATATCAAGAATTTTAACAGTATGCTAACTCAGATGAATTAGACTGCTATTTCCTAGAGAAATAGATATAAACTGTTATGGAAATCAAATTTACATAAAAGGAAGTTATGTATGTTATGCTTTTCAGGTACCAATCATTACGCATAACGAGAGTAGACAGGCGAAAACATGGAGTCAAATTTACAGTGGAGATACTAAGAAGCAATCGATTCCAGTTGTAACTGCTTGGCAATTGAACGAAAGAATGTACTTTTCTATGTGCTTTATTCTTTTACCTGCACATCGTTTTACATTGAACAAAATTTGAGTAGAGAGCATTACTAGCTATTGTCTTGTATAGGTATGGTGAATTACAGGGTCTTAATAAGCTAGAGACAGCTGAAAGATATGGAAAGGAGCAAGTGCATGAGTGGCGTCGGAGTTATGATATTCCTCCCCCAAGCGGCGAGAGCTTGGAAATGTGTTCACAAAGAGCTGTAGCCTACTTTAAAGAACACGTGAGCTGATTAGTTCTTCTATTATCTGATATTTACATGGAATTCCCATTAGAAGCTGAGTGTGTGTTACTATGTTCTTGACTCTTCTTAATGTGTAAGAACCTGACAAGTAGAAATTGCATCGTAGATTGAACCAAAACTACAATCTGGAAAGAACGTGCTGGTTGCTGCCCATGGGAATTCGTTAAGGTCTATAATCATGTATCTTGAGAGATTAACTTCACAGGAGGTAATGAACATACTTTTAAAATTTCTCACCAGCCATGCAGTACTTTATATCAGTGGAAAATAATTCTCAGTACAAACAGGTTATTAGCTTAGAGTTATCAACCGGTGTACCACTGCTTTATATTCATAAGGAGGAAAAGTTTATGAGGAGGGGAAGTCCAGTTGGACCTACAGAACCTGGTGTTTATGCTTATACTAAGGTATTGACTCTCTGCTCGTCTAAGTTGTTGACATCCTCAAACATGCAGCCAATTGTCTGTAACCTTACCTTATACAATCACTCAAAATCTGCGTGTTGGCCCTTGAACACTAGTCTCATTTAAAATTTCAAACTTCTTTAGACAACTTGATCTTAAAACTTAATTGAAAATTCACACTTTTTGCAAACAAGACAGTCTCATCTGAGAGAGACCATTAGAGAATCACGTGGAATGAAAGAAGTCGAGTAAGTTCTTGGAGAAGGCCACCTTTTTAAGGAGTAATGCTCTTAGTTGTTTCATAACCAATGTGGGAATGCTGGAACTTAGGCTAGCTTGGAACCTGAGTCCCACATAAAAAATTGAGTGCTGTAGTCTATGTCCATCTGCTCCTCCCAGAGGTGGCAGCGTATAATAGCTCATGGCACTTGCCCCGAGCTGGCTCATCAGCCTGGGTGAGCTTAACTCCATTGAACTTAGAGTGGGGTCAGATATTTATTCAAGCCCATTAGTGTGGCTCAGCTTGTGGCACCCTTTGGGCTTGAGAACTATGTGAGTGCACTAATTTGACTTTCAAATGCTCAGACCAGTTTCCTGGTCATGCCAAGACTGATGACATTAGCTCGAGGATAAATAGTGCACTTATATTATGTTCTGTTTCACCAGTTTTCTAGACGTTGGTGTATTTGTTGAGTCCTCAATTTCCAAGTTTTTTTTTTTTTCTCTTTCTGAATTTGGCAGATATTGATTTGTTGGGCTAAAATTAACTTACCCAATGCAGGCTACTTTTTTGTTGCTTAATCCGATTACTCCAGTGATTCTCTTTTTCTAGTCACCCTTTCCAGATATTTCATTAACTGCTTTCTACACTTTTTGCAAGCAGAGTTTAGCTCTCTACAGGCAAGAATTGGATAAAAAGTCACATTGAACTATATAAAAGCAGGTAACCTCCTTGACGGAACATCTGTACTGAAACATTTTTACTTGTTGAAAGACCTGATCTTAACAAATTGAGTGCTTAGTGTTTTGGTATAGTTATGTCCTATACACAGTATAACTATGTTTAACGTTGGATGTCAACCTTCAACTGGACATGGATTGATTGTGTAGTTCAATGTTCACGAGATGCTTGTTTTCTCAGGGGACAACCTATTTTTACTTGGGGGCTTTTTCTGTTTATGAAACAATTGAAGGACATATGCCTGGAATTCTGCAGCATATGAATACAGCTCTGTGCCGTACAAATTTTTGTTTTTTAATTTGCATATCAGAAGTCACTAATTAAAACAAGGCATTGAATTTCTGTAGTTTCAGTACATTCCTGACGTCAAAAGATATTGGAAAAACAAGAAAAGTCACATCATACTTAACAATGTTGAAACTTGTATTGTATGTTAGAGTGTGGGCATGTTGAAGGATTACAAAGGGCATGGCCATGATTTTGCTGCTATTTCTGAAACTTTAGTTAGATAGTTAGGCGATGGTTGACAATTGAGACAGATGTATTCGAACTGCCTCTTGTGTTTGATTTCCAAAAGTCAGAAAGGAGCTACTTTTTCTTCTTCTTTTTTTTTCTAGTTCTAATACCAAAACAAAATGGTAGCTGCCTTTTAATGTAGCTGTAATGTTGAAGTACTAATTTTGGAAGTACTTTTTAGATGCTACTTTCTCGACCGAAAAATTGAAGCATCAATTGAGTCTCAAATTGATTGCTAGAATATCATCGAAAAATATTATGAGTTTACAACTTAACTCTTATGTTGCATGGCCTCCTTATATATGGCTCTGTTTTAGGGATGAGTGTTTTCGAGAAGGTATGTATGTTATGTTGTCACACTTGTAACAGAATCATTGATCGTTCTTGACTAGACAAAATCGTTAGACAAGAAAATCCATTATTTATGTCTAATTGTGTTTCGTACTTTGGTTTCTTGTCTTTTCAGTATCTAAAATAAATAAACACTATCATGTCAAATCTCTATAAAATCCATTATTTGAAAGCTATTATATGGATGAGCTCTTTCAATCTGAAGGGGACAGATTGACCTTGAATTCTAACTGCATTTAGGTCTACAAAAGTGGGTGGATTAAGTGCATGATGTGTTGACAAAAAGACGTATCATATGAATAAGACGAAGCCAAAGCTTAAAGCTTAATTAGTGCATGCATTTGTCTTAAGAAGTTCGGAATTGACCGTAATGTGCACCTCAATTATTAATTAATTTCGTGCCATAGTTCCTCTCGGCCACGTTTGGTACCTCACGTTTATGTGGATAATACGGAGGCTGACCTTCAAAATTTCTCTAAGTTGAAGGTAGAATATGGATTAGTCATGACGCAAACTGTTTCCCTCTTTTCGGCCTGGGTAGGCCGATTGAAGTAGTTTTTGGTCCTCTTTTGAGTGCAGGACGTGCCATCACCAAGCCCCGAATTTGGGCTTGAATGGAATGTGAGTATATGGATGTGTTGCATCCGAGATCTAACTTTAATCAAACGATTGTTTGGTCGAGTAAGGAACCTTCTCACGGCCTAGGTTTTTTCACTACCTCGAGGTCAAGGCTTCATGTAAGCGACAAATGATGGTGAAGTGGGTGGAGATGTAGATGGAAGGTGAAACGTAATGAAAACGGAGAACAAGTGCGTAAAGTAAAGTGCGAAAGATAAATAACGTAAATACGAGAATTAAAGTGCGATAAATAAAGCAAAAACGAAATGAAAGCGATAAGAATGATAAAGTAAAATGAACTTAAAAATAAACTTAATTGAAGTGTGATAACAATGAAAAGTAAAGCAATTGAAACAAACTTGAATTTAAATGACGAGAAAATATAAATTGAACGAGAATTTAAACTTACACTAAGAAAAGAAAGAACTCACTACACTAGGTGCATGAAAAGTAAAATCCTAAGTTTATGAAAAGAAAAGTGCGAGACGAAAAATAGGTTTGTCTGTCTGATGTTGTGTATCTTCTCCCTTCATCTGATGAGGTTTATATAGAGGCATCCGTCAACCCATTGGTTGGCTATTAAATGTCCAAAGGTCAACTTCACTCAAAACATTTCCTTGTAAAGCCTTCAAATCTATGGGATCACAATGATAGAGACCTTATGATTGCTTGATTCTCTCTTCTTTTGGAATACTCCGGATTGTCGTCAATCTCCTTGATTTCCTTCCTTATGAAGCCTCCATCACGTGCACGCTATCTCCAAAAATCATGGGTTCTAATATGTGCCTTGGGCTTAGACCTCCGAGACTTTAACTTGACATCTGGTGAAACATTGTAACTTCTGGAATTCTGATCTTGGTTAAAACACCCATTGATGTTCATGACTTGGAATTTCTTGACTGAACTTGGAGTTGGGTTTGACTTGGCTGATCACAGGCCAAGATCTTGGCTGATCAAATGACTTGGCCTTGGCTGATCAAGAGACTTGATCTTGGCTGATCAGATGACTTGGCCTTGGTAGATCAAAGGCCAAGATCTTGGCTAATCAGAGAACTTGACCTTCGCTGATCTGAGGACTTGACCTTGGCTGATCAAATGACTTGGCCTTGGCTAATCAGGAGACTTGATATTGGCTGATCAGAGGACTTGACCTTGGTTGATCAGATGACTTGGCCTTGGCTGATCAAAGGCCAAGATCTTGGCCGATCAGAGAACTTGACCTTGGCTGATCAAAGGACTTGATCTTGGCTGATCAGAAGACTTTACCTTGGCTGATCAAATGACTTGGCCTTGGCTAATCAGAAGACTTGATCTTGGCTGATCGAAGGCCAAGATCTTGGCTGATCAGAGGACATGACCTTGGCTGATCAAATGACTTGGCCTCGATCCACTTCAGAAGTTCCAGATGTTTCGACTTTGGAAGTCAGATGTTTTCAACCCATTGTTGGAAGTTGGGTTTCGACTTCTAAGATCTTAGTCTGAATTATGATGGAACATCGTGTATCTTAAGCTATAAACTTTACCGAAGATTAAACGAGATAGGGTGCAGGATGACCCTCAAGTCCGGCCTTCTTGTTTCGATTTGGCCGTTAGGCACCTTGAGCCGCCAATTTGCATTTTGGCCTATTGGTTTTCCAAGATGCATGGTCAGACTTCGACCAGGGTCAAACACAAACTTATTTCAATCCCCACAAAAATGGTATGAAATCAACACCTTATAATTTATTCCTTCTTATCCCTACAAGTGAAAAATCCTTATGTACATACTTCAATTTACTTTGAATCTTGTGAGTTTTCCATTCCAATCCAATTTTATGCACCAAATATGGCCATCGTGTATAGCTAATTAGTAAATCGATCATGTTTGGAGGGAAGAACTCGTCTTTAACTCGAATGGGAATGATGTTTCTTAAATCTTGCATGTAACCAACTTGTATGTTACTTGAAGTTATCTTTAATTATACATACTAAAGTGCAAATCTAACATAGGTTAGAAACTAAGTGGGGTGTCTATTAGATAATAGTAACGTGCGGACATCTGCATAGGAGAAATTATATATATATAAAATGACTGAGAACTTGATTTTAATTGTTCACATAAAAAGTATAGAATTATATAATATTGTAATATTCAAAAAAGAAAACAGTGTAGATAAATGAATTGGGATGAAATGACAACGACAATGTGTTGTGTCACTGAGACTAACGGTTTCTCCTCTTTACCGTCCTAAATTCTCCGAAAGCTTTGGCGCCAAAATCTCATCCTTCCAAACAGAACACACAAGGAAGAAGAAAATCACTAATCACATCAAACAAACCCAGCAAAAGCCAAAAAAAGAAAATTACAGCCACATTATTCAAGAACACCTCAAAACCCAGAAAAGAATTCAGCAATTTAATTTCAGAAATTATTAAATAATTACAAAAAAACACACTCGCTCAAAGTGTGCGACACAATTAATTGATGCATATATCATATATATAAGAATATATATATCAATGAATGAATGTCTTCCTCTTGTGGAGATGCCAATGTCGAAATGACCAAAGACGACACCGACATCACGCATGATAACTCTGCCAAGAATGACAAGAAAAAGAAGGTATTTTATTTATTAATTGTTTTTTTTTCTTTCTAGTTTTCATTTTCTTTTATTTATTTATTTTGTTTTTGTATGAAGTCTATCATTCCTAGGCTTTTTGGTGTAAAGAGAACAGGACGCGAAGGCTCAGACGAAGACATATTCAAATCAGATGGGGATGGCAATGATTATCATCTAGGTATCTCCCATCTCTCATACATAAATATATATATATATATATACATATGCCTTCTTTTTATTATATTTTAAATAGTTTTTAATTAAGGTATTTTCGTTTTTAATAGATTTGGAGAAAAAGATTGCTGCTAGGAGACAAGCTTTCATGGAGGCAACTCCTATCATGAGAAAGAATTTTTCAGGTATGCTGGGTTATGCATGCATATAATTTATTACAGATATGAATTAAGTTTAGAAAATCATGTTTTGGAAAGTGATTTTATATAGTTAATCATTTTTAATTGATGGGTGATGGGTCAGCTCTAGATTGAATCTAAATGATAGAGACAGGCCACTTACGACAAACAGATGGACTGGAAATTTCCCTCATCTCCTCTTGTCCCATTTTGGTAGCTGACCTAACAACAATTTGTTTTGATTATTAATTGGTAATATGTTTGTATTCCAAGTAAAGACTAATCGTACATGTACCAAAACAAATCTCAAAGTTGTGGATCCAACTAATATGATAAATGTTTTCTTTGTTTACGTTTAGGTTTACTTGCAACCTCATTTATTTTTTATAGGTAAGATATTCAGTCATACATCACATAAGTGAATAGTTTTGATGACGAGCGAGTGTTACTATTTCGCTAAACTTGGAGATTTTCTTGCTTGATTTCGACCCTTAGGCCTTAGCATGTAGAAAAATCATGATTTAAGTAGACTTTGTGAGATTTGATGAGCAAAATGAAAATTGTAAAAGATGATGCTATTTTCTTACTCTACTATCAGATAGGCAGGCTAGTCCCGGGATTCAAAGCCTAAACCTATCAAACTTTGAACACTCTATGGCGCCAGCAACTGAGACTAAAGAATTCCGGTAAGAATTAATTCTTATCATCATCTCTAGCTAAGAGACTAGGACAGGAGGTTGTATATAAATACATTGAGTTTAATTAATTTAGTTGTTGCTTTCAGTTAATTTTTTTTTTAAAACAAAAAATTGTGGTTAATTTTGGTGCAGGATATTTGTGGCGACATGGAATGTGGGAGGAAAGTCACCTAACAATGGCCTCAGCCTCCAAGATTTCTTGCAGGTGGAGGGCTCTTCGGACGTCTATGTTTTAGGGTACGTAAGAAAATGCCTCACAATAATTATAAATAATAAAAATTAAAATTAAACCTTTGTAGCATGAGACTACTTAATTAACATTTGTATTTTTTTTGTTATTATAAGGTTTCAGGAAATTGTTCCTCTAAGTGCTGGAAATGTTCTAGTGATTGAGGACAATGAACCAGCAGCAAAATGGCTAGCCCTCATAAACCAAGCACTGAATAAACCCCAAATCGCATGCTCCAATGTGCATTCTTCTTCAGATTCATCAAACCAGGGTTCCAACAACAACACCACCAAGGAATCCAAGTCCCCAGGCAGTCTCAACATCTTCCAGAAGCCTTCTCTAAAAGCTCTCAGAAAAAGCTTCAAAGTAAACAGCAGCCTTCTCAAGTCTTGCAACTGCCCTGTGGAGTATCCATACCAAGAAAGGCGGCGGATAAGAAAGCTCAGTGATGCTACCAGTGAATCAGACTCAGCAGCTTCTCCTCGAGGCATTTATGGCAGTGATGGTTGTGTAGATGAATTTCTTGCAATTGCTGGGATTCAGTCCCCGTCTTCCTCTGGCGACATGAATTACCGCCTTGTAACAAGCAAGAAGATGGTGGGGATTTTCCTATCGGTTTGGGTTCGAAAAGAGTTGGTTCATCACATTGGCCATCTCAGAGTCTCCACTGTAGGAAGAGGAATAATGGGTTGCCTCGGAAATAAGGTTGGTAAAAACTTTGATAAAATTATTTGTACCGTGACAACTGACCACTAATAATCAGTTGACATGATACAAATTGCAGTGTACTCCAACTTTGATGTGCCTATTTACACATTGTATCCACGGTATTTAATCAGAAAATATGATACAAATAGTTTTCAGTCTAATACAATACAATAAAAAGAATGTTTAATGATCATATTATCATATAGCCAGATAATTGTTGAATTGTGATTTTAATCTGCAGGGATGCATATCAATAAGCATGACATTGCACCAAACAAGCTTTTGCTTCGTTTGCTGTCACTTGGCTTCCGGGGAGAAGGAAGGTGATGAGCTCAAGAGGAACGCAGATGTGACTGAGATCCTCAAAAGCACACAATTCCCCAAGATCTGCAAGAATCCAAATCGTCGTCCTTGCGAAAGAATAACTGATCATGAGTACGTACGTTTTACGATATATGAAGAAGATAGTAGCAGGAAAAATTGATGTTGCTTTGCTTTTACATTTCACCTTTTTTTCTTTTCCTTTTGACTTTCATGCATGCATGGTTCAATAACTTGTGATATTCTGATTATGTATAATTGTTGCAGTCGGATGATATGGCTTGGAGATTTGAATTATCGGATGGCTTTGAGCTATGAGGAAACAAGGGTTTTGTTGGAGGATAATGACTGGGACACCCTTCTAGAGAAGGATCAGGTTTGTTGTAGTGTGCCTTTCTAGACGACTTACATGGATTCTTGCGCACAATCTTGGTCAAGTTTCTAAAGAAAAACATACAGCTTTAAATATTATTCTTATATATTACAATTAAATGTGTTGATTTTGATTAACTAATGCAGTTGAATATAGAGAGAGAGGCTGGGAGAGTATTCAGTGGGTTCAAAGAGGGGCAAATCTTCTTTGCCCCCACTTACAAGTATTCTCATAATTCAGACTCTTATGCTGGAGAAACTGCCAAGTCCAAGAAGAAACGACGAACTCCTGCATGGTATCAATCCTCTCCTCTCTAAATTTACTACAACAAATTAAATCAAACGTTAATTTGATGAGAGAAATGTTCTCTTGTCACACTAGTGGGAATCTATAAAATGTATCGTCAAGATTCACGGTTTAGCGATATAAGTCTAGCAAGAGAACATTACGTACCCTTTAGTTTGGTTAATTATTTTGAAACTATTATCATGGTATATTTGATTTTTCAAATGAATATATACTACAGGTGTGATAGGATACTATGGCGCGGTGAGGGCTTTGAACAATTATCTTATATTCGAGGGGAGTCAAGATTCTCAGACCACAGGCCTGTTTGTGCTGTGTTCTCAGTGGAAGTTGATGTTCTTAGAAGCAAAAACAACAGATTCAGAAAGGGCTATTCGTGTGCCGCTCCACGGCTTGAATATGATGAATGCATGCCTCAGAGACATAGCTTCTATGAGTTTTAGTTGAAACATATCCATCAGAATATTGTATAGGGACTTTAGGATTAATTACTTGCCTCCCTCTTTAACTCTCTTTTTGTTCTTCTTTTTTTAATTATGATTAGTGAAAACAAGATAGAACAAAGCGTAAGCATTGTACATCATCACCTCTCTCACATAAGTGGATCTCACTTATGTGAGTGTGGTATACCTCTCCAAATGAACAACTAGTTAGGGAACTAACGAAAATTAATGAAAGTATGAGGCTCTATCGAAGTGTATAGATCAAAAGTGTGGAAATTTTCAGGTCGACGGGCCGAGGGCCCACTCCAACAACACCGATACTGTCCCCACTTAACCACCTGCACAATCCTCAGGTATGGGGTTTTATCACAAAAGGCCTCGGTATTAATTAGAGTGAGGAAAATCTATTTAAAGCACTCTTTCTCCTTCCCTCTTTCCGATGTGGGACACAATTGGGTTCAACACTCCCCCGCACGTGAGACCCCATGTTGTGGGTCACACGTGGAGATCCACACATCGGCAACCACGTGGAGCCATGTCGGGACTCACCCATCACGCGGGGCCATATCTGGACCCACCCAATCACGTGGCACCTTTGGGCCTACGTGGAGCCATGTCGGGACTCACCCATCGCGTGGGGCCAAATGGGGACCCACCCAATCACGTGGCAGAACGGGCCCGCGCCTGGCTCTGATACCAGTGTGGAAATTTTCAGGTCGACGGGCCGAGGGCCCACTCCAACAACACCGATACTGTCCCCACTTAACCACCTGCACAATCCTCAGGTATGAGGTTTTATCACAAAAGGCCTCGGTATTAATTAGAGTGAGGAAAATCTATTTAAAGCACTTTTTCTCCTTCCCTCTTTCCGATGTGGGACACAACTGGGTTCAACAAAAAGATAAATATTTTCACTAAGCAACTGTGTGCATGTGTATGTGCATCTAGATGTAGACCAAGAAAATTGGTCGGGCTGAGCCAACCCAAACTTTATCTAGAGACGGGATTTTTTGGACGCAAGTGTTGGATGGGCCGAACTGACTCTCTCATAATTAAGCTAGGCACAAGCCCAATAGTAGGATTAAGATTCCTCGGGCCAATGAGCAGGTCTATTTGGTCCTATTAACATTGAAAAGGGAAGTACTACTAGACCAAGTGCTCGTTTGTGGCTCCCCCTCATTTGTTGAATCTTTTTTATTTGATTACTTTTGAATCTTCATATAATCCTTTCAGCCATAAGCTTTCAGGGGTCGTTCTCTCGCATGTGAGGAGAGCCGAGCAAAAACATTAGGGTTTAGGTTTTTCTTCTTCCTTCTTCGATCCGCTGTTGTCACAAGCCTATCAGAATACGAGGTGATGATCCATGCCTGACCATTGTCGCATGGAAAGGGTGTAGCCCATCGTCACATGGTGTCTCTGGTTGTGTCTGGTTTTGTTGTTGGTACTATCTTCAAGGTGCAGTGGTTTTCTGTGGGGTTTCCTCTAGGTGCGGGTGGCTCTCTATGTGGTCTTCTTCGTTGTTCTAGTATTTGTGGAGTGTGTTCTCTTGTGTTGCGACTTGTTGTTGTTGCAGGCTGGAGGTCTAGCAAAGGTGGGTGTTTGGGTTTTTTTATTAGGCTATATGGATCTATTGTAATCTCGGTTCTCTGGTTTTGACCTTCATTTTCTCGGGGTTAGGCAAGACTTTGGGTGGCTCGGGATGTGGGGTGCCATATATGTACCCTTCTCTATAGTTTCATCTAATTTATGTGTGATGGGGACCGCGGATCCTGGTGGTGATAAAGCCCTTGTTGATCTTGAGCAATCTTTCGGGAGACACCTTATGCTTATGGATTCTTCTGGTAAGCGTAGAATTGGCATCGAAATCTTTTTTCATAAGGCAATAGAGACCAGCCTAAAAGGGTCTCCCAGGTCTCCCTCATGTGTTCGCTCGAGTGTTTGTGGGCTTGGCATCCAATAAACGTTGCTACCCTAATGATCTTCTGTTGGAAGTTTGTCATACTAAGAGGCCAATCTTGATCCCCCTGTTCGCCCGTTTTGTGTTTGTTCCTATTATGGTAGGGTAAAGTTCCCTATTGCCTTGAAAACCATTGACTGGTCAACAAGTCAACTTTTTTTAGTGTGCGAGCGTGCCACTACTAGAAATGAAAATCCTAGCAAAGTTCTTAAAAATATATAACTTGCGCCCCAAGTTACTAATTTCTAATCAAGCGATTGTGAATTTGGGTGAGGAATATCTCTCAAGTAAGTTCTTTTATTGCCTTAGACTGGTGAGAACTTCACAATTTATCTCAGTAAAAGATTGGTAATTCTAGCCAGAATGAATGATAATAAAGTGGACTGTTTTAGACAGAACTGCTTTTTACAAAACCTAGGAAGAAAAAATCAACTCTAGAAAAGCAAAAAGAGGGCCGAAACTCCATTTCTGCCTAGATAGAAGCTTCTGATCCAGGCTGGACTGAGTATGTCCGTGCTAGACTGAATTGTCAACAACCTCAACTGTTAAGCTTCAACTGTAAATCGATACCAAAGCTTGATTTTGGTAGAGCTTTAATCTATTTCAAGCCCTGGAAGGCTTTTTGAACGAGCAGAACTACAACTTCTTTAGTCTGAATGAGGCAGAAGTGGCTAGACTTGAGGATTACTAAGCCGGAACTGTGCTACGGTACCTGTTCTGCTTGGTCACGGCTCTCCATGAATTTGTTGAGGTTTTCATATTTGTGAAAACTCAAACTCTGCTTGTCTTGGCTTTTGCTGAACCAAATTTGTAACGAGAGAATTCTCGTTTTGAATGACTTATTTCTCTAAGTTTGAACTTGGAATTTCTGATCTATAGCTGGCTTCTTTTGTGACTCAAATGAGCTTTTGGTTGCTCCAGTTTGTTTTGAAGGTTCTCAGTGATCAAGTGATCATTTTGAGTTTTTGCCTTTGGTTGATTTTTGATTGTTTGATTGATTGATGAATTGAGTGTGTTTTGCCCTGTTCACCCTCTCCTATATTTATAAGAAGTGCTTTTGGAGTAGGGTTTCTTTCTTTTAATAATGGGCGGCAAAATTTCTTAAAAGATCTTTCATTTTTAAAATGTAAAGAAGAAGGGGTTCTATCAATTCTGGCAGATAAGCTCTCAATAGTCAGTTCCTATGTCAATCACTTCCCTGTTTTTTGAAAGAGAACCTAACCCTTCTTTAATTCAAACTACTCCCTGTGAGAGCTCAAACCATGATGGTTAGTTTGATTTTTCAGTTTTGATCAACTCCCTGCCCTTCTGCTTATCTCTGTTTGATAACATAGCATGCTTATCTCTTTGGAAGAACCACTCTCTTTGGAGTAAAAACATTATTTCCAAATATATAAAAGGGATTTGATCTTCTGGTGGCAGAGATTCAGAGAAGTCTTCTCCTAGCCGCCTGCTTTTGTTAACCCCAGTTGAAAATATTGACTTTTCTAAGTCAAAAACATCAAGTGGGTCTGTTCTTGTTTTGGGTTTCTTCTTTTTAATCATGGCAAGCCCAAATTCGAGTTTGGACCATGGGCTGATTTCTTTCTTTTCTTCGTTTTTCCGAGGCCCAAGTTTTATTATTTATGTTTTAAACAGATCCTGGACTGGGCCTCCTTTGGATTTGGGCTTTTGTTCCCATTCGCAAAGTCTGGATGTGGGCCTTGTGCCCTTTCGCTTTTTAGTGTTGGGCTGGGTGCGCAAGAGTTTTGGCCCAAACACCCCCCTAACTTGTCGGTTAGGAGTTTGGATTAAGAAATAAGGAGATGGAATTTGGTGTTTTTGTTGGCTCTGCTTTGACGCTCATGGCACATTGTTCTGCATTGTACAAGAGCTATGCGTGCATAGGCGGTTTCCGTTGACATTATTACATTGTGGTGGGATGCTCCTTGTTGGGCTTGTAGTTGCACTTTGTTTTGTCTGGTTTTAGGAAGATGGAGTTTGGTGCTTCTGTTGGTTCTGTTCCTGAAGCTCATGACACGTTTGTTTGGCGTTGTACGAAGAACTATGCGAGCATATAAGTTTTTCTTTAACAGTATTACGTTGTGTTGAGATGTTATTTGTTGAGCTTGTAATTGTGCTATGTGTTATTTCGTTTGGTCTTTGTTCTTTTGACTCTTTTGTAGTCCAATGTATGTGTGGCATTCTTTTTCCTCCCTCAAGATTTTGTCCAATGTGATTTTCCCTAAAAATATTTTAATAAGACTGTGCTCCTACATGCAAGTTCTTTTGTACTGTTCTTCAAATATTAATGGATTCTCTCTTCTAAAAAAAAGCTTTAAAAATTGAACTAAATTTTACTAAATATAATGCATGACTCTTACAAATATTTTTTATTTATCATATACATTTCCAATAAATGGCCGGATTAGGCCCAAAAACACATGGCCCCATGCCCTGTCTTTAGATTAAATAGGTTGGATTAGTCTCACCCACAACATCATGTCAGGCCACGCATAGCCCTAAAACTAGTGCCAGGCCTGGGCCATTTTCTTGAGCTCTATATGGTATCCCAGCTTATATCCTTCCCTATCAATCAAACTAATTAATTGATTAGAAAATTTATATTAAATACTAACTTGGGAAATTATTTTTCAGAAAATTTAGTAATTGACTTTTCTTTTTCACTTTCTTTACTTGGATTCCACTAATTACTTAAGTTTAGGTCACTAACTTTCATTTTACATTTACCTTTGTTCATGCCTTTGTAAAAATTGTTTTGACTTTAAAACTAGTATCAAAGCCTAAATATAAAGAGTTCTATTTTTAAAATGAAAAAAAGTGTTACATTAAGTATTTAATCTCAAATTGATTTGATAAACAATGTGGTCGGCATGTTATCATGATCATGACCGTGAGTGAAGTGATAAACAATGTGGTTAGTAAATATAAATTAGCAATCTTATTGACTACATATTTTTCGTAGAAATAGCGTTATTGATGCATTCGAACAACAACAAAAAATCTGAAAATTAGTGCAACCTAGATAGCTACTCCCTCTTTGGTACATATAGTTTTGATATATATTGCTTCACTAATCATATCCCAAATCCCAAATTGAAGTTGATTCTTGATTATGTGAGATTTCTTCTTCTGAACAAAGATTTAAATTCATATCTCCCCTTTGGATATCAAATGCTCCATCCATAGCCAGATCTTCAATACCACCACCCCAATAGCTTGCTCCATAGTCTCCCACTTTAGTGTCAGAAACCTCACCCCCAACTTGACCATTAATTACGAATGCACCGCTGTTCTGATCAATCTGATTGGCCTTCTGCAGCTCCATATTAATCCAATCCACCATACTCATAACACCAGTTTCAATAGGGAATTCATCAAACAAAGGAAATTTCCCCTCAGCCAATAAACCAGAAACATTATTTTTTTCTTGGCCATCACCATAAGCACGTAATGCAGATTCATGGTCTACCTTTGATTTCTTATCCACAAACCCTAAAGCCAACCCAGAACCCTTCAAGCCCTGACCATTTTGGCAAGCCTCTTCATCAAAGATGCTGCTCTTCCTCTTTTCACTGCTGGGCAAGCTGCACATCCACTTCCCATTATTCTTGCCTTTGATTTGACTAAGGCCAGAAGGGCTTTCTTTCTGATCCTCCTTTTCATTTGAGTCAGAGATTTTGAGGCAAGTCTCAGTAAGTTGCAGAAGGACTTCTTCTTGATTGACCACTTTTGACCAAATAGCAGTCTCCTTAGCAGTCATTTTATCTTGCAAACACTTGCTCTGCCTCACAAGCCTTCTCATCCTATCTGAACTAGGAGCCATGTGCTTGATCACAGCAGCCAAGACACTCACTTTCCAAGCCTTTTTAAGATCATGAGGCTTCCTATAAGGAGGAGCGCCATGATCTATAGAAACCCCTTGGTCACCCCACCAAAGCTCCTCCCCTGTAGGCCACCATGGAGGAGCCAAACCCTTCTCCAATGGGAACCCCCTCTGTGCAGGCACACAGTGCTGCATCAGAGCAGAAAGCAGAGACCCCAAAGTAGTGTCTTGCAGTTCATGAAGAAGATGAGCGTAAGAGCCATGGTCCAATTCACCTTGCTCAAAAATCAAAGCTGGCAAGTACTCAGCTATGGCAGTTGGGGCATTTCGGTTAAATATCACTTTGTCCTTCCACCACTCTCTCAAGCTATCAGAGGACCCTGTCACTGGCTTCCCCTTCTCAGGCACAATCCCATACACAAAGCCCTTTCCTTTGCAAACCTCCATGATTTTCACCATGTACTTGAGTATTGAATCTTGGGCTCTTACCATTTTCTTCCGACGAGACGCCTCTTGTTTTGCTAAGGTATCGGCTTCTTCTTCTTCGTCTTCAATGATTTTTTGATCCTCCTCGAACTTTCGTAACCGCATATGATCTTTCCACATTCGTTTCTTGAGCTCACCATAGCTGATGTCTTCAGCTTCTTCTTCATCTTCTGCTAGCACTCCGAGGCCTAGAGGATCAACTTCTCCATGAAACTCTACCATAATTCAAGTATTTGTGTTGCTCTACCAAATAACCCCAATTGAAATAACTATGCAATATGCATGGCCATGATGTTTTGATTAAGTTGTGTCTATATAAACAACTAAAAAGAACCCAAAGGCGGTGTGAAACCAAATCTTGAAACATAAATGTGAAGAGGGTTTCCTATTTTCCTTTTTCGGGTATGAACATAAATGGGAAGGCTTGAGGACAAGATTGGCATTAACGAGGTTGAGGGAAAATTTTGGAGGATTCTGAAGAATAATTCAAGGAATTATCTGGGCTTCTGAAGTAACAAATTGTATTTGTGGGGGAGGGTGCAATTTGCTTCCAGGGCCGCAATGTCATTGTGTTTTTTCTTTTCTTATTTTCTTTTTAAATGTTGCATGCATGAGGGACACATGGTGTCAATTTGATTGCCAAGCTAAGCTCCTTATCCATTGCAAGATATATAAAAATTGTCACTCCAACTTTACTGGATTAAACAATTAATTACCGACAACAAATCTTCTGGTTTTAGAGCTGTCTTGTGAAGTGTGGAAAGGGCAGGTTTTGATTCGTGGCTACGTAAGGAAGTTGTGTCACCATCTTCATTCTCAAAGACTGAAAGTCTGAAACCACACATATTGCATGCGTAAGAAATTGCTGTACTAAGAAACTTATGATGCGTTTTGGTTTGGACTTTGGACATTGGAGAGGGGATGATGAATGATATATAGACGTGGTCCTTCCTCCTAGTTCAGGCGACGTTCTCTCCATTTCACACACTCTAATTTGAGTTATATGTGTCATTGTTCTTCTAGAAGAAAATAACACTGTTAAACAAAAGAGAAAAATAGTTCAACACTGGTGTATTGGCTTTTGTATAACTCATTCATGGATGCAAGGAGCTTATCCTCGTGCAGGAAAGCTATAATGCGCTGATCAGGTACAAGGTTATTATTAGATTGTTGGATTGAACCGAGGTTTCCGCTCAGCATGGGGCTTGTAACATGGTAATATTTACAGGTAGATTTATGGCTAACTTGGGCCATGAATTTGAGCTGCACTTTCATCATTGCGGGCCCAAGTCAGGACTATGATACGACTTAATCATGAAAGTTTTCTTCTTGTTATTCCCTAAGACTGAAAAAAAAAGTATGATAGAAATGAAGTTATATGAGTTTGCTTCAATGTTGTACCAATATATGCTGTCAGGACAGCATTTTTTGTTCTTTCAAAATTGACTTTAGCCTCATTGTTGTTGTTCATAGAGCTATATCCAGAAAATTCTACAATGATGAATGAGACTTCCGTTTCCCCATGAAAAAAAGTAAAAGAATGATACTTCTGTCATTGCTGCTAGAGAGTTTATCCAAATGGTAAAATTCAAAAAATATAAAGCAAAAGTTTGTTGTTGACTTTTTCTCCCATCTATTAAACTTTGGGAGAGGGGTTTTACAAAGACTCAATTCTTGGGAAAGTAAGTAGACCTAGCATATGGATCGTGTTATCGTGTTCGTGTTGACCCGCTTTTCTTGACGTTAAGTTAACGGGTGAAAAATACCAAACACAAACACGACCGTTAAAATAATGAATGACACGATACAACCCGTTTACCGTTAAAAATTAAAAAAAAAATCACAAAATTATAATAAAACTTAAGAAATAATTAAAAATAAACTAGATAAGAGTTTGGGGAGGGGAGAAGGAGGAGAAGAAATACGAAGAAAAATAGAAAGATATAAAGTGCAAAACTACTCCTACTCTTAACGGGTGATAATAGGTATTCTCGAAGTCACATGACTCCATCTATTTTCAACTTGATCCGTTAAGTCCCGACTCAAATACTGATTCTTTTGTACAAATTTATGTCGTATTAACGGGTCATGTACAATATTGTCATGTCTATAAGTATGGAGTCTAAAGTCCAAAGACCAGTATCTTCAAAAATTCAAACTAATTTAACCTTCCCTTGTGGAGCTGGGCTTTCTAAATCTCTCCCTTTTCTTCCTATATTTTACTCAAGCAGATTACCATTTTCATTACTCTCTTCTCTAGACTCCGGATATGCTGTCTCCAAATTTTGCGGCTCATTAGTATAATTTTTGCCATCTTTCCTTACACATTAAGCTTTTTGCAGTGTCATCACAATCACAAAAATCGTTTTGAGCCACGGGCCAACTATGAAGTAAACACGGCACATGTATAAGAAAAACAAGATACAAAAAGGTAAAAAGAAAAAAAGATAAAGGTCAAAGACAGATTGGCATAATAAAAGCAAATAATAGAGGCGCCAACAATGGAGTGAAATCAAAAGTTTACTTCCTATCAGAAGAAAAATAAAGGAACTAAATAAAGGTGGATTGCCAAAGCACTTGTATATTGTACCAACTCTTTTCCCAAAGATGGAAAGAATGCTTTGGCAATGGGATGGCATCCATATTCTAGTGTTTTTTACAAGCATATCCATCCAAAGGCGAAAGGACGTTCGACACATTTACAAAAATAATTCATCAAAAAACACACAAAAAGAAAAATCTTTATACATATATCAAACTATGATTGACAGAAACGTACGAACTATTCAGTAAAAATAAAGGCATCATCTTATCTTTGATCTGTTTCTGGTATGAACACACTGCAATCCTAAAGTACTACTCTCCAGCTATCATTTTGACTCTTCTGCTAGAGACCCAATATAATTTATCTAACAGCTAATACATTGCTAGATCTCTCCACCTCAACAAAAACATGCATTCCTTTTGGGGTTTTGGCCAAGATTCTTTCTTTGCCCACTAAAAATATGCCTGCCTTAACAAATTTATATCTCCCATACTGCACAAGATTTAGTACTTGTATATACTGGAATATTCAGCCAGTGGCTACTCATAATTTCGACACCAAAAGAAGAAATAATAAGCAGAAAGATAAAAGATGATTTATATTATGTTTGATTTATTTTCTTTTGGGGTTGATTTTGATCTTCTTTTTGTGTGTAGAAAGAGAGGAAGGAAAGAAGAAGAGCAGGTAATTTCCCAGTAAGCGGATTTTAAGGAGCCGTTGGTGGGTCTCTTGTGAAACCTGAGGGCAATTCTGTCATCTGAGCACCTTTTCCTATATAATATTGATGTTGCATTGTATTGCTTTCTGACACGCACCAATTCCGCCACTGTGCTCTGTTTAAAGCAGTATTTTCTGCAATGCAATGTTGATATTGAAACACCAAAAAACAAAAAAAAGATAAAAGAAACTCTTTGGTTTTTTTAGAACGAAACGATAATTTAAATTATTTTAAATTAATCTAGTTTACGAGAAGGGGACTCGAGATTGACCGCTAGGATTTTATAATTGATTTCACACAGAAAAATAAAAATAAAAAGGAGAAAAAGGAAAAACAAAGAGAGGGTTTTCCCATAAAAAAGAAAGGGTTTTAGATTATTTTCCAAGAAATCTGACACACTCTACGAGGCTCTTTGCTCTCTCTCACTCACCTCCTCTGTGACTAAACCATACTGTACCAGATTCCTCTCTCTCTCTCTCTCTCTCTCTCTCTCTCTCTCTATGCTCTTTCAGTCTCCGTTCGTCATTTCAATATCAAGCCTCGCCATCTCTGCGAAATCTTTGTATCAGAGGAGCCTCCCATAAAAGCCTCTGAGACGCTCAGGTTCTATTTTTTGTGGACTCTTTCGCATTCATTGCTTTCAGTTTCAGCCCGTTGGGGGTTTCGTTAATGGGTTTTCTTTTATGAGCCCCAACCACTCCTACACTCTGGCTCTGCTGCTTTTCTAGCTCACCCTGCTATGAAAACAACTACTTGTCAACAATTACTTGTCTCTGTTTTTGGCTCTGAGCTCTGTTTTATGCGAACCTCATAGTTTTACTCTGAAACAAAGTTCAACGATTTCCTCGCATTTTCGCTATCTGGGTCTTGTCTACATCTTCAAAACCAAGTCTTCCTCAAGTGGGTTTTTCGATTGCTGCAAAACCCACATATGCTTTTGGGAGCTGTAATGGTAAATGCTCTGTTTTTCCTCTGATCAGCAATATAAGGTTTGGGTTTAAAGAAAGGGTTTTTCTTATTTTTCCAAAGCTGTTCTTTTTAATTCATTTTCTTAGTAGTTTGTTTTTGCTTTGAGAAGAGTGGTTTCAGTCTTTTTGAGAGGTTTAAAATGGGTTTTCTTTAACAGATTTTATTGACAATTTGGGCTCTTTGTGCTTTCATGAAACGGTTTTCTTTCTTTTTCAGAGGTTCTGTTTGGTTACCAAGAAAATGAGCGTAATTTCATGAGCTGGGTCCCAAAATTTTCCGTCTAAAATGGGTGGTGCAAACTCTAAAACCGAGAAGGACGAAGCTCTGCGTCTCTGCAGAGAGCGCAAGAGATTCATCAAGCAAGCAATTGATTCAAGGTATGCTTTAGCAGCTTCTCATGTATCTTACATCAACTCCCTTAGAAACATTGGCATTGCGCTTCGGCGATACGCCGAGGCTGAGGTGTTGATAGAGTCGTCTCTGTCAACATCAGACAAGACCCCATCACACTCCTCCTACCCTTCACCGTCGCCATCGCCTATGGCTGAGGCTTCTGACTCGCCTATGCACAGTGAGAGACCCGTTTCGCCTCCTGTGGCGACTCTGAGTTATATGAGGTCAGGAGGCGGTGCTGCTGTGACTGTAAGGTTCAATCCGCTTAGTAGTAGTTATATGGATGACGATATTCCGTTGCCACCACCACCACCTCCTCTGCCTGAGGAAGATTCTTCTTGGGATTATTTTGATCCTGTTGATGAGAGTGAGAGCTTTAGGTTTGTGGGAAATAGTGGAGTGGATGTGAATTTTGATGATATCAGAGGGTGGAGACAGGTGAGGGGTGAAGAAACTAATCATAGTGTGGTGGAGGAGACAAGGAGATGGGCAAAAGTTGGATTAGATGGAAGTAATGAACATCATGAAGGAAGTACAAGGCTGATAATCGAGCAAAGGGCTTCCGAAGGTTCTGGTCATTCAATGACTCAAAATGATAGTGTAGAGCATAATGGCAATTTGATGAACTCGGGAGGAGTTGATAGGTCTCTGCAAGCAGGTCATGGTGAAGCAAGACAGTTAAACATGGGACGTAATGCCAATGGGGCAGCTAGAAATTTGACAGGCCAAGTTGCACTTGAGCAGTCTGGTTCGAAGAGAAGGGAGAAGGATTTATGTGCAGAAAGAGAGGACCCTTCGGAGTTTATCACCCACAGAGCTAAAGATTTTCTTTCAAGCATAAAGGATATTGAGCATCGCTTTTTCAGAGCTGCAGAATCAGGTAGAGAGGTCTCCAGGATGCTTGAGTCAAACAAAATCAGGGTTGGATATTCAGAGGCAAAAGGTAATTTTAATGTTGGTTGGAGAGTGTTGTGTTTTGTATGTCCACTTAAACTGCTGAATTAAATCCCAGCATTTGCTTGCCTTTGTGCTAGTGCCACTGATAATTTTAGTTGGTTGAAAAAAAATTTCTTCTTGTTTTTTCTCCATAAACTCTTTCTGACTATTCAAGTTTTGCAGGTAGATCATCAGCTTTGGCTGTTGTCACTGCTTTCCAGATCGTTTTCTGCCGTGGAAAGACTGCACTTGTTTCTCAAGGTAAGTTGTTGCAATTGATATGTCACAAGCTAATTATCAATCCAATAAATACTTTAGGGTTTGGATCCTAGTAATCCTTTGGTTTTGTTTGAGGTTTTTTCCATTCACTCATCACTTCTGGTTTTGTAAAATCCTAGTAATCCTTTGATAAGTTAAAGTTCTTTTATTTGAAGCAGAAGAGTTGTGTCTCGGACACAAAGAAGCAGACAAACATAGTTCAACCCTTTAATTTTGATTTTTTGTGTGGCATTTGTTGGATCAGTTGGTTCACATGTATTATTTGCATATCATGCAGCCAAACAAATGAAGCCTCTTTGACCTATTCACATTTTATTTAATGGAGGATAACTCTTTTACAGAATGATTGGAAACTCCTGTGTCTTTTCCCACCATAATATGAGATCTTAATGTCTTTTTCAGAACCTACTCAACATGCAACTAAAGTTATTACCTGGAAGAGGACAACATCTTCGAGGTCATCTTCGTCAAGGAATGCTCTTGCCACAGCATCAAAAGATGATGTTGATGACAGTGGAAGTGATTTTGTTGAAGAGTTTTGCATGATTGCTGGAAGTCATTCCTCCACTCTGGAGAGACTATATGCTTGGGAAAGAAAACTCTATGACGAAGTAAAGGTACTTTGTTGAAGCCTCTGCATTCTTTTATTAAAGAGTCAAGTGTCTTGTTGGACCTTTTCATTTCTGTAATCTATTGTTCCATGCTTTTAAACAATCTGCCACGTGATCTGCTTACCTCAATCCATGATTCAGCACATAAATGTGAATGTATGAATATTCCTGGCTTGGTAGGGTCCGACCAAAAAAAAAAAGAAGATGAATTATTATTAGGGTAATAATACATGAAAAAGGATCTTCCTAACAATCTTGTTTATATAGCAGAACTGGTTTTTCAATAGATGTTTTGCACACAAGAACACACCCATATGTACATACATATACATACTTTGAAAGAAATAGTTGAGAGGGAAAGAGATACACTGTCCTGTGGAGAGTATGATTATTTGATGAAATCAGTTGGTAGATGGAGTGAATATTGCTCGAAACATCAACTTTTTATTATTGCATCTCGTGAACCCTGTTTCTCTGACATTGAATACAGGAGAAAAGATAATGATTGATAATTTTTTTCCTTTTTGCCTTAGTGATCAAACTTATTATGTTATTGATTTCCTAGCTTTTTAATCATCTTCTCACATATTTTTTTGGTTCTCGTAGGCAAGTGAATCTATTAGGAAGGTGTATGATCAGAAATGTGATCAACTTAGGAATCAGTTTGCGAAGGATTGTAGCAGTCAAGTTATTGATAAAACCCGGGCAGTTGTAAAGGATCTTCATTCACGAATAAGAGTGGCAATTCACGCTGTTGATTCAATATCAAAGCGGATTGAGAAAATGAGAGATGAAGAATTGCATCCACAACTTTTAGAACTTACTCAGGGGTACGTAGGATCCTCCTTGTTCCCATAATGGACTTCAATGTCCATTACTACTATACTAATTTTGAATCCAATTCTTTTTTTTTTTTTTTTTTTTTTTTTTTTTTTTTTTTTTTGTTTCATCAACATCAACCTTGTATTTGTGAATGGTGATTCTGTGTAGATTGACCAGAATGTGGAAGGCCATGCTTGAATGCCACCATGCGCAATATATTACCATCTCATTGGCATATCATTCGAAGAGCTCAACAGTAACTTCCCAAGGAGATTCCCGCAGGCTGATCATGGCCCAACTTTTGGATGAGATTGAGTGTTTTGGCCTAAGCTTTGCAAACTGGATCAACAGCCATACGTCATATGTTGAAGCTCTCAATGGTTGGCTACATAACTGCATCATGCAACCAAGGGAGCGTTCCAAAAGCAGAAGGCCATTTTCCCCTCGTCGAGTTGTGGCCCCACCTATATTTGTTCTCTTTCGAGATTGGGCAGCCGGGATCCAAGCATTGCCGTCTAATGAACTTACTGATGCAATCAGAACCTTCTTATCAGATCTGCGTCATTTGATGGCACAACAAGCAGATGCACAGAAAAACCAGAGGACAGCTGATGCAAACAACGGAGAATCAGAGAACAAAGATGATGAGAACAGCGAAGAATCATCTCCAAACCTGAGCTGCATACATTCGAGCTTGACAAAGGTTCTGGATAGACTGACTAAATTTTCCGAGGAATCATTAAAGATGTATGAAGATATCAGACAGAAAAGTGAAGCAGCTCGAATTGCATATCTAAACTGCAGGCCCATTAGATATCAGACAGAAAAGTGAAGCAGCTCGAATTGCATATCTAAACTGCAGGCCCATTAGATACTAAGTTTATGTAATTATTACATATAAGCATCTCATAAGTTTGTGATTGGATACAGGTGTGTAAAGTTGAATTATTGCAAAGAGCTTTTGGGTAGGAAAAGTGCAAATTTTTGGGCAAGTGCATACGATTTTAGAACTGAAATAGGAAGAGTTTTCTGCCAGAACGTAGAATTTTCGTGATTGGTTATATTGTTATGCAACTAGTCTCAGATAGTGCTTTGTTTGTTTGCTCTCCTTATGGGGTGTTGAAACTTGAAACCAGACCACTTGCTCTGAGGTGCAAGCCATTTCACATGGCGGAAAAAGAAAAACCTGTTCTGGTTAAGATAATGGAAGACATCTGCAATTTCCAATTTACAGGCAAAGGTTCCCTTTACCATGCAATCCGCATTTAAAACTTGTATGTCATATATCAAGCACCAATTCCTTTTTGAATAAGAATTTATAATGTTACAAGTTACAACAGTACATGACTATTCCTGCCCAGAAATATCACTTTGTCCCCAGACTATCATTAACCAATTATTGTAAGGAGCAAAGTTTGTTTTTATATAAAAAAAAAAAAAAAAAAAAAAAAAAAAAAAAAAAAAAAAAAAAAATAAGAGGAAAAGAAAGAACAAAAACCCCTTTAACCAATCAAAGCTCCCTTGTTAAGCCAATTTGGCTTTGACAATTATTTCCTGCTTTTTCTTTTTCTATAAGAATTAAAAGCCCACGTATTGTGTGTAATGAGAGTAGGCATCTGACTGCATTGCAATTGGGGCCCGTGTAACATGATCTGGAATATCAAAAGCGTCTATCAGTTCCCTTGCTACATTTCTCACTCGGAAACTCAGATATTCTGAGAGTTTGTGGATTGCCTGCACAGACGGAAATCATCAGTCAAAATTGGGAACTTCAGGGCATTCCTTCTAAAGCCATGCATGATGCATTTGTGACTACATCTATTCAGGCTTACATATGGTTTCCGTTATCCTGACTCATAGGGAAAGCATAGAATCAAAAGACTTTTAGTTTTATTTTTCATGCTTCATTGGATTATTAGTCAAGGTGTTTAAATACCTTAGCTTTGTTTGGTGCCACATAATCAACATTACGATAGGTTCCTATATCCTTCCAGATTCGTTCCAAGGCATAAAGATCACAAACGAGTTTCAAAGCAGCTCGAGAACTTGCATCCGGACAGCTGGCACATAAATAGCCCAAATTAGAAATACAAAACCATAATAGAAAGAGAGAAATGAAAGTAACAGAGAAATAAGAATTACTTCTGAACAGATTCGATAAATTTGGCAAGGATGACAGACTCAATATGGGACTCTGCAAGTGTCAAAAGGTGATTTAAGCATCTATTCCAAGCACCAAAACTTCCAAGAGTTTTAGAGTGCTTGCGTAGTCTAACGGCAACACTTTGGAGTAATCGAGAAGTTCGGTACTGCAAGAGGAAAATTATGTGACTAAAATTTCAGTTTTGATTTTATACTAAAAGTAGGATTTGAATTCACCAAAAAGAAAAGTAGGATTTGAATCAGAAAACCAAGATAAAACTCACTCTAAAAGCATCCAACTGGAACTTAGGATCTCGCAAATGGTCTTCACTTTCCCAACGAGCAGTCACTGGATTTGGCTGAGATAAATATGAGTTCATGGACTCTCTAAGGTAGTTCCATGTAACAGTGAGTGTACCCCCTTGAAATTTCTCCTTGTATTGCTTCAACAGATCACCTGCCACCTGCATCACCAGTGAAAAATTGCAGAGTAGGAATTGCTTTACGACAATTTTTTTGGCATATCTATTTCATCTCTTGTTCGAACACTTCATGCTCTACTGATTTGGAACCCATGAATGTTTTATCCTATGAAACAAACTAGAGCATACATCATAAACACTCCAAGCAAGAGTGTAGAGAAAGTGATGTGTTAGCAACCTGTTGTAGAAGCACTGTGTTGTCCCCTTCAAATGTCTGAAAAATGTCATGGTCATTCCTCAAGCTACCAAAGCGGTTGACAGCAGCATACCCATGGCCTCCACAAGCTTCCCTGCAGATACTCAATGATTTTGCTGTATATCCTGTCACATAAGCCTTGAGCCCTGCCGAAAGCGAATGGACATCACCAACCAATTGTTCATCATGAGTCTTTTTCATCTCTGCATATTTCTCCACCAAATGCAGCGTGGCAAAATGGAATGCATAAGTTGAAGCCAGCATTGGCATTAACTTGTGCTGATGGGACTGGTAATCAAGAATGGTAACTTCAGGTTGCTTAGGAGGACCAAATTGTTGACGCAGTAGAGAATATCGAATTGCAATTATGGCAGCAATCTTGAGGACACTAACTGAAGAATATGCAAGGCCGACTCTCCCACCTACAAGTTCCCCTAATGTGGCAGCAAACCTTTTATTTATAGATGGTAAGCTACTTGTGTACTTCCCATCCCGGGAGACATCTCCAAATCGATTAAGAAGATTATCACGAGGAATTCTCACTGAGCGGAATCTTAATGCTCCGTTGTCCACCCCATTCAGACCAACCTTATGGCCACAATCATGTATCTCAATCCCTGGAAGAGTTTGGTGGGTCTCGAAATCCCTTATTGGCACAATGAAGGCATGGACACCCATATCAGAAACTCCTTTGGTATCGTGAGTTGGCAACATCAGCTTAGCAAAAACTGTAGTAAACTTGCCATGAACAGCAGCATTGCCAATCCACCATTTGATGGCACCATCATTGGGTGTGTCAATTATAAATTCATCTGTGAGTGGATCAAATGTTGCCACAGTTTGTAGACCTTGAACATTTGAGCCTTTAGGCACCAAAATAAAAAACAAATAAGGTTAGATCTGAATTCTAGATATAGTAATGCACCAGTACCTAAGAAATATAATCATAAGACAAATAATAACAAAGAAATGTGAACCAAAAGATGATCAATAACCATCATGAACCTGTCTCTTCTAATAAAACAAAAGGGGATAATTAGCACCAACCAATCAACAGTTATTATATTAACCTGGCGAAAGGTTGATAGACTGTGGTTGTTATACGTATTTCAGCATCCAGTCCATACAACTCTGACACTCCAAAACTAAGTGACTAACAAGTCATCAAGAATCTTGGAGAACTTTCTTCATACTATCTCACACATCATTAATCTTTTGCTCATTGGACACTTTTCTCCATGTGATTTGACTTCCTCAGAATAATATTAGTCATTAAGAATTACGATTTGTGCCCACTCAAGTAAAAACTGCAAAAAGTTGTACAAGGGGCAGACCAATTCTTTCCACATAATCAAGATGCTTGAACACACAATGAAAGCACGTCTTGAGATGTCACAGAAATTAAGTGTAATTTTAATATCAGCTTGGGCAAAAGCAACCAAACAAGTAAACAACTGGAAGTAACAGAAACAGCTCACCGTGATGCAGTTCTGTCATAGCAAAACAACCTGGATAATCCATATTGTCAATACCATCAAAATACTTGTCCTTGTGTTTTTTAGTTCCTAAATTGAGTACAGAACCTCCCCAAAGACTGCACAAGTGAGGGGAAAAAAATCAGTGTGATTAAACACAAATTGTAAAGATTAAGGCAATTAACCATCAAACTACGTTGCAGGTAAGCACATACTGGAAGAGAAAAGGCCCCATGACAAGTTTTTGTCAATCTAAGAACCATGAAATTACATCAATTGAATCCAAACACAAAAAATCAGCAATAACGAATGTGATGATAAACTCTGCAGACCCTCTATTTTAATGGAAATTTATGCCTTTTAAAAATTCATTGTAGTTCTTATAAATATAGTAACCGTCCATTCCAGAATATTCAATTTGCACAACAAGGCATGTAGGCTATCACAAGGTTCCCATCACATGAAAATTGTCTTAATTGTCCCTTGCTCACCTCATGAACCTTCTGCATGTTCTCAAATTTTTTATAAAAACTTGATTTTGCTATTATAGTCCCAATGTTGACACGCATCCACCTTAATCCCATCCTGCTATTTCTAATCATGCACATTGCACCTCAATCACCAAATTTTCATCTATGCTCATGGGTGGCCTTACAGCAGTGTTAGTATAGGGTTTTCCATTTTTAACAAATTTTGTTGGTTTACCATTGTTTCAATAGCTTGAGCTGTTAGAATGTGAACCAACAGTTATTTTATACCGTAAACAGCCCCCCTCACAAGTGTGAACTAACACATGAACTACTTGAATTAAATTGTGAGAAAATACGGCAGAGCTCCACCTCCTCTCCATTACAAGCTGAATTTCACTGGTTTATCACTGGTCCCAAAAACATAAGCTTTTGGATGTGGACCACCAATTGTTTTGTATTGTAACAGTTTTGTCTACTTACATATATATATGTACCTCTGTGTGTGGAGCAGAAACAAATTTACTGCAGTAACAATCATCCAAAAGCAATTACAACACAGAGTAAAACAAACACATACTATGATGTACTAAGAGCGAAAGCTATGATTTGGGAAATCGAACGAGACAATTCAAAGAATCATGGTCATCTGTCATGGTAAACCCACCAATAAAATAATCAAACAAGACAAAACCCATGTCAAAAAACACCTTTTCCCCAAAAATTCCGATCCCAAACTCCAAATTAAAAGCCATCATTAGCAACCAAATGCCACAAAACCCAGAACCAGAAAAGCACAACAATAAACATCATAGGAGCAATAATCACCTGTACTGCACCCCCATCTTAATCGCAAGAGACACGTCCACGCTTCCAACGGCTTCCAAAATAGCAAAGTACTTAGCCGGGTCTTCAACCACGTACCTGAAAGGCCTAATCCCAGCATCTCTGACCAACGCAACAAGCTGCCTCATACAAAGCTCACGGTGATCATCCTTCAAAATCTCAAGTGGCGTCTGAAGATCAGGCCTGTTGTTGAAGTAGTCCAAAACTCTGTCTTGAATGTCTTTATGCTTGCCTCTCAAGTAATTGGAAAGACTATCTGTGTCCACCTTCAGCGTCGCCGCTTTGGCGCACTCTAGCAGCTGAAGCTGGTGGTGGGTGGCGTCGTTTTGAGGTTGTGGGTAATTGGGTGTCAGGTGCAAGGACAGCCGTTGGATGCGCCTGTTGGTGATGTACTGTGATTCGTCCTCCCCCGTCGGATCTGGGCTTTGCATTTTTATGTTTTAATCAGAGACAGAGAGTCGGTGGAGGAGGAGGAAGAAGAGGTTGGCTGGTTTGTGGAGAAGGTTTGAAAATTCGAAATGGGAAAGATCCGCTGGTTCGTTTCCTTATACGCGAGAGGCGATGCGGTGGATGTTGGCGTGGCGGCTGCGGATTGGTGTGGAAGTTGGCAGTTAGTCTTGGCGCGCGTTTCAATGTCATGGGATATGTATGCACGATCGAGGGTGATGTGATGTAAATATGGATTTTAGATCAAATTTGTTCTTAGTGACGTATCGTTGTTTCCATTCAATAAATGCTTAATAATTAATATCACATAACGTTCTTAAGATTAGGTTTATAAAATTATCATATTGTATTTTTTATTTTTTATTTTTTATTTTTTTTGTTATTTGTGGTTCTTAAGATTAGTATGTGTGATTACAAATAATCTATGGTGTTAGTTTCCGTTAAAAATTCCGTTAGTTTGCTGACGTGGCACATATATATCACAAAACATCTCTGAGGTTCATGCACTTATCACAAATGGTCCATGTGAAATCTTTTAATTTTTTAATTTAAAATTCATAAAATTTGGTTTTCTTTTTTAAATTTTATTAATTTTAAATTATTTAAAAATATATGTTGTATTTTAAATACACTTGACACTATATTATTGGAGCTGTAGGCTCCACATATATGCCACATTAAAAAACTAATGGAGTTTTTAAAAAATAATTTAAAATTTATAAAATTTAAAAATGAAAAAACCAAGGGTTTAGGGTTTATAAATGGCCCTCAAGGTTAAAATCCGTCTAAATTTCATGAATTTTAAATTATTTTTTAAAAACTCCATTAGTTTTTTAATGTGGCATATATGTGGAGCCTACAACTCCAATAATATAGTGTCAAGTGTATTTAAAATACAACATATATTTTTAAATAATTTAAATGAAAAAAAAATCACAGGGACCATTTGTGATAGGTGCGTGAACCTCAGGGATGTTTTGTGATATATATATATATATATATGCCACGTCAGCAAACTAATGGAATTTTTTACGGAACCTAACGGCAGGGACTATTTGTAATCACACATACTAACATTGAGAACCACAAATGACAAAAAGAAAAAAAAAACATTAAAGTTGTAATATGATAGTTTCGTAAACCTTAGAGACGTTTTGTGATATTATAGTTGGTGGATACTTAAATACTTTCCATTCTTGCATTTTCTCTCTCCTCTTATTCAACATTATTTAACCAAATCCAATGGTTAAACTTTATTTATCTTAATTGAGGTCTTGCTACTTTTTTGGTTTGTGGAGGTTGAGTTTTGCAAATGAATGCGATCTTTTGTTTTCTGGAATTTTTAGTTTGAAATGACTTGCACACCTTAATATAGTCTCTCCAAGCGTTTTAGTTTTATATGGTGCTTGGTTTAACCAAGTGTGCTGGTTTATGTGGCAAATCTATATTCGCTCTTTGTGAATGTGATTGGGGGAAGATTATATTTTCTTGATGATGTTGATGTATCCCCCTTTTTGGAGTTGTATCACTGTTTGTGGCCAAATTAATAATATGATTTTCACTTGATAAAAGAAAATATGCTAATCCAATCGAATTCAATTCAATTTTGATGTGGACTTTGGAGGATTGAATTGGATTTCTAAATTCAAAATATGACGTAATTGGATTAAGTGACACAACTTCTGAGAGTACAATGAAATTCAATTTAATCTATTGATTGTAGTTGATTTTGCTTCTTTTTTTTTCTTTTTTTTTTCTTTTTTGTTATGTTTGTTATTTTTCTAATGATATAGGCGTTTGAAATTGATATGAAGAAGTTAAGTCATTTGATGGAATTATATTAGTATTTATTTAGTACATCTGAGAAAATCTTCTTTGTTTATCAAAGAGGGTTAAATACCTGAATAAGTTTTTAAAAAAAAAAAAAAAAAAAAAAAAAAAAAAAACAAAAAAGGCAAAAGCCAAGCAAAACACAGCAAACAAGACAGAGGCTAAATTAAGCTCCAGACAGAGAGCTGAGACAAATAGCCTAAGTCACAAAACAGCAAAACTCCTGGAGGACAAGGGAGGCCATTTGATGGTAAAACTCCCACAAGAGATGGAGGTAGCTTGACAGCCCAACTTTCCAGTTGCTCTGCTATGATTCCTTGCTCGTCAACAACAATAAACAAGCGAAACTTGGCCTACTTGACAATGAACAAATGTTGCACAAAGCGGCCCAACAAAGCCCAACCCTTAAACGAGTCGCAAGACCAACTGCAACGATTGGGGTGAATGAAAACAACACCTACTACAACGACACAATAAACTTCAAACTGCTCTATTGCAAAACTGTCTTGTAAGTTGTAACTACTCCACTGCTAAAATGGCTTGTAACTGCCTACAAACTTTGGTGGCCATGTTTATCCCAAGTTGTCGTTGTCCATCCATGGATGTGGAACAATTGGCACTGGTATTGTGGGAGAAAAGGGTTGGGGGTTGGTTACGGGTGGGGATGGAGATGGGGCTATGGGTGGGTTACAGGTGGGTGGTAGGTCTTTCTTGGCCAAACAAAATGCAAACACAATTTTTACACTTTCTCACTCCCATTGCGTACTTTTTCTCGCTTGTTATCTCATGCAATAACTTCTTTTTGAGCACATACATAGCATGTAGGAAAATTTCTAGTATTATAGAACCAAACACTTTTATTTAGCATTAAAATCTTGTTCAACATTTACATTTATCAAAATGTGTGAATGATTGAACAATGTGTAACTAAGAGCATTTCCAATAGCCTCTTAAACAATTTTGGAACTCTAAAATAGATAAGTCACATCAACAAAATTCTCTCCAATAGCCTTGTCAAACTCAGTCATCAAACCTACAACCTTCTTTTCTATCAGTCATCAAACCTGCAACCTTTTTTTCTATCTTCACGATTGATAAGTTGACTTTGGCTCTTCAAAATATTTAATTTTACTTTGGAAAAACAAAACCTACCTTGAAAGTGTTAAAGTCATGCATTTTTTTTTAAAGTAATAAATGCACTCTTAACATGTTTTCATATTTTTCATTCTTTTCCATAACACTGCATTAATTGAATTGAAGAGTTTGAGGCATAAAATTTTAAAGTAGCAAATAAACCTTTTCAAATTTCCACATGGGTCAACAAACTTTAATTTGAAGAGTTTAATTTACTACTATTGTTGGAGATGCGAGTAACAAATTTAACTCTTCAAATAAAAGTTTGTTAACCTATGTGGCAATTTGAAAAGGCTTACTTGCTACTTTAATAATTTATACCCCAACAGACTCTTCAATTCAAGTAATGCAATGTTATAGAAAATAATGAAAAATATTACTTATTTATTATTTGAAAAATAAAAAATGCATGTGATTTTTTCAACCAACAAAAAAAAAACCATAGTCAACTTATCAATCCTGAAGAGAGAAAAAGATGTTGCACGTTTGATGACTAGATTTTTACTTTTTGGTCGAAGGAATGAACATGTCATTACCAAACAGATATTACAAAAAGCCCAAAACAAAGTCAGGAAAAGAAAAACAAGGGCTCAACCAAAAAAGAAAACAATAGGCCAATTCCAAGCACAAACACCACCGTCACCAGATCTACCGCCACCGTCTTTAGAAGAAGAAGGTCCAGAGGAACCAATAAGGGCGATTTGAAGAGCATGGATTTGGGGGAGCAATCCACCAACATTTATCATACTCAATTGATCCAAGTGGGGGTCAAAATTGACCATTAAGTTACATAGCCCACACATCCATGGCAAAAGCTTAGATATGCAGATGGGTTGTAGGGGAGAAGCAGCTGCAGCAATCCAGTAAACAACCAAGAGAATCATAGGGAGATAAGAGAATTTTAAGGTTTCAAATTTGATGGGAGGGAGGGAGGAAAGAACTGATGTGTGGGTGATGGGAGGAAAGGAGAAGTAGGTGAGAGAGGGGTGATGGTTGAAGTGAAAATGGAGAGGAGATGCAGATGGAATTTGAAAGGACATATATGGGCCAAAATTTGGAAAAGCAAGAAGAAAGGGCAAAGCAAAACAAACAATGAGGAAAAGGAAAAGGAAAAGTCACACCAAAGGTGGCAGAGGAGCCGCCTCGAAGGGCGGCATGAAAACCAGCTTCTACTTAGAAGAGAAGGCGATGGAGGAGGAGAGAAGTTTTAGAGAGAATGAGGAGCCTCTCTTTCTAAAGCTTTCTCAGTTCAATATTACTGACTTGATGATTGAGTTTGACAAGACTATTGGATTGAGTTTTGATGATGTAGCTCACCTATTTTAGCATTCTAAAACTGTTGAAGAGATTATTGGAGATGCTCTAACGATTCATAACTTTATGCTCCATTTTGTAAATTTTGAAAACCAAGTAGGTTTTCGAGGGTATAAAATTGATTGGTGGGATGGCGTTTTTTAAATTTAAATTTAAAATGGGAGGGGAGAGAGGTGGCCCATAGGCCCATTAGTTTGGTGGCGCTGGGCGCAGTTTGCTCAATTTGCTGACTTTTCAAACTTTTGGAGGGTGGGTCGCGGTCAGCCTCTCATCACTCCCGCCTGAACAAATTTTGAGTTAGGGATTCCCCTTCTCTCTTCTCGCGTTACCCGCCCACACTTCTCCATTTCAAGATCCTCACTCAGATTTCTTTCATTTTGATTGAACAAACATTTCCCGATTGCAAAAAGGTCAGTACATCTCTCTTTTTTCATATGAATTTTTCTATTCGTATCTAAATATATATTCCTTGAATATAAATTCATATCTAGGGTTGAGTTAGAATTCCTAATTTTACATTATGTAGTTCTTCCGAATTTTCTGGTGTTTAGGCTATGTAAATAAGTAATATTCTTTGTGGGTTTTCCATTTTTATTTTCTGGATCAGGGGGTGGAGAATTCATTGTTTTTGGCGAACCGGAGAAGTGGGTTTCGAGGGTCTGAGTTGAATACTCAATTCAGTTGACAGATTTCGTTTTTTGTTTCTCTGCAAGTGAGTTGCATTATGAGTAGTGATAATTCCAAAGATGGGTTTTGCAAAACCCGCCCGGTTCTCGGTGATTTGACCAACCGGCTCATAAAAAGGGGGTTTTCGATGATTTCAGCTGATTCGAAACCTAAATCTGGAGATGGGTATGGTAATAATGTGGATTCTGAAAATGGGGATTCCAAATTTGCCAAGCAAGTGTCTTTAGGGTTTGAGAATATAGTAAGAGAGAAGTGTAAGACCAAAATTGGAGCAGAATGTAACCCTGAAGCTTTATCTTCCCCAAAGGGCACACAAGATTCTGAGTTTTCACCTACTTATACTGCCACTGATGAATCATCGAATGACAACAGTGACTCTGTTACCTTGACTATGTCGAATGACATTGCGGAAAAGTCCAGTGACACTGGAGATAATGCGAGCAGTGTTATGGGGGTTGCTGATGCGTTGATGGATAATTGCACGTCCATTGTTTCAAATTCCAAGTGCTCAGGACTGTGCAAGAATGACTGTTGTGATGGTGGAGGAAAATGTCAATGTGAGAAAGCGGGACAGACTTCTGATGTTGCTCAAAGCATTCCTCTATATGAAGGATTAGTCACTGTTGTTCGCGGGAATGATGAAAAGGATCTTGATGATGGTAATCTGGCATCAAACAAACATGGTTATGCCAATAGTTCGAGATTGCCTGGGTCACATGGTTGCTCAAAATCCCATGAATTTGAAAAATTGGAAAGATGCACGACTCTTAAGGGTGATAATGTTGCTGGTTTGAACATTGGTGATGACTTTCTTAAAGGTTGCTCTTGTTTGTTTTGCTTGAAAGGTATTACAACCCCTGGTTATGCTAGTTTTATACCTGATTGCTTAGGATGTGGAATGTATATATGTAGACTAACATGAGTTTGGTTATTTTGCAATCTGATAATCAGCCGCTCACATTTTGTCGGACCTTCAATACCAGGATATCAAGGGTCGAATTTCTGGTAAGTTGTGCAGAATGTGTAGAAAATTTACTATGGTGAACATTTTAAATTTCTATTTGAAATTGCCTTTCTTTTCACTCGGGAATATTTTACATTTTACCATTTGGATTTCTGGCAAGTTTGTGTAAAATGTGTGAAATGTTACTGCAGTGGGCCTCTAAAGTTCTTTCTTGACATTGTTTCTTTACTTTCAAATAGTTTATTTCTCATTAATTTTACAATTTACCCTTAGCATTGAAGAAGAGTCAAAAGGAAGCGAACATATTTGTTGAGAAAAGTTTCAGGGGAAAGGAGATTGATACTAAGGGCTGGCCTCACCCAAACAAAACGTCAAAACTTGAATATGATCTCTCGAGTCAGTGGAGATCACTCTTTCTTCACGTGGAGGATATGCTTGTTCATGAAAGCAACCATCTCGTGAGTATAACTTTTGTTTGCTATGGCATGTGTACTTCCTTTGGGAAGTGATCTTTTTTATCGTTGTTTTTATTTTGGACATTTTTTCATGCTTGTCTCTGTTTCATTTATTTTAATTTTTATGTAAACGATCCATACTCTTCTGATCTTTAATATGTATGAAGTCCCACATCCTATCACTGGCCGTAAGGCAGGGGGAAACCCACATTCATGTGACTAGTTAGTTTGTGGTATGCTGGCTGTTTATAACTTGTTTCTTTAACAAATCTGTTCTAGCCAGTGTTACTTGCTTGTTTTAAATTCAGCCTAAGTTGTAAGAACTTGGTATTATAGATTATGATGTTCAGTTTCTAATCGGTGACTTTTTCTTTTTTGGGGTCTTAATGTGATTAATAGTCTGATTTCTGCTTGGCAGCAAGACAGTTATGTCACGCTAAAAGATCTGAGAGACAACTGCAAGATGGAACTGGAAATGACGAGTGGCATGCCTTCAGAGAAACAATAGTGTGTTTCCGATGCTTGTGTTATTGTAAGATTGTCACTTTACTGGGTGCTTACTTGCAAGTGCATGTGCACGTGTATTCATGTATCCTTGTTTGGACGACTGTTTACTTCTTCATATCATTTTTTCTTAATAAGCTGTAAACTTTCATTAAATTTGTGTAATATCATTTCTATTACGCCTTGCTTGGACAAATCTGCCTTTAAGAATGTTAACTTTGCCATTTATCTACCTTCAATCCTGACTTGGCCCAGAGTTTTCATTTCAGTAAGCCTTGGGATGGATTTTATGACTTTCTTGGTGGTGAGTTCCGTATTTATTACCTTCGATTTTACTGATTGAAGTAATTTTTTCCTCAATTGTGTTGATATTTTAGCGTTGACAACGTAAAATGAAAGAATTGATTTGTCTGCTGCAATGAAATGGATTAGGATGCTGTTAGATTGTGAGATTGAATGCTTCTGCTATCATATCTATCAATTGCAAGTTGAATCACAAATGTAATGACAGATGTTTTATCAATGTTAAGATAAAACATCAACTATCAGGTCTTTTCTTGGCTGAGAAGGCAGAAAATGATTATAAAAAAACTTATGGTTGAGTTTTTCTTACTCAAGTATTAAGATTAGGTTTGACATGATGGCTGGATGTGAATATTACTGCAATAGCAAGGTTGTAGATGAATTGCCTTTTGGGTCAAGTTATTTACTGACTTTAATGTTTCAGCAGCGGGGAGATCAAACGTATATTTTGCAAATTTAATTGTTTAAAATTAATGGGACTTATGAGTCTTCCTCAAATAATTAAAGCGTGAATGGCGCCACGCCACTAGAGTCTACAGCTTCATGAATATAAATTGGATGGGGCATGTGTGGCGTTGAATTTTTAGGCCAGCTAATTGTGTGTATTGCTGGAGAATATTCTTAGGTCTTAGCCATCATTTGTGGCATTAGATTTGACAATTTTGAAAATCAACTAGTTGACTAATTTTTGTAGTTTTTTGAAGATTTAAATATGTATGAGATTTGCAGACGTAGGTTAGACCAATTGGTTAGGGCAATGAACTCGTTTCCTTACATTCAAGTTCGAATCCTCTTCTGTATATTAGATTAATTAGAGTACTTTAAGCTATTGCTTATATATATTTTGTTGAAAGTTGAGATTCTTACGCAAGTTCTTCTTTTTCAATCAATTATAGGCTACATAAACCCATGGTCAAAACGTCTCAGGTTTAAAAAATTATCAGTTTTAGTCTTCTTTTTTTGGGTCAAAGATCATCCTCCACGACATCATTATTGATTGCAAATATCATCTTATGACATGCGTAAGATATGGCACCAAACGGATTAAGATGCCGATGGAGGGAAATATTTTATGCGAGAACCTCTTCTTCAGCTTTGCTTTTCCAAGTTGATGAATATCACATCATAAGAAATATTCGTTTGCCTTTTACACTGTAGTTCTTGAGGAGCTGGAACAAACATGTTTGAGGGTTCGAAACAAACTGGCTTGTCAAATAACAGGGTCAAACTCAAACTGGCACCCAAATAGTGGTGGATTCAGAAATATTTCCCCACCGTCGACATAAAAGTTACCAAGTCAACAATTTATTTTTGAACAGAAAATGCTCTTAAAAATTAAAATGCAAATATCATTCATGGTTCATAGTTGTAACAACATTGGACAACATTGAGCTAAAATTGTCCACGACGAGTTTTCATATTCTCAATTGTTATTTTGGGTTTTAATCCCCAAGTCTCTACTAGCTCAAATTGAATGGCCACAAGGATGCAATAATATAAGACCATTATTAGCTCTACCAGATAGTTCTTAATGACAACTAAATCTTTTCTCGTCATTGCATTGAAGAAATTTAAAACAAACCAGGTCGCTTTATTATGGATTCTTACCAAGTACAAATGACTGATGCACCAAAAAAAACATCTACACGATTGAATCAAATTAAGGACAATGATATTTGGTCATTTGATCTGATAATAAATTGAAATTAAGCAACATTATACATCTACACCATCTTCCAAATAACAAATGCCTTCACTTCGTTCTGAATCAAACTGCAGTCAGTTGAGAATCAAATGGCTACCAATCTTTCTGCACCACCATCCTAGCAAACTCCACCAAACTCATCTCTCCTTCACCCACCAAATGAGCCAAGCAAGCATTGTCCATTTGATCTACCAACATGTTTGATGAAGCGAGGTGTCCATGAAATGAAAGAGCTTGGCTTTGTTAACACTATGAAGTGATGTTCTTCAAGGTCCTCTGTCCCTTTCAATGGAGCACAAAATGCAAGCTTCCATTGGGCATGAAAGACTTGGAATTGTCCTGAAATCAGAAAGAAGAGACAGAAAACGAACAAACAAAACAAAATTGTATGACAAAGACAAACCACAGAATTTCACAAAATGAACAAACAACCGATTCCTACAAATTCTTAGACGCTGAAGACTAAGAAGAGAGCAAAAGCGAAATCCATTCCACAATATTTCTGCCACTCAAATTTAACCTCAAAGCATTTAAGAATTTCATCATGACAAAGGACATAAATTACAGTTTAGAACAAGTGATAATCTTAACTAAACTGAATTAAGATACAAGAAAAATAGATTACAACGGTTGAATCCATAAAAAGCACTTGCTGTGCCACCAAGAACAGAGCCAATATGTAACATGACACAAGCACCACCACACACAAGATCAGCAGTCCAAATTCACTCACAAACTAAATTTAATCTCAAACTACATATATAGATACAAGCGAGGTAAAAAACAACCCGACTACACATTGTTCATCCAAAAAACAATCTCTGAGATCTGAATTTGATTGCAGCATCAAAACAATGGAGCATTTTCATTGCGACAAAGAGAAGAAACCCCGATAAGAAAAAATATTCAGCTCTACAAGCAAATGCTGCTGAAGTACCAAACGAATTATATGATGCACAAACCACCAAAAACTAACCAAAAAACACACAGACACACAAAAACAAGTAAAAACTAAGAGAGAATTAATTTGGATGGGGGCAAGCCCGCTTGGCCATCACTGCCCCAAGAAAGGGGGCTCTGACTGCGGGCAGTCTTCACCGCAGTGGAAAGAGAAGACACCAGCGAGTAACTGCTGAGCTGAGCCGCCAGCAGCCCTAAAACCCTAAACCCTAAGGAGGGTCGAGGGCAAGGGAGGGTGGCTCAAGCCTCAAGCACTCTGTTATGCCCTCTCTCCCTCTCTGCTCAGATAAGATCAAGTAGTTTGGTCTCTAGGGTTTCTCTCCTCCCTTTTATACTCGCCCAAAACCCACACACGTGTGTTATATTATTCCACGTTAGATCTGCTGTGCCCATTTTTTTTTTTGGGTGAAACTTAACCCCAAGTTTTTAATAAGGGGAATGCTAGAAGGTTGCTGGCATTCCTTTTTTAATAAAATGAAAATAATGTAGACGTGGGTAGGTCAGTTGTCTAGGCAATGAGTCAGTTCTTTGGCACTTAAGTTCGAGTCTCCTTCTTCATAAATTAGAGTAATTTAAAATAGTCTAGACTAAGGTCTAAAATATCGATGATATCGGAAATATCGATAGTCCAAAAACACGGAAATTTTGATGGAAATATCAGGATATTATCGATATCGATAAAAATGAATAAAACCAAGAAAATTATATGAAAAACTTGGAAATTTTTATTGAAACTCTGGAGGATCTTTATTTGGTCAATTATTTATTAGTTTATCACAAAACATTGGAAGGAAATGTAATGCATGATGAGTTTAACTAATTTAAGTTGATTATACAACGAGCTGACAAACACTGTAAGTGTAGAAAATATGTAGTAATTAATGAAAAAGGATTAAACACACCATAATCATTTATATATAATAATTTACTATAATATTTTACACTTTATACATAGCATGATAAGATACATTAGTGATTTAGTACCATATAGAGTTCCTATGAGATTCAAATTTTACACTATCTTCATTATCTCTATGTGTAAAGTAAGTGTATTGTGAAGAGTAGTCATCAAATGATAAATCCCAAAATAATTTTGCATGTAATTGTTAACATACCATCCATATGGATCCGAGATTGGTTGACGTTGTCCATAAGCAAAATCATTTGAATATTGGGACTCGGATTCTTTACATGAGCCACTCGATTCCATCCCAAAAGGAAAAGGTCAAAGACTCACATTCTCATGTGTAAATCTAATTTTTGCAAAAACAATTCAAAATAAAACAATAAAAGTATACATATTTTAGCATATTATCACAAAAACATAAGCAACATGATGGTTAAGGCATTGGACGAATGAAATGGCAGGGGTTTGAATCTCCTTTGCCTGTGTGCTTTGTGTTTTTTTTTTTCGTTTTTTTCCATTACATCGATATTTTCAATATTATAGCGATATTTTGACAAAATATTACTGAAGTGTGAGCGAAATTATCGACATCGATATTTTTCGATATTATTGTTGATATTGTCGATATTTATACGATATGTATATGGATACGTTCCGAAATATCCGTGACTCGAAAAAACAATAATATCCTCAATATTTCGGTGATATTATCGATATTTTAGACTATGGTCTAGACTATAGCTTAGACCATCTCCAATGGAGGTAGCAAACCTTTTTTTTTTTTCAAGGGTCATTTTCTAATTCATGTGGCACTTTGATACTAAAATTCGCTACTTTAGAACTTTGTCACTCCAACTTGTCTTTCAAATATGTTGGGATGAATAATTAAACAATAATTTTGGCAAAAATAATTAAACAATAATTTTGTCAAAAATAATTAAAAAATAATTTTGACAAAAACAATTAAATAGTAGTTTTGATTAAAATATGTTATGGAACCCAATTTGCTATAGGTAACTCACTTGTTAAACGCATGAGTTGCTACTTTTTAAATTTGCTACATGGGTTGCTACTTTCATTGGAGGAGAGAAACTCTCGTGCAATGGGATAACACTTTTTGCTATCCCGGGCCAATAACATAATGACATATAGGATAATTTTTCCACATGTCAATCTGTTATTGGTCAGGGATAATCATATCTGGCATATCAAATCACCATTGCTACCCAATATACTAATTCCATTGAAAATGCTGTTAGATTAAAAAAAATAATGAAAATAATGAAAACAGATCGTTAATTGGAGTCAATCTTAAGTACAACGTTTTTGTTTTGGAATTTTTTTTTAGAAGAAGATTTCATTCATAAACCATGACAAACTTTAGGGTAGGAAAGAGTACCACACATGCCATAGACTAACATGTGAGTCTGACCCAGGCCACTTTTGATCGCTACAAAAACAAAAATAAAACAAATCTACTAAAACACCAACACAGTAGATCCATATGAGAGAATTGCAAAGCATCCCAACTTTCACAAGAAGCCGTCTATGAGAACTCATAGTCCTTTGAACAGCATAAGAACTGCATAGCACACCAAGGGTCAAAGACATGAGAGAGCACACGAAGGAAGACACGAAGACGACAGTAAAGAGGAACCCTAGAGAAGAACACCAACTCAACTCAGAGGTTGACAAAGAAAACCTCATATGGCCAAGCATAGTTCTTTGGGCGTCGCAGAGATGAGAGAATCTGCAAAGGATCAACACAATAGAATGAAATATAAAACGACAAACAAAACAGGAAACCGAACAAAGAAACCCATCAGAGGGCACACCACCACATCCTAACAACTACCACTTATGAGGCAAGGACACGGATACGGATACGGCGATACGATACGACACAACACGGGAATACATCATATCTCCAAAAACTAGAATATGATACATCATGAATACTGCAATTAAAAATATATATTAAAATATAATAATAACAATATTTATATAATTTATAACATATTTTAAATAACATAAAAATTCAAATTCATGAACCAAATCCAAATTTAAACCCTAGAAAAATGAAAAACAAAAGTCTCAATCAACTACAATATTTGTAAGGGTATAATGGTGATTTGCCCCCTGAACTTGTACCTTAGTTTCAATTGACCCTCTATTCTTTTTATTTATTTATAGAAAATTAAGGACCCGATCTATTTTTTTCGCCAATGTGCTCCCCGACGTCAAAATCTGGTACTTCCCATCCATTCTACCGTCAAGATGGAGGTTACTTTTGTCTTTTCACTTGTCCACGCAAGTCAACCCATTGTAAGTTGAAAAGTCGAAGAAGCTAGGTCATTTCAACCAAAAAAAAAGAAAAAAAAAAGCAAGGTCAGAGCTGTAACTGTAGGGTTCGAAAGTTTTGGGGGAATTGAGCTGCATAGTAGCTGGATTTGACAAATCGGCGAGGTTGTCATAGGAATCTAAAAGCAACACACCTGTATTGACCAAGAAATGTGCATGTTGAAGTCCAGAGCAGTGGGCAGGCTCCCAAGTATAGTAAGTCTTCAACTTCCCTTTCTTTTCATTATTTAAGTGGTTGTGGTTCATAGGTTGTCGGTAGAATTGGATTCTTCTATCTTCTTGCCTTTATGTAAGATTCTTTTTGAATAGAAAAGTGTGGTCCCAAAGTAGATCATGTGCATTGCTTTGTTTGTGTGTGGCTGATGTTAGTAAAGGCTGGATTCGATTGGTAGGTTTGTTGTAGTAAATTGAAGTTGCTGACTTAATTAAATTAAATTTTGTTGTTTATAGGTGATCCAGAGTTATTTACGATTGAAATTCACCATGGGGGGTATCTTAAAAAAGGGAAGTATGTGGGAGGTACTGTACAATGGGCAGACAACTGTAATACATATCAATTGTCTATGCTAGACTTACATGATGTTGCTGAATCACTAGGATACAACCACATAAAAGTTTATTATCGCTATAGGTCCACAACATTGGGTTATGTGGCAATTCGAGTAGACTTGGATGTGTTTGAGTTTGTACGTGAGATACCTGCATCTAGGGTTCACAGTTTGTACATTACAGAAAAGCCAGAACCCACCTTATTAGAGAATGAAGTCTCTGCAACTGTATTTAACTTTCAAAAATTGCTTCCACCACAATTGATACATGTAGATGTACAAGATGATGTGAACATTGCTGATGATTCCGATGATGAAGGAGAAGATGAGGAGCAGTAGGTAGATGAGTAAGAAGATGTAAATGTTGATGGAGATGATGATGACGAAGAGTGCCTACAGTTCATAGATAGTGACTACGAGCAAACAGATGAAGAACAAGGCAAACAAAAAGGAGCAGAAGATGACATGTGGTTTGATAGGCATGTAGTGGATGAAGCTGTTGAAGAACCACAGAGAGAACCTGGTGATGTTCCAAGTGATGACTACAATTCAGAGGACCTTTTAAGTGTTTCAGAAGAGGAAGATGAAGTTGATGAAAATATAGGTGTGAAAAAGGTTAGTCGCAGAAGAAAAGCTCCTAGGTTCAAACAATTCAAAAGGGAGACTGATTTATTTAATCAAGTATTTCATATTGGAATGAAGTTTGCTAACATGGAACAATGTAGGGAGGCCATAAGATTTTATGCAGTTTCAAGTGCTAGGCCACTAAGATGGGTCAAGAATGACCCTCACAGGTTTAGGGTGGTGTGTGGAAGTGGAGGAAAGGCTAGAAAAAAAAAAGGAAAAAGAAATGGAGAAAAAAAGAAGAGAAAAACATGTACAAAATGCTGGAGAGGATGGTGGAGAAGAAAATGGAGAAAAGGGTAAAAAAAAGAGGGATGTCAAGTGTGATTGGTTGCTATATGAATCTTATGTGGGCAAAGGGCCTATTACTAGGATCAAGACATATCAACCTAAGCATGTATGTGAAAGAACCAAGTTTGCCACTTCTTCATGGCTTGCTCAAGGGTTTGATGAGGACTTGAGAGATAATCCTAATATGTCTGTGTCAGATTTCATGAAGATCGTGAGGAAGAATTATGACATAGATATCACTGCAAACCAATTTTACAAAGCCAAAAGCAGAGCTAAAGAGAGAATACATGGAAGTATTGAAGAACAATATGCAAAATTGTGGGATTATTGTGAAGAGTTGAAGGCAAACAATCCAGGCAGCACTGTATTAACCAAGACTGATTTGCGAAGGGACAACCCAGTATTTAAAAGAATATATATATATATATATATATGTTTTGGTGCATTGAAGAAGGGCTTTATGCAGGCTAATTGTGGGTTTCAATGGTTGTCATGTGAAGGGAACTCATCCAGGACAGATTTTATATGCAGTTGGTATTGATGCGAATAATGGGATGTACCCTGTCGCATTTGCTATGGTTGAAGTAGAAAATACCAAGACTTCGACATGGTTTTTTCTTTGCTGATGTTGGGTGTGAAAATGGTAATGGTTAGATGTTCATGTCATATAAGCAAAAGGGTTTGGGGCAAGGCATTAGGGATTTGATACCCACTGCTGAACACAGGCATTGTGTTAGGCACCTTCATAATAATTTCAAGATTGCGGGTCACAATGGACTAGCATTGAAGCAAAGATTGTGGACAGCTGCTGGATCAATTACAATACTTAGATTTGATGTTGAGATGGAGAAGATGTAATCTCAATCAGATGAAGCTTACAGATGGCTTCAAGAAAGGCCAACAAATCATTGGAGTAGGTCACACTTTAGAATTCATTCTAAGTGTGATACGCTTCTTAACAACTTGTGTGAGTCTTTTAACTCAGCTATTATCGAAGCAAGGGATAAGCCAATTCTGACACTACTAGAGATAATTCGAAGTTATTTGATGCTAAGAATGGCTAGACTTAGATAAACTGTTTGGACACATGATATTGGTCCTAGGATTTTTGGAATTGTTGAGAAGCTAACAACTGAGAGCGCTCAATGCATAGCAACATATGGTGGTGGGGGAAAATATCAAGTTAATAACATCCATGGTGGGATGTATGTAGTGGATTTGGAGAGGCACACGTGCACTTGCAGAAAGTGGGACTTATGTAGAATCCCTTGTTCACATTCTATGGTTGCAATTGCCAAAACAGAGAAGAGCACTTATGACTTTGTGCATTCACTTTACAAAAGAGCTACATATGACAGGGCTTATGAGAGTTATATATCTCCAATGCCTAGTCAAGAATACTGGAGAAAAATAGGTCATAGACCCATCAAGCCATCTCTTTACCACAAACAACCAGGAAGGCCTAGAACAAGTAGGTAAAAAGAGCCTGATGAGATACCAAAAAATGCAACAAAGCTGAGGAGATATGGGATTGTCATTTGTTGTAAAACTTGTGGAGGTGAAGGTCACAATTCTACAAGTTGTGGCAACAATGGATAAAGATGAGGAAGACAGGTATGAACTTTGTGATTATTTTTGTTAATATGAACTTTGTTGAAGGTACAATTTTGGTCCTTTATTTGATATGAACTTTTTGATTATCTTTTGTTCAAAGAACAAGCTAGAGGCAGGGGAAGGGGAACAAGTATGCCAAGTGTACATGTAAGACAACTAGATCAAGCTGAGACTTCAATCCAAGCTAGACCTTTTAGAAGAACAAAGCTTGGGGTAATACCATATGTACTGATTTGCTTTGAATAATTAAATTAAATGTTTAAACCAAATTTTGATTGATTTGCTAATTTTGGTTATTCAAATAGGCGAGAGAGAGAGGAGGGGGGGGGGGGGGGGGGCGGGGGGCAATGTTTGAACTAACAAGGCAGCTTGCTCAAACTGGTGCTACCTTACAGGGAAATCAAATTGGGCATGCTTCTAAACCAAACTCAGAAAATGTACCTCTACCAAAAATATCAAGACCAGGGAGAGTGTAGGAGTGTAGTTAAGATTTGCTGATTTTGATTTTTTGGAACATCAAAACATTAGGACTGCTTATTTTGTTTTGTAATGGATATGTTTTGGAACATTTGATTTTGATGAATTTGTAGCTGATATGGTCCTAGGATTCCTAGACTGATTTCAATGGATTAGTATTGGAACACAAATGTTTTAGTTGGATTACTGTTAGAACACATAAGTTTTGCTTGGATTAGTGTTGGAACAGATGTTTTGTAATGGATATCTTTGCCTGGAATGGATATGTTTTGGTTAGATAGTGTTGCAACACATATGTTCACTTGCTTTCTTATATGACCTTTTGGCCAATTGGAAACAAAATTGTCAAAACACAATTGATACATGCCATTACATTCAACAAAAGGACCAAAAGTCCATCTATTACACCTCTGCCACACAACTGATACATGGCATTTCATTAAGTCTCACTCCCCTTATATTTCTAGTTCATATTACATAGGCAACTTCAAGTATCCTTCATTGTCTTTGCTTTTCCCTTACATCAACCACAAAACTATCACAAACAATAAACAAGACACCCAAAACCAAGGAGGTTTGTTTTTTTTTTTTTTTTTTTTTTTCCCCCACCTCTTTTTTTTGTTTTTTTTCCGTAGTAGCCCAGGTATAATTTTCGTTGACCTCTCACACATTTGTGGGTCACCCCATTCTTAAAATCTACATCTATTCTGCACATTTGTCACAACATATTGATACATAAAAATAAATAAAAAATAAAAAATGTGCATAAGTCCAAATTTCTAATCGGCAACCCAAATTTCAATTACAAACTTACCCTTCCACAGATGTTAAACCTCCTCCCTGGATGTATAGCAGTCCATGATGTTTGGATTTTCGCAGTCTTCGCACAGTAGGAGACGACTGAAGGTACCATCCATGAACTACCCTCTTCACCTTGTGAATTCTATTGAGATTGGTAAAATTCCCATGTGGCACCCATGTAATAAATGGGTCAGCAAGTTCTGTTTTTTTTTTTTTTGTTTGTTTGCTTTTGAAGGAAGTCATGTTGCATTAAATAAGTGGTTGAAATTGAAGACATTTCACGTGGGCTGCCAACATTGGTGTAGAGTATGGGAAAAGTCTTGCTTTTCACATTGAGCCAATGGCCTATTAATATACAGTAGCTGATTCATTTGGAGTGTAGAGCATGCAAGTGGTGTGTACCTGTGTCGCACCAAGTGGGCATTTGTGCTGCACCATTTGGAGGTGTCATGAGCACCATTGCTCAGAGAGGCTAAAACAGAAGTGAGGCACTTTCACACAGAGAGAAATACTAGAGAGCATCACCATGATGGTGGAGATAAACTCCTCTTTGGCTACACGAGATGTTGAAGGAAGATCAAGCCATTTCAAAGGTTGAGTCTTCTTCATTTGTTCCTTGTGTTTGTGGGAGGTTTATTTCTTTGTATTCTTCTAAGTGTGTTCTTTCCTAGTGAGCAAGAGCAATTCTTGTGTTCTTGGCTCTTGTGTGTGGTTAGCCAGTGAGTGACTTGGGTGTATTTGGGATTTGGGTTGTGAAAGTTAAACTCTATAATTCCTAGGATAGATGAGAGGGTTAATCTCCTTTGGTTGTAATCTCCTTTGGGATACTAGTGGAATTTCTCGCTATCTTCGAACTGGATATAGGCTACACACAAGCCGAACCAATATAAATCATTGTGTCATTTGGATTTCTGTATTTCATATATTGCTCTTGTTGTTTCAATGGTTTCATATCCACCATCATAGTGCAATCCGCTTCCGCTGCGCACAACAAATTCCACCTCTATGATCCATGACCTCCATGACCTTTGCCAGGTAAGGACCTCATCATATAGTAATATTGGGTTTTCTCCTAAACCCGAGATCCCCTTTAATTAGGGTACAAAAATGGAGGTTGGAAAAATGAAGGGAAATTCATTTGGGAAAAAAACGAGCCAAAAGAAGGAACTAATGGCTGAAGCATGGGTTGAGTTTAGTGGATGCGCGAAATGACAAAATTAACCTCCAACTTTACGACAGAATGGATGGGAAGTGCTAGATTTTGACGTCGGGAGGCACACTGGCCAAAAAAAATAGTTCGGTTCCTTAAGTTAGGTACAAGTTCAGGGGGCAAATCACTAGTATACCTTATTTGTAATGTCTTCACTTGTAAATAAAGCAACCTCCAATGATGGTTCATCAAAAGAAAGGTTAGCAATTTCAAGCATCCTAACACCTTCGTCAACCAAGCTATCAAATCCATCTTCTCCAACATCTCACATTTGAGTAACACCTTCTTTGTAACTTGGGCTCTTCCTTGATAAAAGACGAAGATTATTATGCACAAATACCAAGTATTCAGCTCTTTGGAGTGTTAAACTGTTTTTTCTTAAAGAGTGAATGAAACTACATATACTCCAATTTCTTTCACTAGTATACCCTATTTGTAATGTCTTCCCTGGTAAATAAAGCAACCTCCAATGATGGTTCATCAAAAGAAAGGTCAGCAATTTCAAGAATCCTAACACCTTCATCACCCAAGATATCAAATCCATCTCCTCCAACATCCCACATTTGAGTAACACCTTCTTTGTAACTTGGGCTCTTCCTTGATAAAAGACGAAGATTATTATGCACAAATGCCAAGTATTCAGCTCTTTAGAGTGTTAACTGTTTTTTCTTAATGAGTGAATGAAACTACATATACTCCAATTTCTTTCACAATACGAGGAGGAACAATGTTTTCCAAGTAGCTTCAAAGCTATGGATTAGAGAGTTGGTGTCATCGCCCGATTCGAGAATAAAGAATATGATATGGTATGACTATGGTATGACTCACACCCTAATTCGGGAATATTCCTTATTCTCGAATCAGGTGGTGACAGTTGGTGTTGAAGCTCCATGAACAATCCACCACACCATTGGTTCCCTGTGAAACCTATCATTCATAGCATCAATAGCTTGAAAGTCATATAAGCACATTGACAAAAGAGGCATACTCCACATTAATATCTCTTCTAGTCCGGTCATTTGAAAAGTATTTCTCAAGACACTTTTTTCTTTCCATTGTAATCTCGGCGACTTGGTGTGGAGCATCACAGCTAGGATCTTCTTGTAGCCATTCTGGACTATAAAACCTAAAAGTAAAGTATGATATCATTTTATAAAATTATCATAATATGAAAAGTAAATTTTAAATACTTTGAAAAGAAAGAAGCACATAATGCTTACCTAGGATTTAAAGAATGTGTCAAACAATAGAGTGATGTGCTACTTTTGGTCCATCGCTCCACTAAAATGTGATACACCACATCAAAGAATTCGCTTTGTTCATGTAGTTGCTTGTGCTCTTTCCCATAGATAGTTGCCTTCACCTTCTCTATCATCATAAACCAAATGAAGTAAAGGTTTATCTGTGTCAGCCATTCTAATCATCTCATGCATAGAAGATGTAAAGGAAAGTATATAATCAATCTCATCCCAAAAGTATTCATCCAATATATTTTCCTTCACTGCGCTTGCTTTGCCAATGTCATCCTCTTTATATAAAGACCAATTTGGACTAATCACCATTTGTTGTAGACCTTCCTTTACATCCTTAAATGTTCTAATCATCACAAATGTAGAGGCAAACCTTCTTTCAGCAATGGAGAACATCTTCAATTTGCAGTGGTCTTTATACATAGCCAATCTCATATTATACTTCCCAATAAGGGTGGGCACTGAGACTGGAAAATTGGGACACTGAACCACACCGTATGGAAAAAAGAGGAAAAAAAAACTGTGTTGACTAAAAAGTCAATAAACTGACAACAAACCAGACTGGACCGGTTCAAATCCAACTACAACAATTTCTGAAATCCAACTACATTGATCATACCAATCATCATTTTATTTTGGTGAAAATATGCTCTTTAAAGCAAGATTGAGAGTTTGAACCACACATGGTGTCCAAAAGATATTGGGATATCCAACCACAACAAGTAATTCAGCAACTCTACAAACTGGGGCATTGTCAGTGATTACTTGAACCACATTTTGATAACCAATTTCCTTAATGGAGTCGATAAGAAAGTTGGCAATACAATGGTTGTCCTTGCACTCTCTATCACAATTAATTCCCTTCAATAACATAGGTCCACTCTCACAAGTTGCCATAATATTAATAAGTGGTCTACTTTGCGAATATGTCCACCCATCACTACACACACTTACACCTTCAGTGCTCCATGTACCCTTAATTGGTTGTAAACACCGCTCAATGTGGCTCTTCTCTTGTCATAAAAAAAGTAGTTCTTAGTACATTGTAACTTGGTGGAACATATCCTGGAAGCGCAGAAGCACGAAGATAGGAGTTTCGATAATGTGGATTCCTTGCAAGGTGGAAGGATAATCCACCTACATAAAACATCCTTGCAACTTCAACATCACATTGTTCTCTAGCCTCCTTTTGAAAAGCTCTATCAATGGGACCATTCATTCCATTTCTCTTCTTTTGCTCAACATTAGAAACATAAGAACAAAGTAAATAACCAGTATTAGGCAAAGACACTTGTCTTGGAGCTATACTTTTGAACCGGTATTCACATTCTCTCACAAGTTTTTTCATTTCTGCAAAAACTTCATCAGTAACCTTTTTGCAAGTTGCAATCCCATTTCCCAACATTTTCAACGAATAAAACTTGACTCTAGAGTAGGAGCCTTTGTAAGTATTATGACAATAATTGCATTTAAACATAGTATTTCCTCCTCATTTTCCTAATTTTTCAAGCCTTTTAACATACTTCCACAATGGAGAATGATCATATACCTTGATTTCAGTATTCTCCGTAGGATTAACATTCGCACTTGCATTATTATTCGAATGACTCATGTTCCTGAGCATAAAGAGATTTCAACATATTGAACATAACATTATTAAATTGCCTAAACACAACTTTTTTTTCTTCTAAACAAAAGTGCTATTCACGTGGGGTGGGGGAGTTCTTTCATTGACTTGCTTTTTTTGCAAGTCCTTATGTAATATATATTATATTTGGTTATAATATTATTACTTTTGATTGTAATATTATTATTACTACTGGGGTGAGAACGTGAGAGTATTTTAAACAAAAGGATAAGACCATAATAGAGAAGCGTGAGAAAACAAAATAGAGAACATACTCGACGATGAAGCAGAAAAAGCAGAAAATTCAGGAACAATTCACCACGGCCACACCAAATTAATTCAAGAACCAAAATATATAAGATATTTGATTTAAGGTATGGATGAAGAATAAGACTTGATGAGTGGGCAGCACTGGGCTTCTTTATTTATATAGAAGAAGAACATCTGATACCAAAAAAGAAGAAGTGCATGAGACATTTTCATGGTTTCAAAACACGTAAGGACAACCTTTTGTGTTCTTCAAGACTTCAAATTTGTGCTGACTTTTAATTTTCCCTCTTGAAGCTAAAACTAGACCAAAATGTATCCTAAAAATCGAATACCCGTATCTATAATGTCATATACGTGTATACTTTCATTGTTAACAGTATCCGAGTCTGCATGTGTCCAGCTTGTATCATATCCCCTAGCGTATCTGATACAGGATACACACCTCAATCAGTGTATCCATGCTTCATAGACTACCACTAGCTTTGCTGTTGCTGCAGCCATCAAAACAGAGACAAAACATCATCCACTAGGTATTACAACTCTCCTGAAAAGATTGTTAGAAATATGCCCCTAAAGCCAACTAATTATGTAATAGTTAGAGTTAATAACATCTTTGATGAAAAACATATTATGTTATGAATGGGCAAGAAAGGTTGCTTTATACATTAAATCATCCTATATTATCTTTCAATATGTAGAACAACCATAGTCCAAGGAATATACAAGTGGATATGAGAGCTATGTAATGAGATTGCATACATGGAGACTTCTCATCATCCCTAAATCCTGAATATATTCCTGTTCATAGGAATATTGATTGGGCATAAATATTTTGCAAAGACCAGTACACACAGTATCTTCTCTATATGTAGGGAATGGCAAGGTCTCAAGTCATTAAGTGTGGAGACACATCGATATGTGTGTAGGTGCTTGTAGAAGAACAAGTACACTGAACGCAATCAAACACATGATAAGTAAGACTATAGTTATAATTTAATAGTTAAATTATAATTAAAAGATTAATTATAGAATTAATATTGACATATAGAAATATTGGATTGGGCTTTTAAATATGATTTAAAAGGAAATGGACAAAATAGCCTAAAAAGCTATTGGGCCCAAGGGATAAGTGGCATAAGATGACATGACCCATGAACCAAATGGAGCCCCAATACCCACCCAAAAATTCGGCAACTAAGGGGGAGCTCTCCCCTTACCTTTTTGTGTTGTATAGGTTTGGCTAAAGTTCATTTCTTAAGTATTAGATGCATGTTTCCTTCAAGTGGTATCAAAGCCTAGTTCTAGTCTATTTGAGCCTTTTATTTTGGTTATTGGTTTTAATATGAGCTTGTTTTCAAACTTATGTGATATATGTGTTAGATTTTCTTTTTCATGTCACTTATTCATAAGATATGGGATATAAGATGAATGAGTAGGAGTATGAAAAAAAAATCAAGAAATGACACCAATGGGGGTGGTGACAAGGAGGGGCTTTTTGGGACTTGTGTGTGTCCATGTGTGAAATGTTTACATGGTTGTGTTAGTCTTGAAATTCTCAGTGTCAATATTAGATGCAGAAGGTGTATTCTCATTATCATTACCACTTTTTCTAAAGAATGAATGAATTGTCTTTCCTCTCTTCGCTGGTCTATTATCATCATGTAACATTATATCCTAACAAAAAAAATATCATACACCAACAATCATATATATTCTTATAGTGAGAACCAAAAATACATATATAATCAATAAATATAAACAATAACAACTTAATACTCTATGAAATAGAACATTTATCAATTGAAATCTTGCATATATAATTATTGTTGTCTCTTTTCTTGTTGCTCTAAGAATCCCCAAAATTTAATGCTCAAACCTTAAAAATCTAACAATAACAATTCAAATTTAGAATTAAATAAGAAGAAAGAGATAAACATACCAATATTGAAGAACCCACTGAATGATTTTGAAAGGAAGCTAGCATATGTTTCAGTGAACTTTTCTTTTTTACTTTTTTTCGAAGCCCTCTTCTTTTTCGGGTTTACTGTTGCTGTGGTTTTTTTTTTACTGTTTCGAAACCCTCTAATTTTTTTAGGGTTTAATGATATGCTAATATTTAAATGATTGTTGCCCTAATTGAAGAACCCACCGAACAAGAGCAGCATGTGGGCTAACAAAAAAAATACATATTTCATAATCATTTCCTCTCTTTTTTAATCTTGTTGTAAAGGTGCTTCTGTCTGGCCTTATTCCTTTGTGTGGGCTGAGAAAAAACAAAGTGTTGTGCAATGCTAATGGGCTGATATTTCATAATTATATATTTGTTTATACATTGAAGCTTAAGTTGAAAACTTAGCGGGGCTATAGCCCACTCAAGCCTCTTGTTAGTTCCACCTTTGTACGTGATCATATTCCAATGTCACACAATAATTACTTCTAAAGATGTCATATTATTATATATAAAAATATATATGTATTCTAGTTTATTCTAAAAATATCTTGAGACAAATGCCTTATAATTAAAAATTTAATTACTTCTTCTAAAGATGACATATTATTACATCAAATAATATATGTATTCAAGTTTATTCTAAAAATAACTTGAGACAAATTTCTAATAACTAAAAATATATATGATTTCTTGAAGATGACTCATAGTATATTCAAAATATGTTTTTAAAACGTATTTCTATGCCAAAAGAAACAATTTAATACATTGTCTTCTCCATATTCATTTCCCACAAAAATTTACCTTCCAATCTCGTCTGGTTTCTGGTTTCAGTTCCCATCAATAAAAGACTATTAAATAAGAATATCCACTAATACAATAATAAAATAACATATATTGCACTTCATATTCATAATCAATATATAATACATAAATATAGTATTTACATATAATATACACAATTTCAACTAAAATACTCGAAATTATATATAAGTATGTAACATAAAATAAAATAAAACTAAATGGGGTGATGAAAGGGAAGAAAGTGGTTGAGTTAGTAATCCCCTAGCTTCCCATGTACATTCTACGCTCTTGAATGTAAGCTTCAACATAGTTGGATTTGAGTGATTTAGATCCTAAACCAAATCAAACAATTCTATTGCGTCTATTATTTGGTGTCTCTATTATTACCATGGACATGAAATTCTGGATTTAGAGAGGTAAAATAAGGTCATCTGCTGAGCAAACATAAGAGTTTACTAGAATAAGTTGTATTACAACGTTTTGGACATTAGGGTACCTTACCTTCGTAAAGTAGATCCTTAAACTTGTAAATTACAAGATTTGGGTAGTAATTTATAAAGTTTTCTAGGTGTTAAGGCCCAAAAAGTCACGGGAAGCCCAAAAATATTTAAACCCCAATATAAACGTATAATGTTGTTCATGCATTAATCTAAGCTGTATTTTTTTATTTAATTCATTAAATAAATATATAAATAGTGCACATGCCATGCTAAACTGATAATACATTTTTCCCATGCCAATCACCTATCAAGCTCACATTAACCCAAGTCATGTGGCTTACGGGGCTTGCATGAGGGATTGTGGTGTGGAAGGTTACGGAGGTCCACAAGGCCCATGGAAGCTCTTGGATAATGGAGACTTTGGGCTAGTTGTTTGGGAGCACCAAAGTCCAAGCCCATTACTTAGAGTTCTCCAATGTAGGTGAGCAAATGAGATATTTTTCAAGCACTTCCTTTTACCCATAGGAAATAGCCATTTTCCAAATGCCTAGCTTTACCCGTTGGAAACAAGCCTTTTCCAGCACTTCCTATTACCCATTGGAAACAAGCAGTCTACAACGCTTCCTTTTACCCATAGGAAATAATTAGTTTACGGTACCTAGCTTCACCTGTTGGAAAATAGCATGCCCTAGTACTTCCTTTTAACCACTAAAAATAGGCTGGTTCCAGCACCTCTTTTTACCTATTAGAAATAAAGGAAAACCCTCACCCTCTATAAATTGGCATTCATAGTTCAAGCAAACGGCACCAATTTTTCTTCAGCCAACACTCCCTCACTCGGCTGCTGCAAGCATCCCAGCAGCCATCAACCCCCTTCAGCAACCACCAGACTACTTTCCTTCCTCCATTCAGTTGCTGCAAGCATTCCAGCGACTATCCCAGCCATTCCTCAGCCATCATAACCATGTCTTCTACTTTCTCACCCTTGAAATCCATCATCTTCTCCATAAAGCCTCACCAAGCATAACTCCAAGCTTTTCCTTCCTTTCAAGCTATAAACACCATAGCTTTCAAGCCTCAAGCTTTTCCTTCCTTCCAAGCTATAAACACCATAGCTTTCAAGCCTCAAGCTTTTCCTTTTATCCTCCCACCTCTAGAACTCATAAATTTCTCTAGAATCATTGTCACAAACACCATACCCTTCAAAGTCTTAAGATTTTCTTTCCTCAGCCATGCTCTTTGAAACCTCATTCATTTGACTGCTATAAGCATCCCAACAACCATCACAGCCAAACAATCAAACCACCATAGCCATAGCTTCAACAATAAATTCTCACCTCTAGAACTCTCTCTCTCTCTCTCTCAAAAAAGCTCCATCCCATATCTGAAACACCTAACCTCTCATGCCTAGTCTAGTAGTATCTCAATTCACAAAGCAAACTCTCATGCCAAGTCTAAGTAACATCAATGCGCTATCTTTAACTCTTCGTCAAATTACCGGAAACATCAGTACAAAAAATGCAACCGCTGGAAGAAGAACAGAGTACTTCCCTGGGAATTGCTTCTCCCTCAAGATGCATTGGGCCTAGTTCTCGCTCTATGGCGATCCAAGAATCAACAAGCCCGAACGAGCCTTCGAACGAAAAAGACCCCAACACTAGGCAAATTACAACGTTATATTTCACCCTAATCCATAATATTCTAATCACCTATTTGCATTGATAGGGATCCACAGTACAATAAATTGGTAGGGGTGGACCTTAGAGATCTAAAAATTGGTCCGTATTCTAGTAAACACGAAGGTTTACATGATTAAGGACTAGTATTCCAACACTTTGGATACTAGGGCACCATATCATAAGTTATATCCTTAAACTTGTAAATTACTAGATTTAGGTAGCAATTTTTCAAGACTTTTCACCGGGATTACAACGTTAGAGTTCACAAAATCTATAATGTTGTAAATCTTCACTTTACTCGGATGTGGATCCACTTTATAATATATTGGTAAGTGTGGACATTGAGAATGTAAATTGGAGTCCTTATTCTAGTAAACACAAGGGTTTACAAGATTAAGGACCCGTGTTATAATTTTTTGGATACGAGAATATCATGACATTATAAAAAGGATCCTTAAACTTATAAGTTACAAGATTTACAAGTTTTTCCTCCAGAATTACAACATTAGGATCCACCTAATTCACAATGTTTGTAAATCCTTTTTTTTTTACGACGATATGGATGTTAGAAGTATGCCTTGAAAGTGAATCATTAGATGAAATCTTTCATGAAAACTTCGTTCAAACCAAACATCTATGTTAACACTAAAGGGGAAGTATGTCAACTCAGGTAATGGTCCAGACGATGACCGATAACCTATTTGACAAGTCCATGGATTCATGAGATAAGGAAAGTGATCTAAAGATGTTAGATGGGAATGGACATTTCCCTATAACTCATACCAAAAATGTTCCTAGTCATAAGATCATTCAATTGGGCATTGACGAACTGCAAAGATCAGTACGCACTGTATTTGCTCAATTGGGAGGATGACTGGTCTTGAGTCATTTGTGTACGAACACTAAGATAAATGCATAGGTGTTGGCTAGAGAATGAGTTCACTAAACGATGGCGGATTTTATTGAAAAATTGATTGTGGGATTATTGCGATTATAAAGAGAAGTAAAGAGGGAGAAGAGAAGACAAAACCATTGAAGCTAAAGAGCCTATTTCATGTCATTCATAGCCATTTAACGCCCACTAGCTCACCGTTATTTCTTTTTCACTAAATCTCCACCATCAACACATGTTTAATCCAATTAATCCCTCACTTAAACCCTTCATTACCCACCATGAAGGTTTTAACTTTCCACTCACCTCATTGACTACTATAAATGAACTTATTTGGCAAGGGGACCACTGTGACAGATTTCATCCACTTCATTCAAAATTTAGTTATGTTTTCCTTTGTAATGAGTTGCTAGAACTCTAGCTAAGGCTAAAGGGAATGTTCTTTGAGTAAGTTTATGAATTGTTCTTTAATCCAATATACGGTATGAATTGCTAAATTCTTTTATTTTTTATTGTTCAATATTTTCATATCCTTTTATTTGATGTTAAGTGCTACTATCTTTTCATGAGTTCAATTATATTTTTCTCATTGTTAAGAACTGACTTAGCATGCTTTTAAATTAAAAGATTATATATTAAGCAATTCCATTTTCTGAACAATCATTAATAAAAGATAACATTGAAAAATTAAATTGGTTTTAATTTCTTTATCTTCCGGTTAAATTTCTCAATGATAATTTTAATTGAGCTATAATTTGGATTAAAGAGCATGAAACATATTTTACTTAAAGAACTGAACCTTGATGCCTTAGCATTTCCATTATTGATATTTCATTTTTAAACTCAATTTCCACAACAATCAAATCAAATTACTTTTCCATTTTGCTTGTCAGTTTTATTTTGGTACGTTTAATTATTTCTTTGTGTGCAAACATTTGCCAACCTACTCCTTGAGGATACGATACTTGGACTTCCAAGATTATTACTACGTGTGACTACCCATCTTTCTCTCCAAAAGAATAGCTTGGTGTGAAGTCTTTGGCGGTCACTATTTTGTGACTTGGAGAAAAAGAAGAAAGTGGATTCTACCACCATCCTTTTGGTGGAATACTTAGGTCGGTCTCAAGTTGCGCTACAAGGGTGAGTTCCCCTTCATCTTTCTCTCCTTACTTTCTTGCAAAGTAGTTAATGTAGCAAATCAATCATCTTGAGGTTTCTTGCAAAGTTTTCTTGTAACATTGTGTTTGTCAATTAATTTATTGATCACAAATATATTTCCTAATGCTTTTCAATTTGTGTAATCTTTTTTTTCTTTTTTTCTTTTTGTGGTAAGGGTGATCTTTGAATGAAAACATAGATGGCTTGGATTATTGAAGTAATATTTGTAGTGATCTTTATAAGGTGTCCGTATAAAATAGTTATTTAAGGAATCCATCGATAGGGGATTGATATAGTCAATATTTTCATTCTATAATAAAAAAAAACAAAAATTGAAAAAATAAATAAATAAATTGTTGTAACCTCAAAGGTTATGGATGCCCACCATAAGTCCATTGTAATTCCTCCATTATACCCATCATTATACCTATCATTATAGGGTTGTAACCTATGCACTAAATACCATATTTATCATTGGTTATTATGTTTTGTAACCCACTACTTAAGGGTGGTAAATGGTGATGTATTTCCTATGCCTATAAATAGTAGGCACTAAAGATGAATAAGATACTTGAGCATTAAGCTATTGAGAACTACTCTTACCTTTCATATACTTTCTCTATTCAATTTTATAACACGTTATCAGCACAAATTCTCTTTCAAAATCCAATTGAGTGCCCCGATCAAATCCCTCTGCTTTACTCATCCTCTACTTGAGGTTTTCTGGGCAATTGTGTTTTCATGATTTCCTTGTGTGTAAATACAAACTCCCTTTGGTAGCATACTATGTTTATAGAAAACAAAACAACCAGAGAAGAAAATTGAAGATCATTCTAAGAGACACAAATCTAAAAACAAGGACCAGTCTTCACCAAAAGAAACCAACTGAGGTGTTGAGTTTCTTGGCGTTCAGAGTAGGATATGAACACCCACGAAACAAAGAGATAAGCCTTCTGACTTACACTTTATCTTCTTCAATTTATTATTATCACCATCATATCTATACTCATGCTAACATCTAAAGCAAGTATAGATGTGCTGGAACTTGTTCTTGTGTGGCAGGTGCAAAAGTAGGAGAATATGGTCAATCCTCCACAAGTAGACCATTTTAATATATTAATCATGGTTTTTTTCGGTTTCACTTTCACATGGCTCCATTTTATATCGGTACATATAATATTAATATGGAAAGTTGATGGTAATACAATATGATATATATATATGCAGTTTTACTTTATATATATATATATATATACCTATATATATGTATAAGTAAATAAAACTATGACTACCAAAAGCTATTTATGTCCATTTATTATATTCATGGTTCACATTTATATGAGAATATGATAGTGGTTATACTCCATGTTTGTTATGATGGAGTTGGGAAAAATAAAGGAATTAAGACCTGAAGATCTTGATCCTCAATTATAAAGGGCTTGAAGACCCTAAATTTTATACAATTAAAGGAAAAAGCATGAAGATCCTAAATTCCTATACATCTAAAAGGGTATGAAGATCTCAATTCATGTATAATAAAATATAAGGTTGAAAAATTTACACCTTTGTATAAATATATGTGACCCTGAAGTTCACATCTTAATGAGCTAAACCTGGAGTTTAACATTGAGCAAGTGTAATAATTATAGAACCAGAAGTTCTAAATGATTTTAGTGGAGCTCACTATCATATTACAGTTTTGAGGGTTATAAGTTCCTCAATTCATTTTCAATTAATTAGGACTACAATATCCTAAATTCTCAACCCTTGTAATATACTTGTATGTGGACATGAAGTTCCTCATTTTTCCCAAAAGCATAGAAGACCATAAGTTCTTCAATCTCTCTTATTGAAACTAGAAGTTTCAACTATTTATTTTGTTACGCCAACTTAATTATTGTCTTACTTTTGTTATTGTATTTTATTTTTGTCATTTCAAAATTTTATATACGGGCCTAATGTCATAAAAATGACTTGTAGTTCAAACATCTCAATTATAATAGTTAATTATGTGTAATCCAAGACCAGAAGTTTTTGGGACATATGTATTAAAGTATATCAATTCGAATTTAAGGATGAATTTGCATGTTTATTTTATATATATATATATATATATATATATGTGTATTTTGTTATTTGTTAGAAATTCAAAATTTTCATTAAGGAGCAAAGTGAGAGACTCAAGAATTTTTATTCTTATACAACCAATGGAGGACTAGAAGTTCCTCAATTCTTATTTAATCATATAAGGGTCAGAAGATCCTTAGATTTCAATGCTTATAATATAAATGTTAATGGAGGACTAGAAGTTTCTCAATTCTTATTCAATCATGTAAGGGCCAGAAGATCCTTAGATTTCAATCCTTATAACATAAATATTTGTGGACTTGAAGTTCCCTAATTCTTAAAAGACAAATGAAGACCTGAAGCTCTTTGATTCTTTTTTCATTGGAACCAGAAGTTTCAACAATTTATTTTAGTGTAATATTTTATTTTATTTTTGTTGTATTTCACTTTTACTTGGTTCTTTTCTTTGGTTTCATTTTTTTTATTTTATGCAAGGACCTAAAGTCCCTAAATTATTCTTATATAATTAAATAAAGACCTGAAGTCTCTTAGTTCTCAATCCATATAATATCTATACAAGGAATTGGAGTTATGCAATTCTTAGAAACCTAAACAAAACCTAGAATTCTTTGATTTTCTTTAACTGGAACCAGAAGTTCCAATAGTTTATTTTATTACAGTATCTTTATTATTATTATTTTAATTTTCTTGTTATATTCAGTTTTTTGTTTTCATTTCAATAATTTATAATTAAGGATTTGAAGTTCCTAATATGACATGAAGTTCAAAAATCTTAGAACCCAAAGTTCTAATTATGTCTAATCCAAACTGTAAGTTTCGGCCGCATGTGCATTAAATTAAATAAATAAATAAATAAAAAGGAAATTCAAGAACCTGAAGTTCTAATTGTGTCAACCTTCAAATTGATATTTCAACAAGTGCATATGTATTACGATTTTGGGTTGAAAACTATACATCATGTTAAGAACTTGAAGTTTCAACATTGTTTGGATTTCAGTTCTAATTTATTATTATTATTATTATCGTTTTATTTTATTACCTTGAAAAATATCATATTAATACAAATTTGGACCTGAAATTCAAAACCAAATATCCTTTTTAAATTTGATATATGTATTCAAACCTAAAGTTCCAGATATATGTAAATATATATATATATATATATATCCAAAGTTCATCATTTTTATTGAGATTAATATTAATATGAACCTGAAGTTCATACCTTATTAAGAACCTGCAGTTCATACATTGTCAATAACCTGCAATTCTGGCATAACATATGATATTTTAATTTGAACTTGAAGTTCAAAATCAAATTTTTTTAAAAAAATTATATATTTATCATGTTTTCCACAATGGAATCAAAATATTGTAACCAAATTCTAATTGAAACTTTCGAGTTCCTTGGTTTTTAATTTTAATTATTTTTATATGTAATTTGAACCAGTAGTTCAAAGCACAAAATGAAAAGATAAGACCATTATGGAAGAATGGCATGTAAGCAATCGTTCCATAAGAACGACATATTTTATGTACAAAAGAGTGTTCCAGAAGAACGACTTGCATTATATACAAAATATCATTCTAGAAGAATGACTTGGATTACATACAAAAAACTATTATAGAGGAAAGGCTTGAATCATCCTGATATGTATCTATTTCTAAATGATTAAATACAGTGCAAATTCTAAAGATTGCAAGTTGAATACATTGATAATACACTGCATAAATTAAAGTCCCGGAAGGATAACCCATTAACATGTCAATATTAATATGATGCACACCATATGCATTAAGGTTCTTGAAGGACAATACTTATGACATGAATTAAGGTCCCCGAATGACAATGCTTATTCTTGGTATTATTTTGATGAGACCAAAATTTCCGTCGTTAAGGGAAGATTTAGTTGTTCCTGAAAGAACAAATAACGCCGTGAATGATTATGAAATGTATTTATTATTGTCTCATCAAACAAATTAGTATAAAAGATAAATGCCAGAAGCATATTCAAACACAAAAAGGATAAGTCAAATGACAAGAAGCATATACAGACACAAAGTAAGTGACTACTAATAGCCAATTTGTTGCATACCTGAAGCATGACAAATTTATAGATTGCAAAAACTGAACTCCCCATAAAAGTTGTTAGATGCCTGAAGCATGACAGATCTATAGGTTCAAAAGACTTCACTCTTCAAAAGATGTGATTAATTGTAAAGTTTAAGCCCTATTCAAAATAATGCTTTAGAAGAGGTTATGATCCACATTCTATAAATTATACATCTTAGAAGAGATATTTGTCCATGAGGTGACAATGAAAGCCTCTGAAGTGGCACTGGTACCATAAAATAATTAAAGCAATGAGATGCTTATAAATTATGCATGCGCATGCACATTAGAATCGTGGGATCATGAATTGATGATATATTGGGTTGTAGTACATACTAAAGTTATCAAGGGCTATACATGATGATATTGCACCACTTGTTATAATTGTCGACAAATATAAATAAAGATTGGCCAACTGGAAGAAGCAATCCAGTAAAGTTGGATATTTCCGGAAAAAGTGCAATGATTGAACCTATAGTTAAACACCAAAAGGATATAAAAATGTATATATTACAAATTGGTGTTTGAGATGAAGTGAAATAAATCACTTGATGATATGGCACAACGTTTCCCAGTAAAGATACGGGATTATGATGGTAAACATATGCAGCTATGTTGTGCATATTTATGAAAAATTCATATGTATAAAAATTTCTTCAAGGATTCAGAATGCCTAAAGCAAATGATTAAAATATGATGGCTTGTAATGATCCTTGTGTGGATTAAAGTATTGTGGAAGAATATGGTATAATTGTCTTAATGAATATCTATTACAAAAGGGATATATAAATAATTTGGAAATGAGTTTACCATCATTGCAGTATATATATGAAAATTTTTGTTAAAACTCTTGAAGAGTTTACAAAGGATTCCCCTGATTTAATAAATGAATTGGAGATGAAAAATCTAAAAGATTATGAAGTCAAGCATATCGCCAGAAGCGATCTTTTGAAGAATACATAAGAATAAATTCTAAGAGATGTAAAATGCCATACATTATATAAATTATTGAAAGTAAATCTCTAAGAAGTTAAGGAGCCTAAGGCTCAATCTCTATACTCAATTTTCATGAAATGAAAATGATCTAATTGCCTCAAGTGAGGGTATTGACTGAGTAATGAATTCGAATTCAAGTTCAAAATTGTTGCAACGTATTCAAATTTTTAAAAGAAGTTATCAGAATATTTAGGTCTCTTGAAGAGCCTATGACAAGCTAGCATAGTATACAAAAATTTATATGAATAGTATATTACATCATGCAATTTTATACTCGTATCCTTGTAACGGTAACGTATGAATTTGCTTATATTATTATTTGGATGATATTTTAGAATATGATGTTATTTTAGGAATTGTTAATTTCTGAAAATAGTCTATATATTTTTTGTATTACTCTAACCTCAACAGGGATTCAAAAGAATGACACACATATATCCTCCAATGATGATATTCAAGAAATTTTTATACAAGCATTACCAAAGATCACTCTGTGAAGGATGGATGTGTGATCAATATCATTTATGTTGGATTATCAAAGAAGTATAAAGACATCAAGAGGAGTAATTCTTCAGGGGGATCATCCAATAATATTGCAAGATTGATTCATGGAAGCAATGCCAATTACGACAATCAAAATATGATCAACAATATGGCTTGAAGATATTTTGTGAGCATCAAGGGGAGCGTGCCATCAATAAGATCTTCACACACTGTACTCTTTTTCCTTCGTCCAGGTTTTTGTCCCACTGAATTTTTCTCGACAAGGTTTTAACGAGGCAGTGTCACACGCGTGTCAGTGTTATATGCATAGAATTTTATGTTACACATGGTTATGCACTCTTTTTCCATTCGACCAATTTTTGTCCCACTGGGTTTTACTGGCAAGGTTTTTAACGAGGCATACTCCATGCATGGTGGACATCCAAGGGGGAGTGTTGTAACCTCCAAGATTATGGATGCCCACCATAAGTCCATTGTAATTCCTCCATTATACCCATCATTATACCTATCATTATAGGGTTGTAACCTATGCACTAAATACCATATTTATCATTGGTTATTATGTTTTGTAACCTACTACTTAAGGGTGGTAAAGGGTGATGTATTTCCAATGCCTATAAATAGTAGGCCCTAAAGATGAATAAGATACTTGAGCATTGAGCTATTGAGAACTACTCTTACCTTTCATATACTTTCTCTATTCAGTTTTATAACAAAAATCATTTGGCAGCGTGTGCCAATGGGCTAATATATAGTTAATCAATAAGTGATAATTAATTTAGTAGTGCTAAATCTTGGACTTTTGAAAGCAAATTATCTCGCATTGGAGGAAACAAATGGATTTACATGCTTTATAAGCATAAAACTTTGCACTAATTTGTAAGGGCTTTTCGTTCCGGCAGCTATAGATGGGCCTGGGCTGCGGTAAATAGCAAATGACTGGAATTGCCCCTTGTGTCTGAGTTCAAGAATCAGGCCCCAAGAGTGCTTCGAAAGGTTCATGGAGCCTTAGAAAGCACATTGGCTTCCTTCACCAACAAAACTAACAGTTGCTTACAGATAAATATTATGGCTTAGCATGAGAAGTTTGTGGCATGGGAGCTGAGCATTCGTGAGTTTAGCATGAGAGAGAGAAGGCTTGGGTTTCCTATGAGAAACAAAGGCTCGAAGTAAGGGGAAGACAGAGTTTTTGGGAGAATTTGTTGAAGGGACATAGGAAGAGATGAGGAAGAGGAATGAGGTGGCTTGAGCAAGTTTCCGGCAGCTTGATAAAAGCTTCGTCAAGCTCTCTAATGGCTTGACAGAAGAGAAAAAGGGAAGCAATGGAAGAACATATCTTGAAATCGAAAGGGTTCCAAAGATGAGAGTTGAAGCTTGCTCTCTCTGGATGTGTTTATCAAAAAGAGAGGAAGAAGATAGAAGCATGGGTGGCTTTAGCATATTTTCAGCAGCTTGACAAAAGCTTCGTCAGGCTCTTGGGTTGCTTGACAGAAGAGAAAATGGGAAGAGATGGAGGAATAGGGCTCGAAATTGAAGTGTTCCAGGGATGAGAGATGATACTTGCTCTATCTGGATGTGGGTTTTGGGAGAGAGAGGAAGAAGATGGAAGAACAAAGCATGAAATTGAAGGGTTCCAGAAGGGATGCTTGCCTTCGATAAGTTCCCCTTGGTGGGTAGAAAGTGCCTCCTTTTATAGGCGCTGGAACACTTAATCTTATCAAGCCACCCTCTCCCTTTTCCCTTCACTTTCTTCCATTCCATCTTATTTGGTGAAACTTTCCTAACCTGAGCATGTAGGCATGAAGCTTTTTGGAGTTCCAAGACCTTCCCGCAGCTAGACTTCTCCATGTGGGTGAGGCGTAACTCACTTTTCCTTCTTGTTTTCTCACCAAAGCTTGCAGAGGAAAAAATGGGTAAGGGTGCTGGTCAAAAGGTGATTTATTTCCATCAGAACATGGGTTTGCTTGGTTTTGGTGGTTTGGCTTCGATCTGGTTTTAACAAAGAAGCTGGATATTTCCACGATGTTGGATATTTTATATGGTGCTGGGCTGGGCTATTTTGTTTCTAGCGGCTTGTGAGTTTGTTTTGATTTCGTCAAGCTGCTGGAAGTTTTGGCTGATGTGGGATTTTTTCAAGTGTTGTGGGCCTTTTCTTAAGGTGTTGGGCTATTGGGTTATCTTTCTCATGCTTACCCATATGTTTGGGCTCAAGGAATAGGCTTGAGTTTTGGTACTCCCAAGCAGCCCAAAACTTCCACTCCTTGGACCATCAATGGGCCTTGTGAATACTCGTAACCATTCATACCACAACCCGCTCAACAAGCCCCAGACATTCACGTGGCTTGGGCCCACTTAAGCTTATAGCATTGTATATTACTTATTTGCTTGGCGTGGCATGTGTGCAAGCGCATATGACGAACTCTTGCATACCCAAGTTGGGTTTCTTCCCAAGTTAGGTGTCGTACTGGACTAGAAATATATTTGGGCCCAGCCTTAGATTTTTTGGGCTTCAACACAATTAAATAAGATTGGTGGGCTGATGGGCTTGGTAGTGAAGGCTATATATGGTTGGCTTGATTAATAATATTTAAGTAATCAAGACTTGGGCCTTGGGCTCTAGAAGATTACTAAAGACACCTAGCCCGAAAATAAAATAATATTTTTTATTTCGTTCTATGGGTTTCTTATAGTAGAAGTTAAATTCAAATTAGAGTCTTATCCTTTCGTTTGAATTTGAACAAGTATAACTGATACTAACAGCTTTTTTGAAGGGGTGCAATTGTGTTATAAAACCACAAGTTCTAAGCCATCAAAATCATCCTTTTTTCGAACTATTTCATACTGCCTTATAGAACTACATATTGTATTGGAAAAGTTAACACATCAACGTTCGCCAAAGTTCAAGGATCCAGTGCTGGATCCTTGAGTTATAGATAGTTGAATCCTGGGAGATAGACGCAAATTGAACTTCAAGCACTGAGGAGGGAGTAAATTATGTCTTTAGGACATTGCAAATCCGCAAGCCTCTATCTTCTTTAAAAGTCAGTTTTCTACACTTAGGGCATGTTTACGTATTAGTAGTGGAGAAACTAAGGAATCAAAGAATTTAGGAATCGGAGAACTACTGAATCAGTATGGGAAGAATCATTCTCATTAAGCTATTTACTAAACATATGGAATTAGCAATGGAATGGGATTGATTCCCATTGTTATTGTTTACTAATTTGCATGAATCAAAATCCAAATTAATTTTAGAATTATGGTAAAGTGATAAGGGTATTTTTGGAAGTTATTAAGAGAAAACATGAATGGGAATCGTATCGACTACTCCCCCCTAGTTGATCTGATTCATAGTTTTGAGGGAATCTGATTACGGATTTTGAGGTGGGGCCCACTTATTTTTTCATTCTTGATTGCAAGTAAACGCTGGAGAAGTCAGGAATGGAAATCATTCCTTTTCCTTCCATACCCATTACTGATACGTAAACATGCAATTTCTATCTACATATTTATGCAGTTTGTATTATTAATTTCTGTAAAAACCATTGCTTCGTGTTTTAATATAGTGATCTAATATTATAAGTCATTCATTGATTTCTCCTAACACTAGAAACAACGTATTTGCAATTATTCATAACAATTAACATGCAACACTTTCAAAAAGGGAACTTCTAAGGGGGAAAAAAATTATGATATATAAATGTCATTGTTCAATATTGAAGTATCACTATTATGTTTAATAGAGAAATCTCTCCTTTTGAATTATTTTATGAGAAAAATCCATTATTTCCATATTAAATCTAGTTATTTTGTTTCTCCTATACCATTATTTTTCTCCTGTATCGTTCTTGGAATATGAGAGCGTTTAACTTAACATAGTATTCTAGCTCTCATTAGGAAAAAAGAAAAAGAAAAAAAAGAGTTTATTTTTAGTAGACAATGAGATTCTTTTTTTTTTTTTTTTTTTTTTTTTCTTCTTCCCTTTTTTTTTTTTTTAAATATGAAAGAATTCAATTAAAAATGTTAAATTTTCAAATAGTTCGAATCCAAGTAAAATGTTTGAAATGACCATTTTTATCCGAAGGTGCAGAGAGAAAACTTTAGGGTAGAGAGGTTAAGAAGTGGGTGTGTGTAGCTTGAAAGTGATGTCCACGTAGGAAACGACGTGTGACCACGTCAAATTGATGCCATCGCTTCTATAACACGCTACTTTTTCCACATCCTTACTCATTCCTCCACTTTTTGTTTTGTAACAACTTGACATATTAGGCTTAACTTAACCACGGTTACTTTGGTATCTAATATCACACAATTCACCCCCTAATGAAGTAACCTCTTTACATAAATGGGCTTTGACTTAAAGATATGGGGTCTCAAGTTCGAATTCCTTATGAGTATATATACATTTTTTATTATAAAATTTCACCCGTAATTACTTTTTATGTAACGACAAAAATAAAAGCATGTCATATTAACTCTATTACGCACATAATTGTATAAATATGGTGCATTCTCAAGGCTCTTGTGCTGTGACACCACTCCAGGACGTTTATGACCCTCCTTTTGGATGAAGAAATTGAAAATTACATAAAATTCTAAAATGACGAAATTTAGATTTCCATCATTTCAATTTCTGGGAATTAAAGATTCCATTGTTTGGATTTATGTATGTTGAATTTTGTAAATGACGGAATTTTGTAAATAGCACAATGAAAATTGTGAAATGACACATATTTTGGTGGAAATTGAATTCGGAAATTTGATGCCCCAATTTTCACCTTTTTTTTCTTCGTGTCATTTAATAAATTCCGTCCTTAAGTTGCCAACAAGGGAATTGTCAATTTCTCCTCTTAAATTCCTGACTTTGAGATAAATTACAAGTTATTTTTCCTCATCCAAACAAAAAGTGAGTAAATTGATATGGTTTCAATACAACAAGACTACATTATTAAATAGGTTGACCCAACCCAACCCGAATTAATTATTTCATGTTGTTTTCTAGTCTTGTAATCAACCATATGGTGTCAAAGATTACCACCTATGTAATCAAGTGGCAATAGTGGGGCAGGTTGATTGGGGTCATAGAATTGCGTGATGAAGCCAAATTGGCTTTTCGAGAACCTCAAGAATCCACCATATCCCTCTCCTTTTCTCTCTCTCTTTCTACTCTCAGATCAGAGCATGCGCCGCAATTGATGATATAATGTTGTCGGGTCCCTCTCAAACTATCGTCACTCCTTACCCTTGCATCGTTTGCTTTGCGGCCCCAACTGGCCCACAACCCATGAAAGCATCAACTTATTAATTAGGCTTTATCTAATTGACATCACTAATTAATCTCATTTTATCCGCATCACTTTATCTACATGTCATTATGAACCTCACTAACCTCATAATAACAATAGAATTTCATAATAATTACCTAAAAAGGATGGTTATCTACATCTTATTTCACTATTCTTTTTGCGGTTTCTTTATATTTAGAATAAGTTACACATATATTTTGGCTCTTCTATGCTGTTTTTTACCTATTTTTTGTGAGAGTTTTCTTTGTATTATTGTGACTTGGTTTTTTCAAGCTTTATCTCTATTTGATTGTTTTGAATTTACAATCTTAATTGGAATGTCTAAACCTTAATGCCAACGAGGCTACCTTGGTTGAAATTTGAATCGATATAATGCTATTGAAAGTGATGAATTTGTTATAGCGTGTGTGCCATGCCATGTTTGAATGGATTTGTTATAAGTACTAATCAATCTTGACCAAACTTGATTAATTAATAATGTTGAATAAGCTAACACTCACCAACCAATATACTAATGCCATTGTACACATGAGCATTCCCTTAGCAAAACCAAGAAAAAAAAAGTCTTTAACGAAAGACATTTTTATACAATACCATTTAAATATGTGTTGTCATGTTGATATTATTCATTAATACTTGCATTAGTTGGTCATGACACTTTTGATTTCACGTCAAATAGAAGCAACTCTAATCTATTAATATCATATGACATTGGGTGGTGATTTTCCCTCTCCTCTTTTGTCCACTTACACTCTTTTTTGTTTTTTTAATAGTTTTTACTACAACAAAAAAAGGAGTGTAAGTGGACAAAAAAGGAGCGGAAACATACAATTTCTAACAAAGAGAGTGTAAGTGAATAAAAGATGAGTGAGAAAATCAGCTCTCATTACATTAATGTCAAGTTGAAAATGATATTTTAAAATGAAAATGAAAGTTGGAACTTTCCATTTTTCTCTTTAACTAAACTGAAACTATTCACGATAATAATCAAATGGTTAAGTGATTTTTGATTCGGTTTTTTTATTATTATATAAAGATGCTGAAAAATGATGATTTCAAAAAAGAATTGTCCTGATCATGTGAGAGGACCATTGTGGTGTGCGTCCAAATTAGTATTATTAACTTACGTTCTTGGACACTCTTAATTCAGGTTTGAACTGAAAGAAATATCTAAAATGGCGTAAGGATACCAAATTCCTCGATTGTGATTTTTGTTTTTAGAAAAAAATAAATAAATAATCAACGGTCCATATTAATGGTCTAGTACCAAATGTGATAACAAAAAAACACTGACTCAGTGCCATAGCAATTTTCGCTGAGGTTGAGGTGGCAGTGAAAAGGCGAGTCATAACAGCGTAAACGACAAAACGCATGAAAATCCAAAATTTGCTAACGCGAGCACACAACAGTCAACCTAATCGAGCAAATCGAAGATAGCCACGTGTAAAGGGTGGCTCATCAGTCACTAAATACAATGCACGAAAACGTGTCATGTCGTCATTGGGAGCCCACATCGAATAAAGGTATCTTTGAAGTTGACGAGGCAGAAATGATTAATTAATGAAGAAAAACGTGGTTAGAGAGAGAAAACCGGAGGCTTAAGCCAGAGAGAGCCACTTGGCTTGAGGCTTATATAAGCAGAGAGCAAGTGATCCAAGGAAGCACAAGAGAGCCAAAAACACCAAAGTGAGGCCACAAAAACAAAAAGAGTGAGAGAGAGAGAGAGAAAGCTTTTCTGTAACTGTGTTGATAATTTTGCTTGTTCTTCAACTCCTTCCCCTTTCCCTTTGAACCCCTCTTCTCTGAATCCCTTTCTGTCATCGTCTGTTTTTCGAAAGAACATATTTTGGGGCTTGTTTTTTGGAATCTTGATTGGAAATTACATCAATTGTGATCAAACAAAGCAAACCCAGAAGGGTATTTCTGAAAGCAGGTGATTCAGAACAGTGATCCAGGTTTTTTCTCCCTTTTTTTTGTCAGTATAGAGTTTTAAGCTTTTCTTTTATCAACTAGGAGGGTTTATTTTTGTCCCTCAAAGGTTGTTTTTTTTAAGCCTGTTTAGTTTTTCTTTGTGCAAAAAACCTTGTTCTTTTAATCTGGGTTTTTTTTCTTCTTGTTGGATTTAGTCTACCTGTTCTTTGATTTTGGTAAGAAACAGGTTGGTTTTAAGGAAATATATTTTCTGTCTTATATTCTAGCTTTTACCCCTTTTGTGACTACATGGCAACAGCTATAGATCTTTACAGCAGCAGCTCAATGACACCAGATTTATCAGATTCCTTGAGGGAGGATCAGCTCATGAAAGCACTTATGCCTTTTATGAAAAGTGTTTCAGCAACCTCTTCTTTGACATCTATTTCTTCTTCTATTTCTTCACCAACCTCTCCTTCTACTTCTTCTTCCTTTTCTTCCTACCCTTCTTCTTACACTTACCATCCTCCACTCTACTCTTCTCAGCCCAATTTGTACCCTGACTTTTGCTCACCATCCACAACCCACATGTTTGATCATTTTGAGCAAACAGGTTCAATAGGGCTTAACCAACTTACCCCATCTCAAATTCTTCAAATCCAAACCCAAATGGTCCTCCAACAACAGCAGGAACACCAACAAAAGGAACAAATTGCTGCTCTTGCTTCTCCAGCTTCACTGCAAAACCAATATCAGCACCAAAACCCTCGCACCCTGAAATTCCTCACCCCAAAAGCCATCCCAATGAAGCAAGTTGGTGCTCCCTCCAAACCCACAAAGCTCTACAGGGGAGTGAGGCAGAGGCATTGGGGCAAGTGGGTTGCTGAGATTAGACTTCCCAAGAACCGAACCCGCCTATGGCTTGGTACCTTTGACACTGCTGAAGAAGCGGCTTTAGCTTATGATAAAGCTGCTTATAAGCTCAGGGGAGACTTTGCTCGGCTCAATTTCCCTCATCTCAAGCACCAAGGGGCTCATGTCTCTGGCGATTTTGGCCACTATAAGCCTCTCCACTCCTCAGTGGATGCCAAGCTCCAAGCAATTTGCCAGAGTTTGGCTGCTAATTCGGCGAAACAGGGGAAAACAGGGGAGCCCTGTTCTGTGGCAGAGAGAAAGCCAGCGATATCATCTCCTTCAGAGGTTTCATTGAAAACTGAATTGAAAGGTGAATGGGAGTTTACTGGTGCAGAGTGCTATAGACCGGAGATCTCATCTTCGCCATCTCAGTCCGTTGAGTCTTCAGCCGGGTCCTCTTCGCCGGAATCCGACATTACCCTCTTGGAATTTTCGGATTCTCAATGGGATGAGGCTGAGAATTTCGGACTAGAGAAGTACCCTTCAGTGGAGATTGACTGGTCTGCTATATAAAGTCCTTATGATAATGTAATCTTTGCTATTTCTCGCTTTAACTTTAGTTTGTGTCTAGTTTGGGTTTTAGCCTTTTAGGTCCAGTTTGGTGTAGCCAGGTGCTTCTGCAATGAATTTTTTACATTTGCAGAGGTTTTCCTCAGTCCTAGTTATTAGTTCATAGGATGATGAGTCTGCTATATGTAATGATTTCTCCATTTTGGTCTGCTGGTAATTTTTGTTCCTTGCATGACTATGGAGATTTCTGGTTATCCTTTCAGGTCAGTGTAATTAAACAGTTCCTTTTATTAGTGTTAATTGTTCTACTTTTTCTATATTTTGTGTAACATGAAGAGCATGTGGTGGTGTGTGATCTCTCTCTTCAAGTAAATAAAAAAAGTAAATTAATTTTTATTTTTTTATTTAAAACAAAAAACACAAAAAAAAAAAAAAAAAAAAAAAAAAAAAAAAAAAAAAAAGAGTGAGAAGACGACGAAAAACATGATCAAATTCTGAAGGAAAGTGGAGTTTGGGAAATTCTATTATGTGTGATTAGAATATTAGCACAGGCATGAGGCCATGACAGGACAAAGAAAAATACTTTTCCGGATGATGTTCATATATATTGCACACTGTATGATTATTATGGGCTTCAAACCGCCTGGGCATTATGAAGTTCAAAGGAGCTTGCACAAACATTTTTTTTTACCTGGTGGAAAAATTCACAACTTCCAGAAATATAGGACACAAACAAGAGGGTTAGTAAGCTAAATAATGCAAAATCGTGGTCTCAGTTTACTTCACTGATAGTAAATAGAACACACAAACATAGCAAATCATATGTTAATCTTGTCTCAAGAGTTTATTGTGAGTTTCCAACTGACGTGACAGGTGACTCGGTAGCATCTTACTTCTTTTTTTCATTTGAGTAGCATCTTACTTGCTAGAAATAAATAAGGTCTGGAGTAATATGAACAGCTGATACACTCATAGAGTTGGAGTTCATAAACTTAGAATTTGGTTCATGGTAATTATGCTTCTCAATTTATAAAGCTTTTATTCTTGAAAAGTACATGAAGGGTAAATCCTAGATTCATGAGCAGAAAACACTCATGGATTGAGCGTGAGTGATGAAATACAAATTTAGATATCTGATAGTCACTCAACTTTGATTTGTAATTTGAAATATTTGTGAAGTTGTTTTACAAAAATGAATCAAAGCCAACTGTTCATGGAGATGACTTTGGCAGCATTTTGCTTCGGCAAATTCAGAGCCCAAAAGGAGGATAATGGGAGCATCTTGGATCACCTCCCACTTTATGGGATTCTGTAATTTTCTTGTTTGCATCTTTGAATGAGATTGACAGGTGGGAATGGGCAAACCATGGGTTGCTGCTGATCCCACTTAACCGGCTACACATTATCTTATCCCTTCCGGCCAGAGATAAGAAGATTTGAGGCCACCATCCCAAGAATTCAAGATTAGAAAAGAAGAGAGCCCTAAAATATGTATAAAATTCAATATTCGATTCTTTCCTTCTCGGCAGCATGCGCTGACAACAAGTTCACACTGCTAAACATTTTGATAAGGAAAGAGACTCTGAAAGCTTATTTCCGGGCCACGAAGAATCCTTTCTTCATAATATTTATCTTTGTTGTATCACTAGTCCTATAAAGTACATTACACCGATATTGTCCTCATTTTAATCACCTAAGTTTAAGTTCAATTATTCAATACTTGTTAAGGTCTTGGTACCATTATTAGATGATCGCATATATTTGAGTTTAGTGTTGTATTCTTCCGATGTGCATGGGGAACTTACACATCTTGACTTGTATCGAGTCAACTTTTGAATATGATCTCACAGTATCTTTCTCAATTGTTCACTTTACCTTAGATATTGTCCAAAGCATCCAAATTTAAGCCAAAAATGTGTGTGAATGGGAATGAAACTTGCATCTTGTTAAAGTTAAAGGGATTCCTTCGAGGGTGGAAAAAGTTCATGGCCAAGTTGGTTATTCCACTTTACAGGTTTCAATGATGTGGCTTTGTGAGGTGCCTTCAAGTGTAATGTAAGCAAAAGATTCTAATTTTCCATTTGTCCTTAATCTAGAATTAAATATGCATTTTGAGGTTTCTAGGTCTATGTTAGAGACTTTTGGCACCATTTTAAATTGCAGATAGAGGAAACAGAATCATAGTTAACCATTTATGTGGCCAAAAAGCAAATAATGGAATAATAACTAAAGGATATGATTTTATCATAGGTCTCTTTACCGCAGGAGAGTGGGAAAAAAGAGTTATGCCTTGTATATGAAGAAATTATTGTGTGTGACGAAAAATAAAACAAAAACAACTGGCCACCTACTCTGCTTTTACACTTTTGCAATTTTGAGGGCATGCTTAGTAGTACTACGTGTATCTTATCTTTTCTTTAGAAAGATGATAGATGTGAAAGATAGAGGTAAAAATAGATTGTAGAACAATCTTTTAGGATAAAAACCAAAAATAAGAAAATAAACTTAAATGATTTTGAGTTTTTATTTTATTTTATATGTTAGTTCTTTTCTCCTCCTAGTCTTTTTTATCTATCTTCTGAGTTTTTCCTTCAACCATCAATTTATTGGAAATATGCCCTAAAAGCCAATCATGAGATTTCGGTTAATTAACCATCTAAAGAAAACCTATGGGCAATTAAGTCAATTCAAAAAATAGTCTCATTAATAGTTACATGTCTGACGACAAGTTTGTGGCCTATGAGATGAGGAAAGTGATCTAAAGAAGTTAGGTACAAGAGACCTTTCCCTAGAACTCATATCCTGAACAATTCCTAGTCATAGGATCATTTCCATTGGAGATGACGATCCGCAAAGACTATCGTACACTATATCTGCTCAATTAGGAGGATGACTAGTCTCAAGTCATTTGTGTAGCTGATACCAAGATAAGTGTATGGGTGCTTACTAGAGAGTGAGTTCACTAAATGATATCAAATATGAAATCTTGTATAAAAGTTTTGCCTGCATGTCAAACAAGATTTCTAAGTTGCAGTAACGGAGATAGTCCTTAGACCTGAGACACCATGATTGCCTTATGAGTACATAAGTGATCTTAGGTAATATCGTATAATCGAGCCCAACTCAGAAATTGACTTAAGACATCATTGGGGTCCTTAATTGATTCATAGAGGCATGTGAGTATACAACAAGGGATCTCGACTCTCAAGAGAGAGAGAGAGAGAGAGAGAATATATACAATGTGATTCAAAAATCTCTGCCTAGAGTAGTGAGCTTAAATCGAGGAAGATGTTCCTAATCGAGCTTAAGTGAATCACATAAGTTGTGATCAATCACATTAGGGATTTGACATGAATTTCATATCCTATTAATGTGATAAAGAGTATTGAAAATAGAGAGGGATTGTGCTGCGTTGTAATTCCAACTGAATGGGATCTCTAACACATTTTATTTAGCTTGGACAACCATGACATGTTGCTAGACGTCACTCACAATTTGTGAAGCCCTGAGGGCATGCCGTAAAAAAGGGTTTGGATTGATAATCGACAAAGAATAGTTTAAGTATCACCCACTGCCTCGCTAACTAGAATCTAATCAATTGCACACCGAAAAGGTTGAGTTTGGATAAATAATGAAGATGACTAAATCAATGATTGAGGTGGTCAATTGATTGGATCAAGATTAATTAAAGAGTTAGTTAATCATATTGATTTATAAATATGAATTGGATTTTATAATTATGAATTGGGTTCCAAGGCACATTGGGCTTGGACCCTTTGGGCTTTTAGTTTAAGTTGTGTGACAACACAAATTAAAAGAGGCCCAACAAGCCCAATCACAAGGAGGGCTGGCCACTAGGGGAGAGTTGGTCTTTGACTCATCTCCTTACTTAGAGCATCTCCACCCACAAGGGCTAAGTCTAAGGCAAGGGCAAGCAAGGGCTGCCACTATTCACGTGAATAGTGTCAGCCTTTGCATTTGTGGTTCTACCCATATGGGCAAAGTCTAGGGCAAGTTTAAGGCAATTACTATTCATTGTACTTTATTTTCTATTTTTTATAGTTTAAACCATTAATTTTGATAATCTTTTGTAATTAAATTTTCGGATAAGATTTTCACCCTCTAAAATTGTGCCACGTCTGATGTAGAACAAATGGCAGATTTTATCCCGGTTGAGCTAGAAAAAGGACGTAGTGGGAATTTGCAGATTTGTCGTCCGAGCTCCGATTAGGACGCAAAATACCATTTCGGAAAGGGAACGACGTCACGAGTCAAACTCACGGCCCGTGATGTATGATGGATTTTGGCATTTTGAGGTCGTTTGGCCTTCCAAAACGGCATTTAAAGTTTCGTACTTAATTTTCGGTATTTCAGATTTTAATAAAAATTATTCCAAGAAAATTCCTTCTAAAATTGTGCCACGTGTCAAATGTCAGATAACATTTTCAGATATTTTAAAAAAATTATAATCTCATATTTCAGATAAGATTTTCACCCTCTACAATTGTGCCACGTGTCAAATGTCAGATAACATTTTCAGATATTTTTAAAAAATTATAATCTCATATTTCAGATTAGATTTTCACCCTCTACAATTGTGCCACGTGTCAAATGTCAAATAACATTTTCAGATATTTTAAAAAAATTATAATCTCATATTGTAGATAAGATTTTCATCCTCTCAAATTGTGCCACGTGTCATCTCTATCTTCTAAATCCGTCTATAAACTAGACCTGATATTCATACCTCTCACACCATCTCTTATCTATTCCTTCATTTCTCAGATTGTAGAAAACACATTTACTCTCAATGTCAAACTTGTTGAGGGTGTTGGAGAGGCAACAGAAACAAAGAGAAGAAACAAGGCGTAGACGTGCTCAAGAAGATCGGGAAGCCGATGAAGAAGAGGAACTACTGCTTGCAGCAGCGGTGTGTATGATGGATCAATCAAGGCAACACCGTCGTCCTCGTGCCCCAAATGTGGACAGACGTAGGGAGTCTC